GATAAATTGGGTTTTGCCATTGTCAAAGATATAAAGGATGATGTTCATAGCCTCATTATTTACACATCTGAAAAAAGAACTCTATCTCTAGCAACTATAACATCAAAATTTGTAATTAATGTTCAAAAAGATGTCAACATATCATACTATGACAATTATAATAAATATTGGCTTATTTCCTCCGCAGCTAGTAAAATTTCTGACATAGTGAAGTGTTTAGAAAACTTTAAAGTCAATGTGACATATTTAAATGATGCAGAAATTTCTTCACCCAAAGATGTAACAGAAACAGTGCCTGACCAACTACCTAATGAAAGTTTAGATATTGATACTGACAGTTTAACAAATCAAAAAAAAGACTCTATTTTGAAAAGAATGGCAACAATGGGCCAATCAGTTTTGCCTCCAAGTAACAATATTGTTTCTAAGTCCACTGATTCCTCTGATACAAATGACTATGATCATCCTTCATTACCAAGGCATAAGTCTGTAAAATCATTGCCCAAGAAACATTCCACAGAGAAGAATGCATATTCAGGAAAACAATATAATAATGAGTTAAGTAAAATATTACCAAACACATTAAAAATCCAAGATTCAATAATTCCTGTAAATGTTAAAAAGTTTGAATCATTCTATGAAAATAATATGCACAGTTTAATCACAGAACAAAGAATAAGTAACAGTGAATTAAGAATAAATATAAATAGATTATCAGACAAAGTTGACCATTTATGTGATAAGACATTGAGTGGAGGTATTCAATCACATTCATTAAACAATCAAAATGAAATAGTTGACAAGTTGTTAAAAGAATATGAGAGTAAAATTTTTGTATATGAAAAATTTATTAAATTAAAAGGCTTTGAATGCAATTTATTGTTTACAAATGAAAATGAACCATCCTCATCAGTGAAAATAGACAGTATCGTCGAAACAGAGAAGGATAAAGAAAATCAAGCCCTAGAAATTAATGAACTAAACAAAAAAATTGATCTCCTCACAAATGCTTTTTCTCAAATGACTGAAAAACATAAACAACATGAAGAGATTTTACTAAAAGAAATATATACTTTGAAACAAGATCTAAATGATAAGAATGAAAGTTTACACACAATTAGTAAGAGTGTTCAAAGTATTGCAGCCAATTCAAATTCAGAAGAGTATAGTAACAAACTTAAAAATATAATGAATAGTACTTTTCAAACAATATCATCCAAATTCAATGATGAGGATAGTTATTTAGGTAATGTGGTTAAGAGTATAGTTGCAAAAATAATAAAAAAGACAACAATGGAATCTTTAAATGATATTAATTAAGCACCAGTGGCTTGACACAAGATTCTTATTAATTCAAATCATGTCTGTGCAATAAAATCCATTGGGGATTTTACTTGCTATGTGCACAAATAACAATCCTTGTATGGTGAAAGAATACATCTTGAGGATGCATTTTTCAGAGCCATAAATCACAAGAGTGTGTCAGGCATAGAAGAAAATGGATTCAGAAATAGATATAGAAACAGAATATGAGGCTTTTTTTAATAAGCTATAAATAAATACTTTATTAATGTTAATGACTGAAAATATATTATTCAAATTGCATTTTTATTAATATAATAGTTTTTATATAGTATTCAAGTTTGTTACATTGTTTTCATTCTGGTGTTAAAAAGTATTAGCTTCCTGAAGTTTACTGGCCTTAAATTATAATGATACAAAACACTGTTTTTAGAAACTAAATATATAGTGAAAAATCTTAAAAATAGAACTTACTCTTGAATAGGTTAATACTTCAAAATAAATAAAATCATATTTTCAGTTCAGTTTTTAAATGTATTAAGTTTATATTGCTCTTAGTTACTCACACTTTGTTGTGAGAATTATCTAAAAATTATATTTGATGTGTATGTCACTGTAAAATTGTAAACACCGTTAGATTGTAATCTTTCTCGCGAGATTGTAAACTGTCGAAAGATTGTGAACCTCAACGAACTGCTTACAATTTAACGTATTATTATTCGGTAGATTGTAATCTATCGAAGTGAAACCGTCAAATTGTGAAACGGCAATTTTCTACTTTTCTATAACCGAAAAAATCGATTTTCACTTTTAAAAAATAGATTATTTTCGAATAATTTCAGAATTTTCGGAACCATACACTAATTGAAACATGAAGTTAATGTAATGTATGTACATTTGACAAGTAATGGTTAAATTAGGTTTAACTTTAAAATTAACAAATGAGGAAATAGTACATACTGACATAAATCAATTCATATTTTAGAAAAGAAACTTAAAAATTTGAATGTGTGGCGCCAAATGCAAAAATTTAAATATCATATACATATAAAGAATACACTTTTTTACCGGTTCGTGGTCACGGGGACTGGCGCACGCTGTAAAGCACGCGAAACGTCGGATTTTTTAAATTTTTTTAGTATGTAAAATAATTATAAGTTTATAATAATACATAACTTCAATCCTGTAAAAAAGTGTTTTCTTTAAATGTGTAAAAGTTATGTTAATAAAAGACAATATCATATACATACTTAAGTAGTAAAAAGAATGAAATAAATTTTATCAGTTCATCTTGAAAGGTTTACTTCGCTTTCATTGTTAAATCTTTATCAACATAAAGAAAATATTGAGAGAATTGTTATATGTAGTGTATTTTGTTCTTTTTAAGGTATATTAGATTAGATCAGATTCCTGATTATTATTGTAATAATCAACAATATATTGTTAACAATATAGACGAATAAATTATGAGGGTAGAATAACAAAATAAGACTCGGTCAATAAAAAATCTGACCACGCTGGTTAGCATCTCTACATGGTCTGTGCTTCTACTTTATCTGTAGATACTAGAGTTGTGAAGTGCCCTCATCGGTCATGTATCAATAATAATCAGTTGCCTTCCCATTAGGGATAAATTAATATCACCATCATAATAATTAATAATCATATAATAGTCTCATTTATTATTTTTCAACTTTTAACATTAGTCTTATATTCATCTGTAACCTTAATAACAAATTGCATCTAGAAATGAGTTAATACTTTATAATGTATTCCAATTAAATGATGATATAGATTGTTACTTGTTAATAGTACTTTTAATAATTATTAAAATTCACGGATCAGTAAATAAATTATACTTTAAAATTATTGATATATGTATGTCTAAACTATTATTTTTATTACAATGGAAGATCTATCGTCATCTATTAATCAATATAAAACTCAGGTATGTTGTACTCTTTCTAATATCTCGTCAAGACAAACAAAATGTAATTTTACCAAATATTTGCATCTATATAGAGGTTTTATTTAACCTATTATTTCTTTCTTTCTTTTTAGTTGTTGGTAGTCAAACAAAGCCTTCAGTCTACTAGTGATGCAGCAGAAAGACAATCTTTGTTGGAGTTGCAGTCAGAACTCCAGCAATTAATAGATTTAACACAAGAAAGTATAGATGCACAGAGCCAACAGATTTCAACAGAACCTAGAGAAGAAAATGATATAGACACCAAAAATGAGCTGGATGATGAATATGCTTTATTTATGGTAAAAATATTATAAAAGTAACAACTATTTCTATATAACATGCCAACAGCCTGACTGCTTCGCATGGCTGTACATTTTCTTTATTTCAAATTATAACAGAAATAAATATAGCCAATGTTACTCAGGGATACCATAGGATTCTAATAAAAATTCATCTAGTCTGTAACAAACAAATAATTCCTCATATATATTATATAGTGGAGACAGACTCCCATACATTTAATCAAGTTATTGACTGAATACTGATGAGTGCATAATATACTTTTTCTTTACTGTGAATTTATACCCTTAATTTCCTACAAGAACAAAAATCAGAGGCACAATAATAGTTGTAGTAACACACATCAAATGCAGCTCTGGAAGAAGTATTTTTTATATAATGATAATATCTTAAATATTTTTATTTGCAGAGAGAAATGGCACAAAGTGGAGCTTTTGAAAATGAAAAGAGTAAAGAAGCACTAAACCAATCTGACTCAAAAAATGATGATAGTGACATAGAGGTATAAATGTATGAAATCCTAAGAATTTGGTCATTGTCTTGTAGAAAAATTACAAAAATTAACTATCAGTACATCTGAAAAAAAATCTTAATAATGAACCAGTTTGTCAGTAATGCATTATTTTTTCAATAAGATGATTCCTTATATTTTAAGGATGAGCTGTCTTCATTGCTTGGTATGAAGTGTGCAGTATATCACACACACTCATGGGGTGGCCACAGCTTACATAATGCCATGGTTAGTTCAGTTGTTCCACGTCAAGATGATGATCAATTTGGTGATTTGCAGGTAAGATGGGCCAATTTATTTATGAGCTTTTCACTTAAAAATGTGTTTTATTTGTGCCATGTATTTATGTACTATTAAGATGAAACTTTGTGTTAGTTTCTTCAGGGCGCCTTAGCAATGCATTGTTATGATTAATATTCTAAAATATGATTTTGTGAGATTCAGGCTTCTTATATAAATTCTGCATAAAATAGTATTGGGGTTAAGTAAAAATATACCTACGAAATTCTTAATGTTATTTAAAAAAATTATAGGTAAGAGTATTATTCACACATCCAACCCACACTGAGATGTTGCCATGTCCCTATTTTTTAAATGGTGAATGCAAATTTGATGATGAAAAATGTAGGTGAGTTTGAATAATTATATAAATCCAATACTGAATTGTTTGTATGTAAATTTTTTTATTTGTTGAATGAAGTATCTCATATATTGGTAATATTTTTAAAATGCCATAGGAATTAAAATTCCTCTTTCTAAGATCTGTTTTTTTTTTTATTAATTTTTATATTATATTATTCAAAAGGTGATATGGCATATGTTTTTTTTCTTTATTTTAGATATTCTCATGGAGCCATAGTGCAGTTGTCAAGTTTAAAGGAAGCAATTGAACCTCATTATGATACTCTAAAAGTAGGAAGTAGGGTACTGCTTAAACTTAAACCACCTGATACTGAGGTATGATCTGATTGCTGCTATCAGCTTACTTTTTTTAAAATTTCAATGGTGGCCTTATGTTTTAAATTTGGTGGAGTCTACCACTGTGCTCCCCATGAGTACTTGAAGTTGTTGGTTGACCTAGTTGATTAAGAGGAAATCTCATTGAAACCTATAAAATCTTTACTGGCCACTATAATTTTCCAGGAATTGAGAAGCTCTTTATTTTAAGTGAAGATACACATTTGAGAGGTAGTTCTTTAAAAGAGTAGTGGCTGACTGGAAAGTGTAATTAGTTCACCCTTTTTGGACTCTAAAAATAGGTCGGATAATTTCTCCAAATCCTCAAATACGCTCATTAGCTTATTAAGCTGCTAGTGTGTTTATATACATAATAATAGTCCAATTGTGTCAGACATCCATCCTGTCATTGAATAACAGTTCAGGAATCGATAATGCAGTTGTGTTTCTGAGAAAACACTTGAACACTCTAATATTTCCTGTGTACATGGCCTGTCTCATTAGAATATGCATCATAGGCGAATTGGTCTGAATTACACAATTAATACATATTTTTTTAATATTGAAATTAAATATTGTGAAATAATTAAATAGAAAATCTATAAAAAATAATCAGACCTCGGGCTACTTCTTGTTTGTTGATCTTTATTTCATGGTTTTAGGATGTCACAACGCCAAAGAAATCAACTGAGAAATATCTCTTATGGCATAGAGGGGTTGTTACAAGCATAGATTTAGAGAATAGATTGTGTACTGTGAAACCAGAACAGAGAGTTAACACTGGAGAGAAAAGAAAGTCTGCTAATGAAGAATATCATGTGCAATTTGAAGAAATCTTTCCATTGAGTAGTATGTCCATTTTTAACTATTTTGTTATTTGTTAACCAAAGAAAAACTAGTGGAGCGACAATCTTAGTGTTATCCTCCAATTTGTGTTCCATTTTTATTATCCTTTAGTTTTTTAATAGCCTTCTATTTTCGCCTTACGAAGGTGTTTAAAAAAAAGTCCGATGGTGTCCGTGATTTGAAGGCATGACCAGGGTTGAAGGTCGTACGCTAAAGCCATTAGGCCATAGGAACATTAAAAAATCCACGAAAAAGAAACAAATGTTTTGATTACAACATCAACTAAAATGCTATTTATAAGGTACCTCAACTGGACTTAATTATATTCATGAGGTTAGACTGTAATTTTTTGGATGACATAATAACAATATATATACACCTGAACTAGATTTCGGTCAGAGTTGTATTCAGTACTAATACGTACAAAGTCGTGTTTTTGGCGACATAATTTTTTTTTTAATAAAGCTATAAATATTATTTGATTGGGTACAGGAGGTGCTGGTTTTGGAATTAAATTTCTGTACAAGCTAGTTAAATTGTGCACATAAACAGAAAATTCAATTGGTGCACAGCCGGGACTCAAACATGCGACCACAGGATTGAGGGATATATTTTGTTTATAGTTGGAGACGACAGCAGTGACTCTGATGGCAGTATCAGTGATACTGAATATCCCGAGAGAAAAGTCACTCGCGTAGAGTCGAACTCCGCACTCATTGTTGACAAAAGCTTGCAGAATAACTCCCCTGCCTTAGGGGAGTGGGAGAAACATACCAGAGTGAGTATGTATTTATTTTTATCCATTTATATAATAATATCAATATTACTGCTATATTTGTCTGTTTCACTTACATTATCCAAATTTTTTTCGCTGAACTGATTTTGATGTACAGGTGAATCTTAGCCACAAGTTTTATAACATTGACGGAAATGAATAGTGTTACACTGAATTTCTTGATCGTCTGTATTATGTTCTAAAGTGGGTTATATATTATTGATTATTTTGTATTAATTTCTGTCAAATTGTGATATTGACAATCGGTGTTTTAATTAAAACAATTTGATTAAACTTTATCCCTCCTATTAAGGCTATAACGCATTTGTTTGCAATGGATAATCGTTACCATGACAACAAACACGGCATATTTGTAGAACCCATTGTTTTGCTAATAGTAGACTTCCATTACCAGGGTATAGCCTCCAAGCTGATGCTGGCCATGGGCTATGTGGCAGGAAGCGGCCTGGGAGCGACCGGAGAAGGTCGCGTACAGCCGGTTGAAGCCCGTCTTTTACCTGCGGGCAAGACATTGGACCATTGTATGGCTATATCGGAGAAGGCGCGTACGCAGGATCCCTTAAAGGTATTAAGATTGGGGCAAAACACAATTTTGTACATATACATATAGAGCCAGGCTAGATTTAATTTAGTTATTATAAATTATTATTATTGCATTTATGTATATATTTTTATGTATCAATGTTGAGTAGTTTTGTTGTTTGTAGATAGGTTCCCACCTAATTTATTAGTATACAAAAAACCACTAGCGATACAACCTTTGAGGCGTGGGCCTCATATATCTGTATGTCTCGGGATCGTTTGTTTTTTTCTAATAGACAAGTGTCAGCCTTCTGTGACTGACACGCCGTCGACTGTTTAGGTCTAAGGCATTTTTAAAGGTTTTATCACGATGTTTTCCTTCACCATATGACGGAGTGTTAAATCATTATTACATATTTTAATATTATTTATTAGGTCGAACAACGTTTAAAACGTCTACAAAAGAGGGAAGAAGAAAGAAATAAAAGAGCATACGAAAGAGAAAAGGAAAGAGAACGTCGTAATGTTTTTAACTTCATAAACAAAACGTTAGGGGATACTACAGAAGCAAATGAAGTACCCACAACTTCTATAGACATAAAACAAACTTCAAGCAAAGATTTAAATATAGAACAGTTTAAACTAGAAGAAGAGAGCAGAAGAGTAGAAGGTGAAATAATTAAATTGAAGAATACACTCGGTAGATATCCTCCAAGTACAAACGGACACAGAAGTGTGGCTCAGCAGTTGACAGAGAAAAGTAAAGAGTTGGCTACTTTGAAAAACAAGGAACAACAAATAGCTCGAGAACAGAAACATCGTAAGGACAAACAGAAAATGACTGTTTTTTAGTTCTTCATGTTTATTATTAAGTTTACTAAAGTATTTAATATAATAATAACTACAATCTGTCTTTTATTTTCAAAACAATTAGCCGTTATAATGCGTAGAAGTTCCAGAACAACAATTTTTAGGGTTTGATTGACACATAAGGCCTAATTTGCCACCATACCATTAGAATGTTTTTATTAAATCATAAATATGATTAACGAAACTTATGCAAAAATGAATTGGAATCGTCTGCTTCTAAGGCTCTCATGGCACCTTGCATAGTTTATATTTTTGGTTATTAAAATTAACAATAAATTCTAAATATGGGAGCGTTCAAGTATTACGAATTTTTTGGAGATTATTGACCCCCGACCCCCCCTCCCCCATGTAACGCGCCGTAACGTGTTTCTGTACCCAAGTATAGTAAAACGTTGCGTGAAAAATAAAACCAATATATATTAATTAAAATTTCTATATTTACAGGTGATGTTTTAAATAAGCGTACATGGCATATAATTACAAATTAATATATGAAATATTTCCTCTATAAATTAGATTTTTGTACTATCAAACAATATTACAAAATACTTACACATAAATGGATACTGTGACTAGCAAATAACATTTGCCGATTATTTAGTGACAGTGGTCAGGTATGTTTAAAAACTTATCTAGTTGTAAGAGGTGACAATAAACTTTATACATATTATATTAAATTAAAACAAAAAATTAACGACCACAACCTCTATTAGACAAATTCGTTGTTACTTTACAAATTGTAATGTATTTATAATAAACAAAAATTCAAATAAAAAAAAAAAGTGATGTACTTGTTTGGCCATGGCTCAACGTTAAGGATTTGACTTGACGAAGGTTCTAGCAAATTTTCGATAAGTTTTTTACTTATCGAAAACTGTCAATCTCATAGTAAAAAATTAATAAAATTACAATTATAATTGAATTATAGGGATTAAAAATACATTATCATTATTAACACGATTTACGATGAAAAATGCACTTCATTTTATACATAAATTCAGTAATAACTTTAATAAATTTCTAAGCTTTTGGGATATAAATGATGTTGGACGAAAGAAAAATTATTGTCACCATCTTACTATTCAGCTAATAGCTTCAAAAGCTTGAAGATAAATTGCAAGCATTATAATTTTATCTAATTTTAAAATGAGTATAAATGACAACATTATAATTTTGCATATTAAGTGTGCTACATGAGCAAATTTTTGTACTCTTAGACGCATTACTGGAGTTTAGTGACTACAACACAAAATACACTAATAAGATCTAATTTGAGAGAATCGTCTAAAAGACTACACAATCCGACATGACATTTTCTCAGTCAGTATTATCCTAATTACACTCTACTCGCGTGAATTAAAAGAGCTGGCGGACATACAGACGAAAAACATAACGGGTTAAAACATTAGTTTATATGATAATAAAATTATTTACTCATAAATTTTGTACGTTCGTTTATATGTTCCCCAGCTCATCCGTAACAAATATTGCGCTGACGCTGTCAAAGATTCAGCTAAAATATCTATTTCGATAAAAAATTAATACTAATTAAAATGTTTCTGCATTGCAATTTACTAAAATGATCATCACAGTTGTTAAACACATTCTCTCACACACATACACTAGAGAGTGGTAAAATAAAGAGAGACTTTTGCTAAATTAAAATAAGACGTAAGTACATACGAATAGAGTTGAGACTCCTCGCCACCTTGAACTATTGGCTTTGTGATGTCTACTTTTGTGATTATGAACACGGTTAAGCTTAGATTTCCTAGAAAAGCGGTGCCGTTAACTAACGGCCGTCATTTCACGTTTGTTAATAATGGCCGTCTTTTCTTTTTAACATAATGCAAAAAAACATCATTAACGCTCGTCCAAGTAACGTTTCCACTCATTGTATTAATTAAATATGGGCAGCGCTACACGCGAAAAACGTTGAACTAATGTTTATCATCGCTACGACGGCCGTCATGCATATGACAGCACCGTTATTTGACGTTAGGGTGACACTCGACGTTCTTTAGGAAACCTCCTCCGATGTTATTTATAGACAACGTATGGGTGACGTCACCTAACGCTACATTACGGCCGTTAGATAACGGCACCGCTTTTCTAGGCAACCTAAGCTTTAGTGAAACGTGAAACGGAACCTTCAGTAATAATATCGCCTTTTGAAAGTTATATTTAGGCTGACCGCGAAGTGCGCCTGAGATTCATATCTGAATGTGATGTAAAACTTTTAAAATCTTAAATAATCGAGAATTCTATTCGCCGATTTAACCGTTTCTACGGCATTAAAAACGAGCACATACGTACGCATACTTGTGCAACATTGGTATTTTTTATATTACTACTGCTGCCCCGGCTTTGCAGGTGCTATGTAGATACTAACTAGTGACCGTATGGGGTTACTAATAATTAAGCTATTTTAATCATAGTATGTACATATCGTCATAGTCGTAAAATAGTGACGGATCTGACAAACTTTACAGGGCAGCCATTTCAAAATAATATATTCATGTTAGTTTTATGTCATAACTTTTTTAATTCATATTCTGTAATAATTATGAAAATTGGCATACAAACAAACAATAGGGTTTCTTTTGAAACAAAATTAAATTACACAGTTTTCTAGAAATTTAAAACACATGATTTTTTTTAATGTAGTCGTAATTAGCCGTATTTAGTAGTCAATGTAGTATCCAAATATGATAAAAAGTGGATTTTGGATTTATTTCAAATCCGACATTGTTCTACGATCATGACGATATACCAGCCGTAGACGAAAACGACAATATATTAGTATAAACAATAGTAATACAATAAAAAGACTCCATGAAATTTCCAAGTATACGCACGCAACTAATAAACCACTAGGTGCGCAATCGGTTAAGTACGCAGGCCATGGCCTCTTCTACGTTGTCAAAGACAGGCACGGCCGCGCGACGAGCTAGGTCTGTTAGATAATGCCGCCCCCGGTTGTAGTCTTTTACCGCTGCTTCGCTGAACTGAAACATATAAAGGTAAAATTTTATATGATGAGGAATTTTAGGTCGCAGCTAAATTACTTATTTTTGTAGTATTGTCTTTTATTAACATAACCTTTACACATTTAAAGAAAACCCTTTTTAACCGGATTAAAGTTATGTATTATTATAAATTTACAATTATTTAACCGACGTTTCGCGTGCCGTACAGCGTGCGTGGTCACGGTGACTGATGACAAAAGTTGTTGAATGTCAAAAAAGTATCACAGCTGTAGAAAAAGTTGCATTATCTGTATTTATTTCCCCGGAGTTGGTATCGACTAAAAGATGGAGGGTTTTGGCAGAAATGGCTCACGTAATTGTAAATTTATAACAATACATAACTTTAATCTAGTTAAAAAGTGTTTTCTTTAAATACTTATTTTTGTACTTAAAACAAACAAGTTAAATCTATCTATTTGTTACTAAATTGTATGACACGAAGTAAATGAGGATTGTAGTTCGCTGAGCCACGCCGGTTCTTTTTCTACATAGTCATTAGCAATTCGAAAGTTTAATAAGCAATTGTAATATTCAAATTGGATTTTTTTATCGTTTGCAGTGTTCATTTGCTCTTCTGGCCATTCTGACTTTCACTCCGTGGAGTGAAAGCCGTCTCCTAATGTTAAACATGACATGGACTTAATGTGATCCTGATTATGTAGGTCTCGAATACAGGCTATTATTATTTTATTAGTGTTCATTTGAGGTTGGCATACCTCAAATTTTAAGACAGTTTTATTTGCAACAGACTAGTCTTTTAAATACAATTTAAATTAAATTAAATACAAAATCTAATATTAGAAGTTATGATAATTCATGTGGATATTACGTTGTTTATTATTGGTTTCACTTAAGTTTTCTTTAGTTCACCTGGAAGAGATTGCTTAAAATCGATCTTTCTAATTTATTCAGTTTACAGCAACAAAATGTTAAATTATATGTACCTGATGCACCGTAGTAGGCGGGGCCTGCATCGGTTGCACGATGAGTAGGGTGTTAGCGGGGCGAAGGCCCATATAGTGCGCCGCTAGCACCATCGTCGAGAAGTTGGGCGATGACGATGACAGCGAAAACACTAACACGCGTGAACCTAGCAGCAGGTCCTCATCAAAGGTACCTGAAAAGTATCAAATAAATTTTTCTTTACTTATGTTTGCAAAAAAAGCTCTTTGTATTTATATATAATTTAGCTTAGATAATTTTTGCATGAAAAATATATCTTACAATATTGATAATATACACAATGTAATAGAACTAGTCGTGATAAAAACATAAGAAATACCTTTAAAAGGCTGCGGCGTGACATCCTCCGTGACAGTATAGAAGTCAGATGCGCTCAATCTATCCGTGCTTCTCTCTTCCTTTTTTTCCCTTAGTTCAACGTCCTCCAGCGGCGAAATTGGCGACGCGGGCCTTGGCTTTTTATCTCTGCACGGCGATTCGGGATGCGCCGGCGCAGAGCGACGAGTGGGCGTTGAAAATAGACGTGTATAGTCGTTGACTCTAGGTATCACGTATGTGAAACCTTCCCGACGTAGGATGTCTTCGGGACGTCTACTGTTTGACTGGAATGATGAAATAAATTTTTGACACATTGATAACGACTTCGTGTATAGTATATATATTAATTGTTTTTTTTTTAAATTTTAGTCTGGTATTATTTTTTTTTTACAAAAAAAAAATTGTTATTATGGAACATAAGATATATGTATCACTTATTCCACGTCATTAAATTTGAATTTGTAGGCATCCCTACTCATCGGTAAAGAAGACAGAGGGTGTAGGCCGAGAGAAAAAGCCGGCGTAAAAAACTCTCGGTACTCTTTTAAAAAAGAAAATCAACTCACTACTACAATCTAAAGTTTTTATATTAAATTTCGGTTTAAGAATAGTGTGATGTGGAAAACTTTGCCTCTAGTTTACTCTTTCATATGAAACATCTCATTTGTTTGAGAATTATACACGAATAAGCATAGTTCTTTTCCTAGAACTCATTAAACATATTTGATTATAGTGACAAATGACCTACTGACATCTTTACTCAGCTATTAGTCAAAATATAAACAGTAATATTCGTAATTAGTTAACAATTTAGCGATGGAAGCGCTGTAAAACTAAGTTAATATAACATTTATCACAAATAATTACATTTCATGATGGGCAGTATTTTATTGTAAAACAGGGAGCAAAGAGGCTGTAGCTCACCCCACACTATCAACTATGAACTCTCAATACCGTGCCTCATTGTCAGCAAATTTAAATACAGTAATACTTTTTTATTTTCAATTTATTACTAAATAACTGATTTTGGTTTAGCCGTAAGAGAGCAACAGCCTATTTTAAAACTTAATGATATTAATGTTAACCATAAAGGGTTAACAATAATAATCCCTGCAACATTAATTGTCTCTTTTATTAACTAGCTTTAAACGCATTCGCACGTTATATTTATATTTTCGAAATATATGCTTTAAGTATTATTTTCAGTCAGTCCAGTAATTTTTATTATTACAAATATACAAATCTTTATCATATTAGTATATGTACACGAATGGATTCGGTTAAAAATTTATTAGTCCAAAGATTAACATAAACCTTTATATAGAAAAATCTCTTTATTTTCATGGTTAAATTTTCTAAAATTATAATTAAAAATATATATTAATTGCTAGTAATTCCTCCATTTATTGTAACCAAACTTTCCACAACCCAGTACAATAGTGCATTACGTTTACCGATACAAAACATAACGTGCTGATAAGTCGGAATGTAAATAACACGAGCATAAATATAAATTACATAAATGACTTTGTCATTATGTGCGTTAATTAACGTCATTGAACAATTCACATTGTAATCATGTGTCGCCGTTAATTTTATTTTATCTTTTTAAATATACAATCAATTTTACTATTATATTAATATATATAAATTACGTGTCACGTTGTTTGTCCGCTATGGACTCCTAAACTACCGAACCGATATCAATAAAATTTGCACACCGTGTGTAGTTTGATCCAACTTAAAAGATAGGATAGCTTACATCTCCATTTATAACCACAATATTATTTTATTGCAAAATATTTGTTTATTATTTGGTAGTCACAATTCTAACAGATGCGCTGTGTTGAAACGTTTCACATAAGCTACAATTTAATGGCATAACCACCAAAAACGCATGGTGGTCCCCATGACTGGTGTTCTCTTACCGTTTCCCTTGAATAGTTTGCTACTATGTAATATAACAAAAACCTTAGCCACAGCAACGCTTGGCCGGTCTGCTAGTTATATTATAAAACATCATCTATCTTTTTGGCCAGTGTTGGCCTAGCAGTTTCAGCGTAGAACTCAGACCCCTGAGGTCGTAAGTTCGATCCCCGACTGTGGACTTTCCTTTTATGTGCGCATTTAACATTTGTTCGAATGGTGAAGGAAAATATCGTGAGAAAACCGGCTTGCCTTAGACCCATTAAGTCGACGGCGTGTGAAAAACACAAGAAGCTGATCACCTACTTGCCTATGAGATTGACAAATGATCATGAAACAGATACAGAAACCTGAGGCCCAGGCCTAAAAAAGTATGTAGCGCCATGGATTTTTTTATCTATATAAATTATTCAAGTTTTATTAAAATTCTCACGCGAATAATATTTGTAAATAAACTTACGGGGAAAGTTCCTGCAAGGTATACATGATGAGCAGGCGCTCCGAGCAGTGCGGGCAGTCGCTCCAAACGTCGTTCAGTGCCTGGAGTGAACACACTATCGGCGCTGCTTGAACCTGACTCCTCGCCTGTCTTGCCGCCATTCTGCATAAAATATTGAGAAGTGAGAAAACTGAAGCTCTTAACAGACACAATTCTGCGTCTGTTTTATTTTGTTTATGTAGATCACCTATGTAAGAATTTTTATGAATAAGAGGTATAAAATTAAAACAGTAGTTTATTAATATACAACGAACAAATTTATGCAGTCATAATAATAATTACAATATATATAAGTATATCTTATATTATATTATTTCTTGTGTGTGTATGGTGAACTCCTCTAAAACATATGAAATTCTTGTGTGTCAGGATCGAAGTTAGATTACAAATCACCCGGCAGATGGCAATCCAGTCCGTAACTTTCATACGGCTTGATATCCGATGTTTAAATATCAGGGGGGAGTGTGGGGGCCCTGTTAAAATTCTTGTGTCACAATGTTAGTTACCATAATCCTCCGTAACGGCTTGACCGATTTTTATCAAATAATAGTAGGTCTGAGAATCGGCTACTATCTATTTTTCATACCCGTAAGTGATAAGGGTTGTCCAACCACCCCTAACATTTTATTTTTTGGACGAAATTTTAATTTTTTTTAATGCGCCAGTAAAAAATACATACAACCCTTAATTTTCACCCCTCTACGATCAACCCCTATTTTTTATTATAGTAGATTTTCATTGAACTAAAAAAATGTTTCCTAGAAATAATATACATGACAAAACAACGTTTGCCGGGTGGGCTAGTAAAACTATAAAGATTTCTAACTCATGCCCCATCGAATGGAATGAAATGTTAATTTACCTTGGGTATAACCAAAGACAATTTCTGTCCGTGCGCACGAAGCCGTGGATTACGAGCATATCCGTTAGAATCGCGTTGCGCGAGCGGCGACACACGCTCTTGCGTACTTGCTGATTCGCCCGCTTCCTTCTCTTGACCCTTGTTACGTTGGTATTCTGAAATATATTTTAATCATGTTAACTCAATTTGATAATATAAATAAAAATATAGTTTCAGTTGTCAGTCGGATTTGTTTGGTGGAACTTTCGCGTACACGTACTTTTAGTAGAAATACTACAAAATGTCTTTTGTTATGACTGGCAGGTCACTACAATTTTGATATATAAAACTGCTTGTTCAACAAGACTTAATAGGAGTGAAAAAATATCTTTTAATAATCGATTTTTGTTAATACAACTCCTTAAGGGAACGGGCGGTAGTTCTTTTTTAAATTGTAACCTTTTACGCCCTTCGAAATGTTGAAGTTGTTTTTAGCACCGTTTCATTTGACCACCATTTTGGCAAGCAGCATTTTTTATACGGGCGGTAGTTAAAAATCTCTATCTTAAGATCTACTAAGAACTAAAATTGTAGCTTAAAACGTAAATAACTTATTAAAGCTGAAATAATGTTGTTATAAAATCAATATAAGTCCATCACACTAAATTAAAAAAAATAGCAAGGCCAATTAGTGTTTTCGCAAAACAAAATTAAACACCAAACTATATCAGCATGATTACATTCGCAGAATTAACGTTTACTGATGTTTCCGCGAAATCAGATAAGTTAAAATTTCTCGTTAATTGTTAGTTTATACATAGTTGTTTACGAGTCAATTACTATGAAATCGTCGTTAATTTTTGAATAGTTCTTTGTCTCATATTATTTAAATATTTATATAGAGAAAATCACTACAACATCAAAAACGTCAGCCGAAATTAAAACACTAAAAATAATATTAAAGCAGTGATTCAGCGATTATTCATATGAATGTAGGCATGTCATAAACTACCCACTTATATACACAATGAAATGAAACCAAGAAGCTATAAGAGCGCGCACAGACCGGGTGTTGTTGGTGAAGTGATAAAATCGCGGAGATTTCGAAACGCGCGTCGAACACGCGCTGCTACGCTCATACTTCGCCGGGACCCTTTTAACACAATATTTTAAATATATCAGCGTTCAAAAACAAACATATAATATGTATTGCTCATAATCCGAAAGTTATAGACTGCACATATACTGACATAAACCTTTTTTTGTCTTAGGACAGCAAGGTAAGAGGCATAAGATATACCATATAGTATCAATTAATTTACCTGCATCGGCAGCTAACTCGGCAACGGCTCCGCAGAATGTTTCAAAGTCAATTGTATCTGCGTTTGGTGGTAAAACGCGCTCTGCTACATCTCGGGACGCACGCGTCGCCTCTTTTAACGCATCTATTGCGCGAGCGCGTGACAACCACGCGTTTCGACCGCCAGCTGCATCGTATGCCCTTTTGAGTCGAAGAATTGTGTGGCCCAGAGAATGTCTGGGATGCGTTCTAGCGCCTCGTAGTACGGCCCGGGCGCAGCGTAAAGCAGCTGGGATGTCTGTAAAGGCGGGTAGGCCTCGCCTTTCCACTACTTCTTGTAACGTCGAACGGGCGCGAGACAGCTCTATGTACTCTCTGCAATAATTTGCACTTACTTATGACCCAAATATTTTAAATACAGTATAAACATTTTCGTGTTTAAAATTTGTACTTCATTGTTAGTTTTTCTCACTCCAACATAGGGACAAAAATTACATGAAACCACTTACTGATCTGATATCGTTTCCCTGCCGATAGCCTGATGTCTGGAGTAAGGCCTCAACACCAGCAATAGATCCCTGGGTGCAGCTGCAAGGTGTGCTGCCTCAACGCAGGCCGCGACAGCCCGCGTCTCGCTGTCCAATACGAATAACAGCGCACGCGCCTGTGCTTTAGCGCGGTGCTCGACTTCTATTAACTCTGTCGACCAGTCATCTACTTGCTGAAATAAGAAATACTTTATGTTTACACAAACTTAATAGGTCGTTCGCTATTTAATACTTTTAGTTTTGAGGTAAGCTAAGTATTGAGCTGTGCTGTAATAGGGATAACGTAGTGTACTTCAAAGGTATACATATTGTATTGGCAATTAAAATTCAACATCGTAGCGTCTTGCACATGAAAAACGTGTCAACTAGGAGGAAGAAAAGATGACCTACCAACTGTTGAATATTTGCAGCACTGATATTATTAAAACTGGACAAATCGTTTTAATATTTTCTCTTCTTTTGATAGTTTAGAATAGGATATTGATTTCAGGCGCTACAAAATAAGATTTAGGCAACGAGGAGGTAAGAAAAATATTCTCATATACCTACGTAAGATTTTACACAGTAACAATGTAAATTAGCTAACGTATTATTTCGTGATTTATCCTTATCAACATCTCATATTGATAACATAAATTATGTCGGTACAAGGTCGGACGTGATGAACTTTATCGTTCAATATGAACGTGTTTAAACCGATTTCCAAATTAATGTAATGTAATCACGTTCGGGTTAGGAATGTACGCACCTTACAATCTGGTCACGCAGTACCGAAGATATCAGACACTATATGTATGTGCAATTATTTTTTGTCACCTTACGACCTAAGGAATGTTGTATACGATTGATAGGAATACAAAATAGTGTTTGTAACTTCGCAGAACTGTTAATGTTTTTTTTTAATTCTATTGTCTAAAATATTTTGCTATTCTATCCTATATCTTAATCTATCTACATTCGTATCTAGTAATTGTAGGTTCGATTCCCTGCTACGAAATAATCGAGTCGGGTTGGTAGGCTAAGACCGTTTCACCGTGACGTGAAGGTATCACCCTAACAGCTAAGTCTTGACTAGGTAAATAATGTTTTAGTACGTGTATTTATTTGTAAATTGCCACAGGACTGTTCAAAATATTTTTATTTGTGTACCCTGAGACGAAGGACCTCAAACCAAACAATAAATATAACTTAATACTTTAAGCTGCAAAAAATTCTACTAAAAAATATAAACAACTTAAATTCATATTTCAGACTTCCCCAACCGACAAATAAGTCCAGTTCTTGTGCAAAACTAAAGAAAAGATTAAGCAGCGAGATCATGAACGTAATCGGTGGCTGCTGGTGTAGGACACTTCGTGTACATATAATTCCTCCAAAAGTTCACAGTACTTACGTTTGAGTTTGATATGGAAGAGCTGAGAACCCTGACACAGGTATTTTTTTACTAAAAAGGGTTCCCACATCTTACACATAATAATGCATATGTACTTATGATGAATAAACAATTTTTTTTTACTTACAGGATTAAAATATGTGATTCCCATTTGCTTAAGCATCGGTATAGCGATATCCGATCTCCAAGTGGTAGGGTTGCACGAGCCGCCCAAAAACACCTCGCACGGTGCTGGCGACGCCTCGCTACCTGCGCACAAAACAACCATTACTTATACTTTTCACTAGCTAAACGGTGTACCATCGAGACAGCCCATAATTAGAGAAAAATCCCAATTATGCTTGAAACACTGCCCTTGGCCGAAACTGTTTAATCAAGTATGAAAAATCTTACGTAAAATCTCGGTCGTGCCTGACAGATTTTGTATATATTTCAATAGGTACAAAATTATATTCTATCGAGATTCGTTGGGGTGTATGGCTACAACGAACGATAAAGAGCTCCATAGTAGTTGAGACATTAGCTTATTAAAAATATGATTTTTGAAATACAAAATATCGATGTTATTTTTTATGTAATTATCTAAAACTCATACAAACGTTCCGATCATCAGAGTGATCGATGTACGAACTAAGCAACATAATTATTTTGTACTGTTTTCTATTTAGTAACACGGACGTTATTGTCTTTGAAAATACTTGACAGTTCGCGTAAAGAATATAAAGAATTCACGCTAAACAGAGCTCAAAATATGCTCTTAACGATGTTTTTAATTTTTACATATAGAGGTCGGCTGCTGCTCCAGTGACATCATCCATTACTACGCACTACGTTCATTATAATAACAAGTTAACGCGATAATAATAAAGATATTTTTTTCTTATAATATTTCATAATACAAGAATCACTTTTACATCTGAATATTTTAACGTTAATTGTATGTTTTTGCATTAGACTATTACGAAATGCTGTACGTTATTCATGCAAGTTAAACTAATTAAATATTTAAAAACACTTCGCCAAATCAAAACGAATTCTATACCGATAATTATAAAAGAATATTGTTCTGAAAAATAGCAAAAGTGATGACAGACTGCTACTAATTTTAAGGCGCGTAAAACGTCAGAGCACTTTTTTATATCAGAGGTGGAAATACATTTGAACATACCCTGTACCCTCCAGGCTCTTTGCGAAGAAGAGCACTGAGTGAATAATTACAAGAATGAGGCTCGGAATTCTACCATTACTATTAGAAAATCGTAATTTTATCTGATAAAATTTATTTCCAGTATGTTCTGATTGACAGATAGAAAGTGACCTATAGAATTTCAAAGGTGAACTAAAGAGAAATAGCATACGTAGGTGTTGTAATTATAAGTATAGGATGTTATCACGTGTGTAGCCCACGCTTTATCCAACAAATTCCGCATCTAACCTAGTAACCTCTACGTCACAACTACATATAGTTGTATAAGGAAGGAAATATCCATAACACAGAGTACCTCTTCCAATGTAATAAATTCCTATCCATTTTACGTCAATACAGTGGATGAGCAGTTTTGAAATTAGGGATTATCGGAAATCCGTATATAGCAGTATAGTAGTTCCACAATATATGTAGTTATGGAAGACAGAAAGAGCAGTTTTAAGAGTCTGGGTATCATCATCATTGTCCAACTTCATGTCATCTTAATGCGATCATGTAATCTACACACGAATTGTACTTCCGAGTGATACATTGGTTTATAATTCTTCCTTAATTCAGTTTTTTGATGGGACAGGAAGCAAACGGCAAGCTCTTTGAATAAAGTAATAACCGCCGTCTATCAACACCTGCAACGCCGGGTGGTAGCGGGTGTGTAGCCGACCTTTCAGGGAATGGTCACACTCTTACTGTATGTAAGGTACCCTTTATCTGTATATAAGTATAATAATTATATATACATAACTAAGTTTAAAACAGCGATGTTTTGCACACTTTTTCTTTTAGTTATTGTATTATGAGGTCTTTTAATTCCGTTTGTGTAGACAGACGTACTTCCTGCATATGCTAGATCGCATGCATGCATCGCCTTTTCTCGGTTATCCAATCGCTTTAGAACTCCTGATGTAAATCCCGGAACTAAAATAAAATCGTTTTTGGGTTTCTCAAACACCTCGTCCGCTGCTTTTGGCCGGGCCCCTCTTTTTCTGTTTTGATCTTTAAGTCCGGAGATATTTGAATTTATTTTCGTCTATTTGCTGTCGCTTCGCTATATGTTCGCAGAGCGAGTTCACAGTAGCGATGTATATTTCGATGTATAGTGATATATTATCCTATATATTATATATTTTATTTTAATTTCGCCATTATCGAAATCCGACCGAAATAATTTTCTTACGTTACCTGACAATTGATATGATAAAATTTAACAAATTTCCGATCAATTATAAAGTCGAGGGCAGAATTGTATTGCTTCCTCCTGGACGAGAATTAGGTTCAGAACTGAGCCATAGCAGTTATGGTAATAAATTAGACTATAATTAAACTCGCAGGATTCAAACGATACGCAATTATTGAATGGGACAGTTAATTGTTAACAATTATGCTGTGGCGTCTTGAACACGCAACTAATAGGAACAATAACTGTTAGCTGAATTCCAGACATACCTAATATATTGTCTATTCCGGGTCCACAGAGCGAAGAGATTTACAGAGGTATTTAAAATTGAGTTCCTAGTTCGTTTATTATTTTAGAATCTGTATTATGATAACTTGAAGAGAATTATAAAATATCACTATAATTCGATTTTAGTTTTTTTAAGTGATTATCATTGCAGGCATCGAAAAACCTTATAGCGCTGCTAATTGAAAGTTATTTTGTTATTTGTCTGACCAATATAGGATCTCACTGAGCACACTTCGATCACAATTCTCTAATATTTTTCTAAGCGCAAAATTAACTCTTTTGGCAGCCTCCTTTAGGGGTAAAGTAGAACTCTCTCCGGAAGACATGTTAGACGAATATAAGTAACTAAAAATAGATGTGACTAATATGATGATACACCTTAATTTAGAAAGTAAGGTGAATGCTCCATTCAAGTCGTGGTGTCCGTAATGATTGACGAGTTTTGGCGTGGGCTAGCACGAATTCATTCTACATAAAATATACACCTACATAGTGATCGACCACACCACCAAATTTAGTATGTACTTTAATAGAAATCTAACTATATTTTCAGACTCTTAGATAATTATGAAAACAGATTTTTTTTAAAAGGCCTGTAATTTAAAATTACTGATTTATTTGTATCATTATCAACGTAATTATTTCTTCACAAATTGCACAAGGCTGAATAAAAATAGCTATTATTGATTTCACATTTAACGCGGAAGTAATAATAATTTATAGTAATAAAACGCCACAAGCGATTAGCTTATTGAGAATGAAATGTGGACATCGTATTTCGGTCCGACATCCAGTGCCAAATGTAAACAACTAGTCAACAAACATATGGAGCACTTCACATCGCACAATACACCAATTGAAGTGACAATCACTGTCGTACGATTGTACTAGCACATTATTTTGTAAACAATAGTACCATTACTTGATACTTGTAAATGACTACTAACTATTAAACTTTGCTTGTTTATAGAAATTACTGTAGACGCACAGGGCACGATCATGGTGGTAGGCGGCATTGTAGGACACTCGCGCGACGCGCGCTGCTCCGTCTGACGGCCGGCGGCCAACTGACTTCCCTTCCAGTTGTAGCCAACAATTCCGCATTAAAATAATATGTTATATTGCAAAACGACTGCAAAATTATGTCTTAATACGTGCTAAGACAATTGCTCGTAGTACTATGCTACGTACATTAATTACGCACTCACACGAGTAGTAAATACTACACACGTACTAAATCATCCAATTGTATTCGTTGTTTTAATTGTGTAATTATTCGAATTTTAAAAATGCTTCGACCAAGCTGTCATCTTACGAACTTACGCTATGTGAAAAATAATTGTAGCACTAGAATTCGGGGACTAAAGCTTGCGGGGAATTACATTACTAAATTAGTGGAATGCATGGGAAATCAGTTTCACGAAAGTAGTTACGATATATGCGAAAGTAATTTCGTGAAATAATAAATGTCGTGAAATCCTCAGTATCGCAGTAACCATGGCCTCATCAGCATCAAAGCTTTATTTTTCTATATTCAATGTAGCTAAAGAGTTGCTGCGTTTTTTAGCAACTGGAAATAGTTTTAAGTCTTTAACATAAGAATTCAGGGTGGCATCATACAGCACAGGCACTTTCGCGATACTAGTTTCACGTCGCATCTCCATCATAAAATAAGTTGCGTTTTGAATTACACGTGAAACTGTTGGTAAAAATAATGTTACGAAATTAATTTCATGCCACTAATTTCGTTATGTAATTCCGGCTTAAGTGTATGTGTTTTATATCTCGAGTGCCTTAATATTTTACGACGCATTTACTATAAAACCATATTTGGCAATAATAAGTTATATCTTAAATAATAACAATCAGAAAATGTAAACACGTCGAGTCTTTATTGTCTTCCTAGTGATAAGGAAGTCTGAATGACAATGATTTGTTTGTCAGCGGTTATTTTAACATTATAATCTTGTGCTAAATATATTATTTTAAACCAAAATCCAGAAACACTGGTTTGACTATTCATCCTACTCATACAAAACAATAAAGGTATTTGCATTTATTTAAAATTTCACATTCGCGTCTAAACGAAGATTAAATTTAAGAATTCCTTTTTAACCCTAAAAACTTTGTTTAAATATTCATAGCGTCAGTAGAAGGGATTAAGTAACCTAAAAAAAACCTAAACTTTATTGTAAAATTAGTTTTTAAACGATCCAGTTTAAACTTTATTAACTAACCAAGTCGACTGTGTTAGCGTGCAACCTTTTGCAATTTTTATACAATAATATTTTCTCGAAAATTAAAATACCAGCCTATTTTTATTAAACCTCACATAACCCGAATGCAATTATTGGAGACGGCATCTCCATTCAAACGGTTGACATGCTCAGACGCATCGTAGCCGCGTAGCGCTTCCGTACTCCCATTATAGCGTTACGGAAGACTCAGGAAGGTCGCGGCTGTCACTTATTTATATCATTAGATAAATCTTCATAGTTTTCAAACCATAAAAAATTTAATATTATAAGTGTATTCAAATGAAGCTTCCGTGTGGGTAGCCATATGGAAAATTAGCTTAAACAAATTATTTTAATTTTAGATTCGAGTATGATATATGCTTTTAATATATACCGATACAATAATTTATATACTTACGACAAATATATTTATATAAACTGGTCCACATAAAATGCGCTTTCCGCTTAAGTTTTTACCATATCTATATAATTACATCACTTCCTATATACGTCGTCTTATTTCAGAAGAATGTCGAACCGGAATTAATAAATGACCTACACTAATAAGGAACTAATCCATGGGACGTGTGTCATCAGAATTCCGAATAAAATGACGGTATTTTTTTTATAAAAGTCATGCTTATGATTCTGCGCAATATTAAATAGATTACACAGGACATCCGACCCACAAAATACCAAAGCATTTAGAACACAATATATATTGTATTATTTTCATAGATTATAATAAAATTGTTAAGAAGAGGCAAAATAAAAAACACCATCCGTATCACCTCTACGTCCGTCGTTTTTGCCGCTCACCATCGTTATGTGAAACCAGCTGCCCACTGAAGTATTTCCGAACCAATTCGACTTAGGGATCCTTCAAGAAAAGAGCGTAGGTACCAATTCTTGAAAGGCCGGCAACGTACTTGCGAGCCTTCTGGCAATGTAAATGTCCATAGGCAGCGGTTTCACTTCCTATCCTGCCGTTTACATAAAAAAAAGTTTCTATGGTAAAACTAATTTATAAAAATGCTTTAGGACTATCGATAATTGAGTGTTCAGACTAATATTCTTTATTTGTACGAGTAACAATAAAACGTTTTATGGACGGTTGACGTGAATATCGCTATTAATAAACAAAGATTCACATTGAATGACGCAAAACGCTTTTCATCTCTCACTCTTCCGCTGTTTAATTCCAAGTCCATTGTTGACTGTACTAATTTCCAAGTCGGCGCCGCTTTATCAATAAACATGTGGTGGCAACCTTTATTGGTACACAAATAAATCATCATGATTAAGGGCCCAAAGTAATATAAGGCGCGTACTCAACGGTGACCTTAGTATCGGATGAGGCCACTAAGTTGGGCACGGATTAAGGGAAACTGTTTCCTGTTTTCCGTCCATAGGTGGATGGGTCTGTTGGGTTAACGTCTAACCCCGACCCCGAAACTCTCCACGTCACTTTAATAAGTTGCCCCGACGGCGGAGTATATAAATGGATTTCTCCACAATAAAAAAAACCCCTAAAAGAATCGCGAAGGTTTTCGTTTGGCAGTGTCTACACTGTGTATATTAGAGAATAGGGGAGGGGCATATCCTTGCCACAAACTTGTCTATGAAGATTCATGGAGATCCAAAAGAGCAAGATAATTACCACAATCCAAAAGCATGAAAATATTTTCTATCTATCTATGACACATATCAGAGTATAATATAATAAGGCTATCATCGTAGCGACACCATTAAATTTATATGTAATTAGGTGCCAATCACTTCCTCCACGATCGGAATATATCTTAATATATATATTTCTTGTGTGCGTGTGTATGTGACTGAACTCCTCCTAAACGACTAGACCGATTTTGATGAAATTTTTTGTGTGTGTTCAAGGGGATCTGGGAATGGTTTAGATTCACAAATCAGCCCGGCAGATGGCACTGCAGTCGGTACTTTCATACTTTGCTTAATATCCTAATCGCTTTAAATATCATGCAGGACAACGTCTGTGGGGTCCACTAGTAATATATAAAACTATATGTTAATTGTAAATACGTATGTATCAGTGTATCAGAGTAAACAAGATATGCTCGGTTATTACGTCAGCTTCATATGGAATAAATAGTGTATTGTTTATGACTTCAGGATCCGTTTACTGAATTATTTACGAAATTAATTACGAGTATTTATGTTTAATATTAGACCAAGATAATTTAAGTATGTTGAGTTCATTGAGACAACATCTTTGATTCTATACGTTAGTAGCGCAATCTATATTTCAGTAGAGGCTTTTGTTATGTCCTTTTTACAATCTTTTTTGGTTCGTGATAACAAACAATAATATGATTATATTTAATTTTATTAGTTGGCAAAGTTAGAAACTTGGGTATTAGGATAGTTAGATATTAGGGAATATAAATTATTTTATAATTAATTTGCTATGCGAATAACCCTTAATTTTCAACCCTTTACTTCTCATTCTAAAAAACGCTATCAGTACTGTCATAATCTCTCACTAGAGCAAAACAAGTTTTCTAGGTCCGCCGTATACAAACATGATATCACATACAAATAGTCTCAAACAGCACAATTTTAAATTCATAAACGTGGAAAATGTATTTTTTACTGGGGCTTCCCTGCAGCGATGCAACCTCCAATCCGATTCAAGTGGATTAATTCAAGTAGGTTACGACCGTATACAGGTTGTTTTAATGGATCTAAAGCCTTTAGTAAAATATCTAATTGATGAGTAAATTATAAATGCATGATCACGGGGTGCGTATATTTGTGGATTAGTACCGTGCGGAAAGTTAGTCATCATATAATTTGTGTAAACGCCGTCTCCCATCGACCTCCAACATCAAACAAAGACTTTTCATAATTTAAATATATATTATTTACGACACGTAAAGTGCAGCAGATAAGCTTCACTTGTAAAATAGAAATATCTCAAAGAAAATACTTATTGTGGTAGGGGAGCCCACGATGCTAAATGGGGATTTACTCGAGCGTCGTAGAGACCTATTAGGATGCAAAGCTTAGATGATAAGAAGAAAAAAATGTTATATGATATATACCTTTTCATCGGTGGGGGAAGCGGCTATAGATTGTTAAATATGTAAAAAAAAACTGTTGCATGGACATCCTCGAGCGCGTCAGATATTGATAGCATCAATGCCCTACGTATTTTTAATAATGTACGTATGTTAATCTGATCGTTTGCATGATGCGGGTGGTTGTATTTAAGGGTTGAAAATGAAAAAAAAATAAAAATTATCGAGCGCGTCAGATTTTCTAAGGGAGTGTTAAGTGCACCAAAAAAAGGCTCTCATTCACTAATCTGACGATTTCGATGGGACGCAAACCCACGGCCATTTTCATAATTTGCAAAAAAAAATCGCAATTTTGAAATACTCAAGCGCGTCAGATTAAGATATATGTGGTTCATCTTTATGTTCTAAACGTACTGTCTTATAATCTGACGATTATCTAGAGGGATTCACCTGATCTGACAAAAAAAATTTAGAAAAACGGTTCACCTAAAGGGCCATCCCTGCAACTTCCCGCTAATTCCATTCCTGGGCGCTTAAAATTGATATTTTGAGTTCGCTGAGTTCAAAGAAATAATATTTCTATGCATTTGAGCTCTCCCAGCTCGAAAGTCTGATAGAAGTTTCATAGAACACTATTTTTTGGAATTTTCAAACCGCAATAACTTTTGAATGGATCAAGCAATTTTCACGCGGTTGGCGGCATTCGACGCAGTTTTATCATCTTCATAAGTAATTTTGCAATTTTAATTGATCGAACCACAAATTTCGGAGTAATCCCGAAAAAACAATTTTTCGGGTTTCTTTCGTTCACGATATCTCTCGAACGAATCAACCGCTTTTGACCAGCTTGGTGGCGATCGATGTGGTTTTTCAAGCTCAAAGGCGGATTCGTTTTTGCAGTTGATCGATACAGAAACCACTTAAAAAAAAATATTTCTTATTTTTTTAAGATTTGTCAAAATTTCTCAAAATCTATCGGTCCGAATCGGTTCAAATTCACAGGACATGTAATTTTGAGGGAAATATTTAGAACGCCGTTTAGTAGATTCCGATCGGTTTAAGGAAATGTAGGCATCACGCAGCTGCACGCATTTAACTTTATCGACGAATTTTTGTTATTTCGGCTTGCGGAAATCGTCAGATTATATATTTTTCATTATTCTTGAATTATTTCCTTCAAAATAAAAAAAAAATTAGCTACGCTCGAGAATGTCGAGATGACGTTTTTTTTTACAACTTTGTTGCCCTCCCCTTTTTTTACGTCACTCTCAAATTGTCAGATTAGTGGAATATACACTATTTAGGATGTAAGTTAACTCACCCTACCTTAATCTGACGCGTTCGGGAATTTCTGATGGTCAATTTTTTTTTACTAATCTGATCCTGTCTCCTTCACGGGCGGCCTTATATATGGGCCTCATGTTTTGTGGAGGTACTTAACCGGGTACAAGGTATCCCCCTATATATTAATCTGCCGCGCTTTAGTAAATCCCGAAATCCCCTCTTGGGCTCCCCTACCATTGTAATGTCCGATCCTAATGGAAACGCTAGGCGAGGTTTGTATAATTTTAATGAATTTTCGCAAGTCATAAAGATAGTAAACAGAACTTGTCAATACGTAAAAAGATATTAAGTCTGGAATACTAGATTTTTCGAAATAACATAAAAAAAACGAGTTGACCCGAGCGATAACGAAAGTTCGTCTCTGTACGTTGAGAGCAAACAACGTACGAGAGGACGTTGAGATATTTGCTACCGCGGCTAATAAATGAACCCAGTCAGTTATTAGATAGCTTTACATTAACCGACATAAAAAGTAAATTAAAAAACTACTTTTATATGCATATTTTGTCGTGCTCCGAAACAAGAATGCTATGATTACATTTACCACAATAGTTTTCTAATATAACATATCATGATTTTATTGTATTATTATGTAAAATTAGTACTTTAAAAAAATTACTAAATGATTTCAAAAGTGTTGAAATACAGAAATCGATTAGATTTATACCGATACGTTAAAAAATCGTATACAGATTATGAAATAGCTGCTTGCTTGCTTTATGCAAAATACGTTTAATAATTAACAATAAATTATTGGATTTACGTTCCCTAATTGCCATCATTTCATTAAATCTGATAAAAGACCTGTGGCGCTGCAATCTTATATGGGTCTTAGCCTCAGATTGCATCCTTCTGTCTGACACATGTCGTTGATTTTTGTTTCACCGAGCGAGTATAAGATGCGTCTAAGGCTGCTGCCTCGAATTTTGCGGGCAGCGGGGCGGCGGCGGCTGCGGCGGCGGGCGATTGCACCTCTCGTTACCCGCCCTCGCGCCGCTGCCACGCCGCTGTTTTCGAGAACAGGTCCATTTGATTTTACGCATAAGATCCTGCCACTCCCGCGCCGTCGCCGCTGCCGCGGCCGCCCCGCTGCCCGCAAAATTCGAGGCAGCAGCCTAAGACCTACCACCTTAGTGATGAGAGTCCCACGTTGAAGCCATTAGGCCCACACTACTTTTTACTTAATATTACATGGATATACGTTATATAAATATAATTGCTTGTGAGACAGATATATTTAGTTGCACACTGGCTGAATTCACTATTATAATTAGTTATAATAAAAAGGTTTACTTTAGTTTTTCCTTCTTTTGTTTATATTGTGTTTAGTATTAAGTTACTGTAAAAATAGGAAATAAGAAAAAAAAATAAATGTTAATCGTAATAGTAATCTCTCAGAAAAAGTATGTTCTCAAAAAATTAAAAATTATTATTAATATTTATATCAAATTTATACACATATTCGCGTTAGATGGCAAATGTATAGAAGTTCACAGGTTCTAACCTAACCTAACATTAGTTGTTAAATAGATGATTAATAAGACGTTATTTACCCTAATCAGTGAATCACGTAATGACAGCATAGTTGATAAATTGTGCTAATGAAAATAATATTGAAATGTCAAATAGAATATTATTTACCTTAAGGGAAACGGAATTATAATTACTAATGCTCATTAAATTAACCTCAATAAGTATTTTGCAATGAAATGAAAGCTAATTAGTGCATCTTTTAATTGTTAGTCTGGTGTCAAAGATGAACTTTTCACATCTAATAAAACCTTACATCTGCATGCAAACTTCTGTTGCTTCTCTCAAAAAGAACACTTATGTTTTGTAATTCGTCGAAATTACTTAGGAAAATTTTCACCAACCCACTCTACAATGAACAGCCTTATACTTTTTGTCGACTTCTAAGAAAACGCGCTAAACTTGTCACCCAGTCTTTTGTATGTAGTTTTGCGTTTAATAAAGGAATACGTTAAAAATATGGCCAAAGTCACTTACCATTAACATGTTTACAGATATCCTTCTCTCTTAGCTCTTTGTCGACACTCCATACGGGCGACTCAGGTTTATTTGACGTCCTGCGAAATGAAAAAACTTATTAACTTGGGTGTGACATATCAAGAATGTTAGTAATCCATGAGATAGAAGGGAATATAAAGAATATTTATAAAATGACTCCGCTTACGCCCGACTTACATACACAATCGTAATTTATCGTATTAAGATTTAAGCTAAAACAGAGTTTCGACAATTAAGGTGCAATGTTCTAGGATGTTCCGGTCGTGCAAAAATGCGTGAACAATCCATGACCAATATTTTATGCGAGGTCAACGCACGCTGCAGCTTGTGCAGGTTCAAGACCGGCTAAGCCGTGCTGAGCATTGGACGTCATCGACAGAATTATATTTGAGTATCGAGGGCACTAATTGTGGAGTTATATTATACGGTGTATATATAAAATAAACAGGTATTATAAAAACCCTTTGGAATATTTTTGTTTATATCACTATCGTATAAATTATATATACAATAAAATAAATGATAAATACAATAAAATACAATGTATAAATACAATGTAAAAGTAATATCATTTTTTTTAAATTGCTTACATCTTGATAATATCCAATACCTAGTGATGCGAAATACATATTGGCAGGCCGATGTAAATAAACTTGATCATATATTTTTATGCGATCAGATATGAATGATAAATTTCATCTCAACAATCTTAGCCAAAATGATAGGCTTTTCTCGGAAACAGTGCTAATTTTCGTAGTAAATTGATAATTTTTGACTGTATATAGAATTTCCCTGAGTCATAAAATTTGCTAAAAGCGGTCTCGTACTTAGGATGCTTACATATTTTATTGCATCAGTAGTCGAACATTTTCAGGAAAATCTTACATGCACCAAACCACAAAATACATAAATAAGGATTAAAGGGTGCCCCCTAATACGTAGCGGAATAATGTAGGTTCCGTGACATGTTCTGGCGTATTAGTTGTGATATGAAACGTTACATTATATGGACAATAACCAACCAAAATCGAGTAATGTCGACGTTCTAGGTTTATATATTACATGGATATTTACACTGTATATACCAAATAGCTAGGAGTCGAGAAAGAGTTCCACTTACTTCGACTTAATACCCTTACACTTTTATTTATCTCTACCTACGAATCCTCTTGTTTTTGTAAAACAATTACTACCAGTAAGCTTTAAGGCTTTAACAAAGATTACGACAACTTAAGATTGACAACGCTCTCACGAACGTTATAATATGTGTGTATACCCTGAGTCACTTCATAACGTACGGTACCAGGCCACACAAATTAGTATCATAAATCTGGCAATATAAAAAAAGCGTAATTTTTTGTATGTTAATCCACATATAGGTCATGGGCGCTATAACATTCCTTATACAAACTAATATTTAGTGCAGGTCTAAAATCCAACACTAAACCTAATAACAAAAGAGCGAATAATTAACTTTAGGTGATTTTTAAAGGCTGTGAGGCTTGGAAGGTAATCATGAAAGAGGAGCAGAAGCTACTGGTGGCGGAATGCTGCGTAAAATCCTGAGGTCGGAGGAAGGAGAGCGGGTCATGGAGGTACTGCTGTACCGGCAGAGTGGAGGATGTGCTGCAGCTGAAAGCTAGCATTTGGCGGGAGGCAGGACAGGACATGAAGCGCTGGAAGTGAAAGTGGTTCAGCGGATTGAGTGAGTGATTTTTAAATCAAAGATATAATATGTTATATATACTTACGATCTGGTCTGCCTGGAGCACCGTCGCAACTCAGCAGCGAAGACACAAAACTCCCCAAAAGTGAGGATCAGGGATTTCCGTCGAGCACACTGGCGCGCACATACCAGCATCTCAAAAACTGTCAACAAGATTGTACAGATTATAACATTTGCGTCAAGTTATTAGTACCACCAGACGCGCCGAATTTTCTTATATAAATATTATTACAGGCTAGGGGATCGCATAGAAAACGCCGTAGATCTCTTCAAGGGTTTATTTTTTAAATGAATCAACGAGGAATTTGTTTACACTAAAAAGCAGCAAACTAGGCGCAGAAATATACTAATTACCACACACAAAATACAGTCACTAGTTACTTTAATTAGGCGCACTTCACACGGTACTTTATCACTTGTCTTCACTATTCGCAACTTTACCTTTTCGACGTTAATCTCTCGGAATCGCACTTAAAACTGAATTTACGGCTCGCGTTTCGGCTGGCTTATATACCCCAGGGAATAATCTTGAACGATATTCGAGAACTTTCTAGACAGAAGTGGTACTGAGTAGCTGGTCTATCCTTATCGCACAATTCTAGAACGTACGTACTCTTTATATCTTTCGCACATCGCTCCTTGTCGTACGGCGTTCTAGAATGTCCTGTTTGGCTTCGAGAAGGTTCCGATCTTTTCACTATTTCGCGTATCATTTCGCCCTTGTCTCACACCTAGAAAATTCACTCTAGATTCATATTATCCTTCATCAAAAGTGTATAACCAGTCCTGAAAACGCCTGAAAACGGGTTTCCTGAAACGGTACCATTCTGAACTGTACAACTACACTTTTTCTGAAAGTACCTGAAAAATGAAAAAATGTTCAGCCTACTAAAATCGAGAGAAACATCATGCAAGTTACAATTTTCTAATATGTGATTGACACTCTCCTGTAACAGTCAGAATTTACATTTCAGCTTGCTGAAACCGATTTTAACTTGTGGAAAAATCGAGAAACAACAGGCAACGCATCTTCGTAACACTAAACCCTCCTTAGACATGCTAGTCTCGACCATCATTACTCCCTTTATAGAGAGCCAATCGATTTCTGTGAACGACTTTCGGTATGCCCCTTGAACCACTCAATATTTTAATCCGATAAGTAACGTCGTTAATCTTTGTAACTATCGTTTTCAGTCAGCTTTGAGCTTATATGATTTTCCTTTGCGTTTTGGGATATGGACTCGCGAGCCTTCTTTAAATTCTATGTGATTCGTCTTCCTGTCATATCTAATCATCGTAGTCTCAGTTGTTTTTGACTTTGTGATGCTCGTACGTGTGTCTCTTTTTTAATGGCTGTGACTAGTGAGTTTTGCCAAGTGCCTTTCTAAAGTTTTGATTAAAGCGTTCCACGAATCCATCTGATAGTGGATGTAATGGAGTAATCCGCGTCTTATGAATTCCCATTAATCGGCATACTTCCTGAAATAGTAGAGACTCAAAATTTCTTCCCTGATCACCGTGCATCTCCAAGGGTACTCTAAATCTAGAAAATACTTCATTTACAAGTATCTCAGCTACTGTAACTGCCTTTTGATTGGGAATAGCGAACACTTCGCAACTAAAGAAAATACATACTACCCATGATGTACTTATTTCCATTTTCGGTTAACGGAAATGGTCCAGCTATGTCAACTGCTATGCATTTGACATGACAGATTTGATACTTCCGATCTTTCCTCACTTTCGCGTATCATTCCGTCCTTGTCTCACACCTAGAAAATTCACTCTAGAATATCCATCATCATCATCATATCATCAAAAGGGTATAACGAGTCCTGAAAACGCCTGAAAACGGGTTTCCTGAAAACTGTACTACTCTGAAATGTACGACTACACTTGCTCTGAAATTGCCTGAAAAAAAAATGTTTCAGCCTCCTTAAAACGGGGGAAACATTATGCAAATTACAATTTTCTAGTATGTGATTGACCCTCTTCTGAAACGGCCATAAAAAACATTTCATCTTTCTGAAAACGTTTCTAACTTGTGAAAAAATCGAGAAACATTACAATCAACCCATCTTTCGTAACATTATTAACGCCTGACGTGAGTGTGTCAGGCTTTAACGAACGTATGGTAGAGCGACAGTATTCGTATGTCGATTTGTACGTATAACTCAACAAAGGGCTTCCAGGAATGTATTGAGGAAAATTTAAAGAATCACAAAGCATTGTTGGCCTAGTCGCTTCAGCGCACGGGTCTCAACCCGGATACATCTGAGGCCCAGGCCTAAAAGGTTGTAGTGACAACGTTTTTTTTTAAAGTATTATAGACTGTTAAACATAGATTAGTGCTATATAAATATCTACTCTTCTTTAACTATTTTAATATTTGTTTGAAAAATATACACAAATTATTAGTACGTAGATTATGATTACGAACAATCGTGTCGTATTTTTAACCGACAAAAGTTACAGCATTTTTATGTGCATATTTAACACATAGTAAACTCAGTACCATTACTTAGCCCGGATATACCTAGTAATAAATAATTAGAATATTATTTAATAATTACAAAGCGTATTACGTGATGACTATTAATAAAAGTGACCTCAGTTATCTGACGTCTCTATTTAATAATTAACATTTTTCAAGTAGTTTATAATTCAAGTCTTTTATTTTGTTTGCTTGACTTAAATTTATTCGATAATTAAAATCTATTTATGTAGATGACTTTTTAAAATATATTTTTATTCCATAATTATATATGAAAGCGCTAAAATTGCTATTTTACATGAAAGAGAATGCTCATATAATGCTTATTCAAAGAAAAATAAGCGTAATTACTATTATTATAAATTTGTGTATTTTGTATTGACATCATTTGTTATCTATGTCCTTTAGTCGCACACATAATGGTAAAACTGTAGACATTTTTATTGTTAGCTACGAAGTTTTTTAAAGTAAATTTTAACGGTACTTAAGCGTCAATTTAGAGCATTTGTGGTTTCAGCATGCGATTCTCAAACCTGTGGTAGTGTGTCAGGCACATAAGACTGAAGCATCTACTTGTCTATTAAGTAATATAAATAATCACCGAATTGATACAGAAATCTAAGGCCCAGCCCTAAAACGTTGTAGCGCCACTGGTTTGTTTGTGTTAATACAAATGATATAAAAAATAAAGAATTCGTTTCCCATTTATCTGATACTATTACTACTATCAAGCTCAATTTTAGAAGACAACTAATCTTAGTCGAAACTTAGCGCGAACTTTGACCTCCATATGTAAAAATCTAATAAATTTTTGACACACCCCCCCTGTCAAAAGCGTATTGGATAGCGGAAGAGATAAGTGTCGACTCATAATCTTACCCTTAAACAACTGAGTACACTAGTCTCAATATAAAATTATGTGTCGACAATACCTACAAGAATACATGGAAAACTTGTAAAACAATAAGCAATAAGGATGTAAATAATGGCTTTAATCAAGAAATCAACAAGATTTATGTGACAGGCTTGATACAAGAGGTGTAACCCTTGTAAATTGTTTTATGTGCAATTTTAAATTATTGTACAGTCTGAGATAAAATCACCGCAATTCTAAGATTCCTCTGATTATTATTATCTGATTTATAACAATAGTTTGTTTAGTTGAGGCCCTATCTATCGAAAACAAAAGCCTTTTGCAATATAACGTGACGATATATTTTATACAAATTTGATTTCGTTAAGTATCCTATACGAATATGTACTCGATAATCACTGTAATCTTTGGCAGCGCACCGTATCATATAAAAATTGTCTCCGATGACATTAGGGAGCGTTCAAGTATTACGTCACGCAATTTTAGTCCCATGTAACGCGCCGTAACGTTTTTCTGTACCCGAGTATAGTAAAACTTTCGTGACCACCTAGTGGCTCTTTATACCTAAAAGTTACTATTATGTGTCGTAAAGTACCTACTGGAAAGTAGAAAATAATATTAACAATAACGGCTTAATTCAATCCCCGCCCCGCATCGTAACGTTTTACAAAAATTCGTTACGTAATACTTACAAAAAATACAATTATGTAATTGGTAAAACATCATTTTTTTAGCAACCAATTTTATGGTCAAGTTGCATTCCGACATCGGCCTCCCGTATTTTAGCCCATTCTGTTCTGATCAATCTCTTTGGAGGATCATCTGTCCATCTTTTTACTTAACGTTCCCTCTTCTTTTTGACTTTCCTTGCATACCCTTCTAATACATCTCAGTCCTTTTCTCTATTTTGCTTCTTATAATGAGCCTTGTACATATATTTTAAACAAATTTTCCGACTTCAAAGACTTCAGATTTAAGAAAGTATAAGATAAAAACTTTTTTAAGGGCAGCAGCATCACCTTGATGGCAGGATGTCTTCCACAGTCAGTTTCATAGGACAAACTCGAACTAGCGAACTGAAGAATCGATTGCCGGGGGATTTCTTCCCTAGGAGATACGACCTTCAATTGTTTAAAGAACAAGTACTCCTCCCACGATGAACCCATTTAAATCTTGACTTATTAATCTATAGCTTAATAATCACATAACATTGTGGTATCATAAAAATAATTAACGATTACAAACCACAATAATCCAACGTTGATGTATTGATAATAATTGTGTAACTTCTGAATCATGAGTGACGTCCTTATCTCGTTCCATCGATGAATGTTCTTCGAAACACATTAGGGTTAGAAATATCAAGAATTAGATGAGTAAACTGATAATTACAGCTGTGGATGACGTTATTATACCTAAACCTTTATAACAAAAGCTGAACAAAAACTTTAAAAGTGTATTGAGGTTAATATATATTACAGTATTAAAGTACGAGTAAGAGCTTGCGAATGTAGTTAGCAAAAGGCAATTATTAGCTTAATAAGCACACGCGACCGTTACGACGGAATTTACATATTATATGCATTACTGAATAAAATATTAGAGATTATATATATTAGGTGACAAATTGATCTAAAAACTGTTAGCTTTATATAATATTATTCATGAAAACTATTAAGTGACTCGAAGATGGTTTCAATTTTACACTAAATTATTTCGTTTTGTTATATTAGGTACACTTTTTTAGTATACAACTTACAACTAATAATTTAGATTAGAAAAGAGCAGTTTTTGAAGTATCTTCGAATATATGAACAAAAAAAAGGGAAAATTGAACAATGTATGATCGCCAAGCTTAATCAACACAATACTTACCTATACATTACGAATGCACTTTTTTTTACGTATATTTCAAAACTATTTAAATAATATTTAATGTACCGCAAGTCTAATTACAACGATAGCGCTTGAATTTTTATTGTAGTTGACGACACACACTACAACATTAGTTTTATTAATTATAAATAGAAATTAAATTTAGAGAATCACAAAATTTTCCTAATAACACTTACTTAACAATATAACGAATATTAAAAGCAATACTCACCCTGAGTCTTAGTAGGATATAGTTCTAAGTCGTTGAAGAGGCTCTGCACGATGTAGGCGGGCGCGGGTTGGGCGGGCGGTCCCACGCGGCACTCCCAGGCGTTCGCCACCTCCCTGCAACAAAAACACATTGATCATGTACACGCATTACAATCCTTTATAAGTGCACAAATGACACATTATATTCGCACTTATTATGAGGGTACTAAATGTCAAATTAGTTTTTGAGTGCAAATTCGATGTGATCAGCAGTAATTGTATCATCGTAAGCACGTATTAAAACATACATACATATCGAGACCGGCTTAGCTTATGTACTTAGTATGGTAAATGATTATCTTATTTTTAGTCTTAAAACTAAAGCCTATTTCGTTGTATTTATATAAAATTAAATGTTATAAACACGTTTTTCAAATTATTTACATAATTATTGGTGGATTCAATAATATTCCTATAATAGGTTTATTTTTAATATAATAAAAACAATGAAGATCCTCAACACGTGATAACGATTAACATAAGACAACCATATATGGTACATTATATCGATTATGCAAATTAATAATTCTTAAGCGTGCGCGATAATTTTACAAGCATGCATAAATAATAATTTAACAAGAGCAAATATGTGAATCTAATAAATGTCAGGATCTACGCAAACTAATTAGTCTTTACACATTCTATTAAAATGTGTCTTTTTATATATTACCTTTGAAACATTTCACGAGAGCTCACTTTGCATAACTTTCCTACGCTTGGAGCGCGCTACTAGGTGTTTTGTGATGATGCTTATTGTACGAACTATGGGTTATTACTGGGTACCCAGACATAACAATCTGCTATCATGTTACTGTAAGCAAAGGGTCCATGCATTCCCACGTGAAAGCAATACGGCGTATGTCATAGGTTTCTTGTAACGCCCCGTAAGAACGCCGCCTACGCACGAATCGTATCACGACGGCCCACGTTTATCAAAATAGTACGTAATATTAATATTTAAATAACACAATTTGTTTACGTTGACGATTTGTTACGCTGATATAAGAGTACGTGAATGTCTTAATAAATACTACCATTAAGATTCGTAAACAACAAATCTTAGTATTTATTATATTATACTAATCCGAAGCCGCGCGCTATAATATGGTACTGTCTTGATTGTCCTGTGACCTTGCCTAGCAATTTGAACTGAAACTCTCTCTTCTCTAATGTATTACTTCTTTTATTATAATATTTTATAAAGAATTTAAATTAAAGCCTGAACAACTGAAAGTTGTTTATAATAAATGCGTACATTTTATAATATTACAATAATTAAACAAAAAAACACTTATTATATTAAATAGAAATTAATTGGACAGTAGTTACATTAAACATAGTAATTCAAAGTTTCTCATGTGTCAAATACACTCTTATTTAAATTTCTCATTCATGTGAGGGACAAATATAGCTTTAAAAGATATAAAATAAAGTCAAGAATTCATGCATCATGCAATTTTCTTTAATATATATAAAATTATCTAGATATTATAAGGACATAAAAATAATAAAACTTAAGTGCCGCTTTATTGGGAACAAGGTTGATAAGCCTTTTTAAAATCTATGTTAGGAAATCTAGTAATAGTGTAAGGTTTTCGCAATGGTTTCTATATTAAAGTTACATAACTTTTGTTGGTATTATTTATATGTTTTGACTTATAGCGTAGGTCCTAATAATATGTCATTACGTATGATGTTAAATAATAATTGATATCAAGATGAAAATTACTCTACAGGTAATGATTTTACAACAACGGAACATTTAGATAAATAGCTAGTTTTAAATAATTTGAAGACTAATTATATAAAAAATTATTTAAAGTAATTAGGTACTAATTTAAAAAAATGGAAATCATCTAGTGACAAATGATAAAGTATATATTCAAGTACACAAAAATACATACTCGCCAAACGCTTCTTGAAGTTCGAAGTCACAAATACAATCAAGTTCACAAGCACTAGGTAATACATAAATGAGCCCCATAGTGAAAAAACAATTTAGAATATTCATAACTTGCGCGTGTGATTACTTCATGTACCCTGTATGAAGTACGATAATGAATGTAGACGTAAGTGATAGGTCTTAGGCTTGACCTGATCGATAACAAGAGCCGCATATATAATATATGACTAAAGTCGTGTTTTGATTAATAACTTTTCCAAGAATTTCTCTTTTCCAAGCCGTAGATACTTCAACAGTCAATTGTACTGAATAAAAGTATGTCATTAAATATCAAATTAAATCAAAATCATTTATTCATATACGTAACACAATGTACACTTATGAACGTCAAAAAAGGAATACATATTTAATATTTATAATTTAACACCAGCCCTGCGATTCTGTAACTCACTTTTCGAACTCACACAGCGGTTTTCGCATCGGCGGTCGCTCTGAAATCAGTCGTGAAGCAGTCATTTTATGATTTGGCATTCTAATAAACAATAAACTACAAGCTCCCACCTTTTCAGAATGCCAAATCATAAAATGACTGCTTCACGACTGATTTCAGAGCGACCGCCGGTGCGAAAACCGCTGTGTGAGATCGAAAAGTGAGTTACAGAATCGCAGGGCAGTTCTCAAATCAAGGGCGTTGAACGGAAGGGTTAAAAGTTTTTTGTTTTACACAATGTTTGTAAGGAGCTGCAACCATTACACCATGTTAAACATGACATCATAAGTAATTAATAGTTAATTAATAATAATAAAATAAATTAAAAACAAAGATTTGTCCTCTATCAGCAGGAGGCATGGTGAAATAGGAGCATCATATAATAGCTCTGTTCACAATTCATTGGAATAATTAGTATCATTATACATAGGACATTAAAGATTTTATTGTATATAATGTATTGATAGCAAAGATTGAATTTGTCGATGAGACTAAAGTTCTTTATAGATAATGGTCGATAAAAGTACGGAATAATTCGGAGACAAATTGAAGTGCTATCTAAAGCGGGCCATAGACGGGCCGCATGTTGCAGCCGATACCGACTGCTCTTAGCGGTCGCCGCACGGCGATCTGCAGTTTCCATACTAAATTCATATTCGCAATACACGGACCGCTCGAGCAGTTCCTGAGCAAACCGCATATTGCAGTAGGTCTTGACTGCAACATGTGGTCCGTCTATGGCCCGCTTAAAGCATTCCGTAAAATAGCAATTTTTGGACAGTTAGGGCGAGTAATTTTAGAGTGATTCAGAGACGAAAAAAGGCTTTTGGAATTTCATAGCCATTATTGGGACTATTTTAGCATTCGTTTTTATAAAATAACTATTTAACTTATTTCTATTTCCGTGACCCAGAAGCGGCACAAAACTTTTACTGCAAAGTTAATTAATACTTAGTATTTTAGCGCAATTATTTGAAACGTTTCGTTCTATTAACCATATTTAACTTAAGGCACTTTAATTTTTGCAATAAAAAACTCGAATAATATAAAGCAATTCATAACTTATTTTTACGGGTATCACGAATTATGGGCAGATTTTAAAAACCTCAAAGCCCACTTACATGTCTATCTATCTGATACAATATCACGCAAATTGTTACGATCAGAATTTTCTTGATAAATTACTATCAAAAACGCAATACCAAAGACGCAATCCAATGACAATAATAAAAATGTCTTAATCCCATATTTTTTTATAAAAGTAATTAATATCTGAAATAATTTCAAAAAGACCCTTTCGTTTTGGATTACATCGATTACATTCAGGAGAGACTATACCTTTTTTTTTTTGAAAATTTAATTTCTTAGAAGACCAGGTGTAATCGAATCAGTAACCCGCCATCCTGAGCTGGGCAAGTTCACCATACATTTACAGCTATCAGGCCCATGAGCACTCGAAACAAAAGCAATTTAATAATATGTCATGTTTAAGCATATCTTCATTAACGCCAAAAGAATGACTTCACTTAAATGATTATAAAAACATTCCATCAATTGTTCGGCTCGCGGCAAACGTAGAAATAAAAGATGAGGTCAGTATGACAGTAATACAATCAGAGTTCAACCAACTCGTCTTTTTGCAACACGATTAATGGTTTACACTAATTGCTATATGAAAAATACGAATAGCGGTTGTGGTTTTTTGTTATTGTGGTCAGAGATTGTAATAATAGATATACATGAAGCAATCAATTACAATCTATGTATTATTGTTAAATTTTTATAAACGTTAAAAATATAAATAATTTATTGCTCTAACATCACAACATTGAGTTGAGAATTTTTCTTCTGCCTCGTAATTATTTATCTTTTCATCTCGGCGTTAATACAATTTGATAGGAAGAGAAATGATTATTTAAGTTAAAACACTGTAATAGGAATACATTTCAAACATAATACAAATACACAACGCTTTCGTAAAGGTTTTGACAATTGAAAAATATGCTACACCTGCTCAGAAAGTACCTTGATACTTTTAAATGCGGAATGTCATGGCAGTACTAGGAACATACGGGCGGAATTGAGATTTTATTAAAACTGCATTGTTAACGCACATACGGAAACACAAATTTGTTTTTCTCTAATTGGTCTTGGTTTGTTCGCAAATGCCATTGATAAACTTTTTTCTCCCGGTAAACTTATACGAACACAACGTTAATTATTTCGTAAGCTCATTTAAAAAGAGACACATTAATTAGTAGCTTAAACTTTTAAACAAAACAGCTTCAATATCCCGAACCTAACTCAAAAGCTCAGATATACTTTCAAATGAATTCTTTAGGTGGAAGCCGCTGGAAACCTCTGTAAAAACATAGAATTACTGTTCTTAATCTTGGGCAGACGTAGTACTTTCTACCCTTAAAACGCTGTCATTAACATTCAAATTTAGAATTCAGTGTAACTTTTACAATCATGCAGATTGTAAAACCCAAACCAAATATAAAATAACGCTAGTATACATTTTATTTCAATACATTTAAAAAGTCATGCTACCCAAACAGTCGGGCGTTTATAAAAATACACCATGACATCATGGTGAGCGAGAGGGACGCAACTACTCTTCTTCACTCACACATCATGCTCATTATAAAAGCCATAAGCGTGCATTTACTGCTCATTACGGATCAATTAGATACGTTCGAGATGACGTCGATTATACGAGTCAATTAATCGAAGTTTATATCTCGAGAATCCTGTCCGATTTTGAGGTCGAAAAAATCAATCTATTTGAAAAAAAAACCCCATCAGCTGGCACGCTAACGCATGAGTAAATTTGTATGCAAAATGATACTGTTTTAGTGGCAAAACTAAGATTATCCACACGAATATTATTGAAGCCTTTTGATAAGTGATCTACCCGTCGTATACACTACGATTTTATATAGATACTGATCGTCAAGTACAATCGATCTTTTCTATTTCGTAATAATTACGTCCTGTTATTTTTGATATTGAACCTGCCCTTGAGACATAGTCTCAGAATCCAGTAGTAATTTTTCCATACAAATTTAATTTGCGATAGTAGTGACGTAAAAGATTATAGTAAACAAGTGTGTCATCAACAGCTGATCTACGCACACTATGGAATTATCAGCTAAATAATAATCGAAATTTCATCAACCAAAAAAATAAATACATTAATTGCGCACATAGAAAACTTGGTGCCACCGGGGGGTACACTGTTCATCCGTATAACGCTCCGTTACTCGTTAGATGGCAATAGGAACTCGTAACATTCACATACATCGCGCTCCACTTCCGTGTGGATAACGGTGTTATTTTCGAAATGTCTGAGGTCATGTTCGTTTAAGCACGTGATGTCATGGACCAAATTAATTTCTTTCTTCTTGAAGGCGATGTAGTTATTTATCTTATGATTCGATCAGCGTTGTAAAGCAACGGTTGTCACGGTCAAAACCTGACAACTGTATGATGCAAAATCCTGTTTAAAATTTATTGGACAACGCGGATTTAAGTAAAATACGTAGGTAGTGTATTTATAATTATAAATAAAGCACCACCGTACATAGTGCGTCTAATCTGGGTTCTTATTTTGCGAAACAATAATTGATTCTGGTTGAAAGGTACTAATGACTGTATAGCGATATCGGATACCGGCAGACATAAATATTGAGGGGTCTTCGGGACTTTACATGAAAGTAATAAGTCGTATTAACATACGTTCAAGAAAAATGATTACAGTATTCATTATTCGTTAAACAAGTATTATTTTAAAATAACCAACTTCTATAATACGAGTATATAATATATAAAACATAGAAATCAATAAAACATCTATAAAGCCAATAAATGCCGTGAACCCGCGTTGACTAATGTTTTGATTCATGTTTGAAGTAGGAAGTGAAATAAATACCGATGACTATAACTGATTTGAATGTTATCAATATACTTTAAACATGATACGTATTTTTTTAAACAACTGATTAATGTGTATAGGCGGATATAGTCGTATGTATATACATTCGTCGCATCTTTATTGTAAGTTATTTAATAAGATGTTAAGGTATATCAAAAGACTCAGCTGTTTAAACCATAAAACAAAACAAAATAACTATCCAATGTCCAAACATTGTCCTTCGTTGGTCATTGAAAGAACAAATTAAATGTACATTGCTAAATGAAAAATATAACATGACATTGCAATGCAATAAACTAACAAAATTACTACCTATATTATTAAAAATGTTCATATAAACGATGTTCCTCCACTTAAAATTTTACCTATCTATATCTAGATGATATTGTTATCTTTCAATGATAACATTTTTCTCGGATACTAAATGGGAAACAAAGATGTGTTGCATAGGTGGGAAATACATTTTAACAAAAATGAAGTAAGAATCGTTTTCTTCTTTTAAATAACTAAATATTTAACTGGATGTTTAGAATCACAAGTTTGAAGGTTGAGTAATAATATCGTTTATATATGTTTACCCCGAAAATATTATGTCCAAGTCAAACGCCAACTGCCTCAAAGGTGGTAAAATGTATCAGATATAGGTCTTATGTCATTATATTTAAAGTATAAATAATAAAATATTATACATATGAGGCTTAAATAACTTACCTAGCCAAAGTTCCCGGCAACTTTACAACACCATTCGATTTAGGCGTGTGATTGACATCACTTTTAATGTCATTCGATTTCAACGGAGCTGGCAAATCGCATATAAGCGGCTCCATCCGACATAAAATGGGTGCCCGCTTCGGCGGAGTGGCTCTTGGGTAAGTGTGATGCTTCACGCTACTTGACGCTGTATCATTACTCCTCGATTTTGGCAGCGTACGAGCGCACAAAGCTGTCGCAGCATTCTTCAGGTGTGCACGAAATCTGTTATTACTCTGGGTGCTAAGGATAGCACCCTCCATTTTAACGATTTTTTAAAGGAACTCGCACTCAATCCAAATTGTAATCCATTGTTAATGGACCCACTGCACTTTTGTAAATATTATCGAAACATTGTTCTATGGAATATTTTTACATTTCAAAGAGTCCCCACTATTAAAATATACACAGGTGAATAAAGAATGTCTCTTTAGCCCAAATATACGTTTTAACAAAGAACAACACTAGTAAATATATCAACCGACACTCAAGACAATTTAATGTGTATTTCGCGAGAAAAACCATTTTATCGATTATGATAATATTATTTATTCATGTAGTTGCGGAAGGCTGCGGCGGTCAGCCGCCGGGGCGAGGGGCGGGGAGAGCGTAGGAGCGCTGACATCACCGTCGAAGCCAGCCGATCTTACATCACCACGGCTCTATCGACAAAGAGCAAAGGCGCCCCGCTCACAATCAAATTATTCATGCGACACTATTCGACAAAATATCTGATCTCATCCAGCTGCTTGAGAGATATTTTTTATTGATAAGCGAAAATAACATATTGTGCCTTATTTTATAGCAAAATCTTTTCAAAGCGATAGTGATAGATGAAATAGATTTATTATAGTTGTTTTTGTTTTTTTTACAATTTATTGATAATCCACAACTTTAAAAAAAATATAGCTAAAACCGATTACACCGAAGAACATTGTATGTACTAATAAAGACATTTCACTAATAATTTATTGGTAGAGATGTGTGTGGGATTGTGTTATGTGTGGGGGTGCGTAAGTGTGTATGGTTGTGTTTATGAATATTTTAAAGTTTTTTTAAAGAGTATTGCTTCGATTGCATTGAAATACATAACACGAGCTAATTTCGAGGCATAAGCATTTTCGAAGATTCCTACAAAAAATTAATACGTTTATGTACTATTATTTTTGAGAGCTTTGCTAACTTTTGCTGACAAGAGGGGGGATAAATTGCAGTAAATCTACTTACGTAATACATAAGCGGCCCCTAATATGTTTACAAAAATGTAAGGAACACGGTGCTAAACGTAACATACTCATTTGGTTGGTACAATAATTGCTATTGCCAAACAAAACGTTTAAACGTTAAGAGTAAATGCAGCGCAACAATAATTTATTAACACCCACAGACATTTCAGTGTCGACGCTATCCAGTCTCATCCTATCCCATCTTGAATAACTTTTAAGATACCTTTACTACATTACATTTGATACATTATGAGATAAATAATATCTGTAAAGAGAGTTTTAGTCAATTATATATACTGAAAGTACATCAGCACTGCATGGTCTTATTCACCGGCTAAAAGTTATTAAAATAAAGAAAACCACCGGAATAATAAAAATCACGATCTAAACGTTTTTTATCAACTGAAGGCATAAAGAAGATAAACATAAAGAACGCACGCGAACAATCGCCTGATAGAACGGGCGCACGAAAAAAAACGTTATTCTTATAATCGGCGAGTATAACTACCAAAAGTTCTAGAAAAATATGAAAAATAACTTAACAGATGACCTAAAACATATTTAAGAAAAACAAATTTCTAAAAAATAAACTTTTGTTCTAAAGTTGTCAAAGTATCAACGACGGTGATGTAATGAACAGTGGAGGTGTCCAATATGGATAATTATAAATACTATACTGGTGCAAATAGAGCAATAATAGACTAGTAATTACATAGGTTTACAAAGGTATCATTAGCAGGTAACAAGTATTTAATAAGCCAACCTAGTAATTGTTAACGACCTAACAGGTACTCAGATCAAGGCTGTCGCCCACCGGCAGACAATCACAAGAGCTCGATTTCACGATTCCTAAGACGTAATTGTTAAAATTTGATTCGGTTATTAATGTAACACCTGAATCATCACTAAAATCTATAATTATCGCTTCTATCATTTGAGATACTTGTGACCGTTACTTCGAGATATGGCAAAACCTTTCGTGATATTTTTATCTTATTTATCTAAATATCATCACGCTTTTTCACGCATCATCTCCACTTGCTACGGTATGTACCTCTCTCGCTTCACCTACTTTAGTACCTGCTGGATTTGGTCCAGGTATGTACGACAAGGCCTAACCAACCCGACGTCACTTGAACATATTTTTTTATTTTTTATTATTAAAAAAAATATATACATATTATTTAATTGGTTATGAAAAAGTAGTTTACTGTAGTGCGGTGAAAACAAACTACAGTATTACCTACATCGTTTTTCAGTTGATCAGGCTCTAGGCTAAAATTGTAGGCAGTAAGGTACATTATAACTAGCCATTGAGAAAACATGTGCTAAATATAAAAACACAAAATTTTGCATTTAATAATATACCTTTGTTCCTTATTTTATTCACAAATACATTCTAAAAGTAATGTCTAGTCGAGTTGCAGAGCTTTTATATTATATTCCGCTTGTATAAAGGACCTTTATATAAGTAATATCTATATAATTAGGACTAAGCAATTGCTCATGTTAATAATATTATAAAGACCATAGCTTTTAAACTTGTGAAAATTGCGACCTCATTGCAGATGATAGACGCTCTTTCGCCAAAGTTCTCACGATTTATCAATCATACTACTGTCAACGGATGTGCAAATGTCGCTGACACCGGTGGGTGGTGTGTCACAGACACCAAAGCTGATAATATAAACAGCAAACAAAAAGGGAATTCTATGAACTTACGAAAGAAACAAGTTATGAATGCTTAAAAAATTATCGGATGAAGGGCTCGTAGTCTAAAATTGAGATACGCTCTCTATTTCCGTAACAACTGTTTCTCGTACAGATAGAGACTTCCGGGCTGTATTTGCTTTACTGAAGTAATGACAACAACTTAAGCGGTATGGTGTAAAAAAAGCGCTGTTTTATTTAACATTTTTATCTGACATAGTAATTGATGACTTGTAAAATCTAAGATTAGGCTCTAACCCAATACATAATGTTCTGTCTTACCAACTAGTAAAAATCTTTAATATAATATTATGTTACAAAAGTATACCAAATATCTGGGTTCGACGGATTATGTAGATCGAATTATGTCATGTTCCATTTGACCGTTTTTATGCCTTGCATTGAATAATAAATCAATTTGAATATCAATTGACGACCAATATAGTATTATCCCAGCAGCCAATTTACAAAAGATGGAGGTCAGATCTTCAAGTAGCTCTATTGTGCTCTCATCATAAAGAATTCATGAAATCAAGACATCCTGTCCAATACAATACGGCAAAAAATTTACGCAAATTCATTTATTCTCTATTTATCATCAATTAAAAAAATCAAGAGCGGGGCTTCCAACCTTTTAGGATTGGGCCTCAGATTTAAATATATCTGTTTCGTGATCATTTGTTTTTTTTCTAATAGGCAAGTAGGTGGCCCTCTGTGCCTGACACACGTCATCGACTTTTTAAGTCTAAGGCATTCCGGTTTCCTTCACCGTACGAGCGAGTGTTAAATATGCACATAGATAGAAAGTCTAGGTATGTATAGATAGAAAGTGCACATGCAGGCTTCCAACCCCGACCTCAGGGATGAGAGTAGCACGCTGAAGCCTTAAAAGAATTAGAAGATTTCATACATGATACATAACTACACTTTAATGATTATTAAATTAAAATGATAATGAATTTGGTGTTAAGATTTACTTAATTTAAATAATTATTTATGAGAGGTCAAAATAAAACGATCTCCTGTTATGGATTTATGGTCAGTAGAAGTGGGCGAAAAGCCTTGTCTACTATAAAAGTACAGCATTAGCAAATTATATACTATATCCTCCAACACGTACCTCAAATCATCTTGAATATTGTCCTTAATTCCAAGGTGAGAAAAAAGTGTGATATCTGCGTAAAAAATTCTACGAAAAAATTTACGTTTTGTAGAGACATTTACAACATCTGTATAGAGTTTAATAGATTGTCAAATTCGTGGCATAGAACATTGTACTACAACTAGAAAACATTTCTATTTCTCTACAACTACATAGTACTATTGCGTGTAGAAGACCAAATAGTTTTTTATTTAGTAATCTTGTGCGTGTAATTTTACAAACAACCCGTTCCGCAAATAATCGCTATGATATCATAGTGCGTCGAAAATAACACGATAGCATTACTAATTTGTTAGTTGGGCAGCTATTTCACCACATCATTTATCAAACAAGGCTCAAACAAGATTTCAATAGCGGTTATTAAATTTCTTGAAATATTAAATGTTTATTAAAAAAAAAAAATTAATTTAAAAGACAAAAGATGGTTATCGCACATGACGCTAAAAGGTTTGATTGATTACTATCAAAACAATAACTGTTTCAATATTGTAGGAAGGTAGGTTTATCGCATAATTGCCTTATAAAATGACCAATGAAATAGACGCAGGAATGTGTCCCACGAACCCGCGAAGATTTTTTCAATTTAAAGTTTAACTTAATCTTGTACAAATTAAAATTTAAATATTTGTGTTATCTGTTACTGGCTACTGTTGAAAATTCCGCTTTCAAATACTGAAATTAGCTTCAGAGGACTCTGACAATGTGAACCCTATTTTTTTAAGAACAAGCATAAAGTAGGTTTTATATGTAAAAAACCACGGGTAGTATCAACATAATTACAACTGTAAAAGTTAAAGAATAAGTATATTAGATGAGTATCGCTCCATGGGGGAGTTTTAATTGGGGAACTAGCAATCCACCCCGGCATTTGTGTAGGCATTATGTTTCCGCATTTTTACTTGGCAAATCCGACAACTACGGCAAGATTTTTAATTTTTCGGGTTAATATAGCCTATGACACTCACAAATAACGCGGTCTTTTGTAAGGTAGATTAGGTAAAAGAATTTTCAAAATCGGTTCATTAGTTTCAGACATTACCCTCTACAATCTCACAAAACCTATTCATAATTTATTACGAATTACCATAGTTTTCCTATTACAAATATATAACCATTATAAATTTACAACATATAGATCACTGAGGAAATTCCATCCACTTTTTTTTTTCATTTCTGGCATACATTCAAAATGGGCGTTCAAACGCCTCTAAAATAAAGTACCATACGTCTATTGATCCGAGAACTGTGACAAGTTGTATATATCATACGAGTTGTACTGTGAAATTTATATTTATCAATTAATCAAAATCATAAGTTTCCAGCTTTACATAATAAAGATCTTACATCATTCAATACTCGATAAAACCTGATATTATATGAAAATATGGATAAGTTATTTATTAAATGAGCAGTGTTGGCTTAGAAGCTTCAGCCTGCGACTCTCATCCCTGAAGTTCGAACCCCCGCTGAGCACCAATATACTTTCTGTCTATGTGGGGTCTTTAACACTCGCTCGCACAGTGATCGCGCGGAAACCGGCATGCCTTAGCCCCAAAAAGTCGACAACGTGTGTTAGGCACAGAAGGCTGCTAATTGCCTATTAGAAAAGACAAATGATCACGAAACATACAGAAATCGGACGCCTAAAATCTTGTAGCTTCCCTATTTTATTTGTTTCAAGTTTATATATCATCTTGTATAAGATATTATGGGAGGGTGACGTGCGGTAATCTCCTAATCACCGGGGCAGAGCAGACATAATCATTCCTTATTAACTGATATTTTTACTTTATCACAAGGTCTAGGCCAAAACAACTATTATTTAAACGGCAATGAACCCAGGACTCACAGGTCACACTGTGTGTGACTAACTCCACAATAATATAAATCTATTCGAAGCTAGTTTGTTATATAGTTATAATAATAAAAACACAAAACTGAAAACTGAAAACTGAAAACTCTATAGCCCGAGTGATTAGTTTTATTTCCAGTTTTACCCGCAAATAGTGATGAATTTAGAATTTACACGTTACACCAATATATGTTATTTTCCTACGTGACTTATTGAATTAAGTAAATTATTCCAACCTTCAATAACATTAAATATCTATGTATCAGATGTATGATATAAAAGAACTATATACTTCTATTATTCAAAAATATATTTGTATAGACTCTGGTCTTTCTTGTATTCTATCAAAACTATTCAAGGAAATAAATTCCGAACGTAAGAACGAAATGCGATTATAAATTCAAATTGACGAAGCCTAAACAGTTTGCAACCGTTAGACTTATCCCATAATTGCGTCTCTATTCACCTGTGTACATAGGTTTACATCTTCAACTTTCCACTGACACTACCATGTTCATAATCGTTAACACAACGTCACTAAATAATCTTGACATGTTTGTTTAAGCGATATGAATTATTGCGGAGTACGAAGCGGCGAGTCGCGAGTCGCACCGCTCGCACAACTGACTGCCCGAGTCGAACGATAGCACGACCCTACTGCTCCTACCCATTCACATTCGTCATCGAAACATCGCGTTTTCTATCGCTAATTCCTAAATAACGTATCGATGGAAATGTCGTTTTGTTCACACATTAAGTAAGTGGTACCGGGCGTACGTTGTTACAACGCTGATAACAGGTATACTAGTACTTCAACGGTTTGTTTCAACATCCACTAAGTAAATACATACGCGATTGCCGTGTACTATGTAAATATTATAGAGGACCAAATGATTATCAAAGTATAGTTTTAATTTACAAGCACTCAAATGAGATTTATATGATAACTCCATACATACCGGACAGTAGAAATAAATATATGTACCTCGATCCACAATTGTTTTACGTTTTCTGTTTTAAGTATGTCTTTATTCATTTCGTTTTGCAGGACTGTTGATGTTATGCGTCTAAATGAGTTCTATTGGTAAACTCATAATCTAATCTAATACCTTAAGTAGTCAGTATCGTTCGTGAAAATTACAAATTTGTGGTTTGCATTTCTTATTCTTGCGCAACAAGTCCGTAGGTACAACAAAATACTAATACCAGGCAACAATGACACACATTTGGGGCATTGTTAAAATCAAATCCCAGAGCAGTCGAGAGCCGGCAATTTCGAAATGATCGCGTGAGGCCAAAAGATTGGCGAAGAATAATAATCTAATTTCACAAATTGGCCTTTTTGAAAAACAAATTAATAAAGAGCTTTAGACTGACTCCAGCTAAAAACATATAATACTGACACATGATCCGCCTCATCACTTGCCTCCGGTACTTTCATTTTTTTAAATAAATTGTCTCTGCACAAAGACATCATTTAACATTACGTTCTAGTCTAACTTAAGACTAGTAAGAAATTTTAAACTAACCTAATTTACTAAAAAGGATATTTAATATAAGAAAGAGCACTACTTACAGTCTTTATTAAGGGTGTATCTTAAAGAATAATAATCTTATCAGCATGATCATCTCTATGAATGTAACAACTGTGCCTGAGCCAGCCTGAGCACAAAAGCCAGAAAGCTGTTGAGCTAGGTGTTAAACAAGTACACGGGAAGTAAAAAAGAAATCCTAGAGCAATCGGGCCGATCAATTAGGGTAAGTATAGCGAGTAGAACACCAAGGAATAATGACCAAAATAAAGTTGATCGCGGGGAGCTGGCCACGATATTTTGGCAAGCCGCGTGTCGCGGTGTGATGATGCCATCGCCGCGGAGAATCGTGACGTCACCACACATTTTCCAAACGTGGCCGCCAGACGAAAATAGTCCCCGCCCCGCTGCAGTCCCCGCTCGTACCGTACACCGTCACCGACCGATTTAGCAGCCCAGCTTTGCAACTCTTCTTGTTGACCATTGCTTTAACCCTAGCTACGCCATTTCTGCTTCGTCTACGACTTGGATGATTTTACAAAGATAAGGGTTTAAGGGTTGTTCTTGAATAAAAATTCTGCGAAATATGTATTTAATTTATGTCGGCAACAAGTATGACTTGTTACTATTTAGTACTGAAAAACGCTAAACACTATAAATATCAGTAGGTTTATTAAAAAGTATAGTTAAACAAATTTTCTATTTAAAAGACTTATTTTCATAGATTATATAGCACACAAGTCATAATTGAATGCCAATAACAAGCCAAACAACCTCTTCAGAGGTTTTAGCATCTGCTCGTATTTAATGTTTTTTAAAACCCTTATTGTTAAGTATAACCAAAAAAATATTGTTTATTCTCGTCATGATTTATGTTTAAACATTAGTCACGAAATTGTTCTATCCTTGACTTCTGACAGAACTAACCAGGTGTTCTTTTCCGGAATGCCATATAAGATAGCGACAAAAAATTCTACATAATGATACTGTTTTTGTTGATCCTCACGATATGAAATTTTAATCAGATGTTTGCAAATGGATGTTCTATGCATCTTGCTTTTATTGTACAAATTCCCCCTTTTTATCGAAGTAACTACTTAAATTTAGAGGAACTTTTCCACATTCCAATAAATATTTTCATTACAAGACTGTAAATTAGTAAGTAGATAATGGTAAAAAGTTGTTAACTATACTTTAGTTAACTTTAAAGGTAAGGTAGCATTATCCATTAAAGTAGAAACGTGAGATTTAAAACTTGATTTGTATGACGTTATTTTAATCAATGTAAATTAGTTTCTTATTTTTCTCATGAATGTAGCATAAAGTATTCACTTGGAAAGCGCGATTCTTAACTCTATACCCTCATTGGTAAACTCTAACTTTCTCTCCTTGGTAAATGTTCTGTAGGGAAAAGGTCACCTTTTATTCATAACAAACTTTGTTTATAGAGATGCGGTACATACTATGTCAGAGATTATCTTAACGAACAATTACGACAATGCATTTGGCACTACGCACGGTATTTCGCTACAAGTCAAAACATAGTCTATGCATAGTCGAACTAAAATAATACATTTAACATATACAACCATAAAAGTTTAAAATAATAAAAGTGGACATTCTAGAAATATACAAAAGAATCACGAAACTCTTTCTCTTTCAAATTTAATCTAGATAACGTTACAAAGATAGGAATTTCAAATACACACTTACAAAGAAAAACTAATGTGTTTGATTTTCAATACTGCTACCAACTTACGTCCTACCTATACCTATATACTCAAGTACGTAATTTTAAGAGCTTAGGCGCTTACATTCTATGAGCTTACATTGAACAAACAATACGACATTAATGTAGACCGACTTTTATTTGTTAAACAAATATATTTTCGTAAGAATAAAATGTCACAAACGATGGCAGGACAAGAAAGACATCTATTAATAAAATTAGCATAACCTTCTTACATATTTCCAGTCACAAAATAAGCTCTTATCATTGCCCAAATTAAATACAACACATATAGAGGACGTGGCGATAAGATAGGTACAGCAATGTCAACAGCCTAATTATAAAATAACGAATTCAGCGACGCTTTCACATTCATTCATTGCTGAAATTGCGACAATCGCTTCACAGAAATCCATCCGCTTTTCTTGGAAACTACTACGAACGCACACACACACCTTGCGCACGTATACGAACACATTCGCACGCGGCCGTGATAACGCGAAGGCGTGACGATCGTATCAGTGTCATAAACCGACTTATATTGCGTACCCGGTTCGCCTTACATCTAATCAAACAATTTACTCTACTACAGTAGTTATGATATTGTCAACAAAGATGTATGAACATTAGACATTCAAATAATGCCATGCAGTAGAGAAATCAAATCAAATTGCATTTTTTACAGGGCGTTTGTCTTGGACATACAACCTTGCTGTAAAAATTAAATGACTGGTTACCATACTTCAAAGTATGTAAAGAAGTCAAAATAAAACACGAAAAAATCTGTAAACTTTTTTTGTTATTTTGTTACTCTTAACAAACATTTTACGTCACATTAGGTACCAAGATGTCAGGTATATAAAAATGGAAAGCAACCTAGAATCTCCATTATCCGGATATATATACCGTTCATACATATGACATTCGAACCTCAAGAAGTGACTATATAAAAAGCTTTTTGAATACAGACCTAAGGATTATTAATAAGATATGTATGATCAAAATACGCAACACTCAGCCATGATGCTTTACATCTATGGCAAAATATGTAATGAGATAGACAATTTATGTTATGAAGCGTTTCATACAAGATGCATGTTGCGTTCGTTAATAAAAATTGATAGATCAATACTTGCTAAAAAGGAAAGGCTAAATAGATTGATCGTCGAGTCGGGGTCAAGATGATAATAGCGCCGTTTACTGATGATAACACGACATGTGAACTTCTAAACCATAAATATCAATTTGAATATTCTTCTCACAATAGAGCAAATCATATCACTGATTGGGTTAGTCCGCAGTCACTCAAAGGCCAAAGTTAACAGGCAATCAAAATATAGATTAAATGTATATGATAAAATATTTTTCCTATAGTCATATTCCAATATATTAATGTTAGTTGCTTGTAATATACATACCTACTGTGAAACAAGTAATTCCTATAAATTTTCTTTATCATTTGATTTGTAGAAAAGATTATAAAAATAAGAATGATTAATTATGAGACTCACTTGGTAATGCTGGTGGTAACATTGTGGGCGGCCCGGGGCTCCGCAGCCGCGTCCACCATACCGCAGCATCAGCACCATTACTCATCACCGCCACCAGGCCCCCACCATTAACACTACATGCGGACACATCACAACCCTCACTGACACCAGTACCTGATGCACAATACCAAAGTCTTGTTTGTTCACCTTCACACTGCAGTGCAGCGATGGCATACACTTAACATTACCAGATCTGTAACAAAATATATATTATGATTTTTTTCTGCATTCTCTTAGGCTAGTTGACACTAGAACTTATACTCCATTTTATTACAATACTTAATAGCTTAATTAACCTTAAGCTAATATAATATATACTGTTGAAGTATAGTAGTAGTAGATGACACTGATGTACCAGCAAAAATAGTGCACAAAATAAAAAAATTGCTTTATTAAAAAACAGTATGTACTGAGTAACTGTTAATAAAATAAAGTTTTGACGTAAATAATTTTAAAAAATCAACACAATTATAGAGCTAAATGATAAGAATATAATTTTATAATCAACATTTCAGCATAGAGCGGAAGCTATATGTTAAAAATATTCATTTTAATTAGTAACAGCAAACTTATCCACTAATTGGACTAAAATCTTGTATAAATAATAAAATAAATAAAAATGACATTTTTACACTAAATCATACATATACACATATACATGAATTACCGAATATAAACAATTGAGGATGGGAATGCAAACTAGTAGTTAAAATTTGCCACTATATAAGTGTCTGAAATTTAATGTCAGAAATAAAAGGTATTTTCTAGACAATTCCTAAATATTTAAAATAGTTTTAGGTGCCACCATTTATTATTAAATAAATATTTTTGCAAACTGACAATGTACATGTAATTTTTTTTTATGTGAGTAATATGAATAGCTTGTATATAGCTAAAACAAAATGAATGTAAGATTGGTTATCTTTACCATCTTCTACATAATATCTATATTTAAAAAAATCCATGCTTTATACCAAGATCGGTTTTTAAACAACCTTATTCTACTTCTCTTCAGCATAGATTGAGATGCTTTTGTCAGACAAAATAACTACTTCAAGAGAAGTATATTTAGAAATAAGAATTTATTCATACTAAAAATATAGTAAAACAACGAAAATTATATAAACATATAATTTAGTGAGAATTTTCTTCTTTACAATATCGCAAAATCTTGACTGGTAAGTTGACTACCAAATACCAATTAACAATTATCCAGCTATCAACCATGACAAAAAGAATTCTATAACTCGCTTTATGTACAATACCTATAATACGATAATATGAGATCATCAATACAGCAAATAAATTTAAATATGACTCACCACTTTATATATTAGCTACAGAAAGAGCGTGTAGGTTATCATTATCACACAGTACATTTATAATAGATACGTCATGATGATCGTAAGTAAAAGAACTAGTCTTGTGTTAATATTATAGAAAAAGATTGCGAGACTTAAAACTGATTATTATATCACATAGGGTTTCTTGTCTTAGACAGCATTGACTCAAAGAAAAAGCATACAAGAAATACGATTTAACTTATGTATTAAAATTAATTTAATATTATTAAACAAACAACAAAGCAAAGGTACCTACATATTTTTTTAAAACGGATGACAGAAGTCAGGACACAGACTAGTAAAGAGATACTTATTTAAAATTAAAAAATAGAAGGAACATTAAACTAAGGAGAACAGTTTCTTGAATAGAATTTAATTTGGAAATAATTTCTTAGGTGAGAATTAATAACGTTTGTTTTTTAGTATGACACATGTCTCAGAATAGCCTGCCGCCTCCAGTGACTTCTCTCATGTTGTAAAACTGATGGAACTGCCATCTATCGATTACCCTAGCAACAACATAATGACAATATACGCAGGTCTTCTATGTGTTATCTGTCTCGAAATTCTATTGGTAATCTAAACTTTGACAGTTGCACTGACCAATAGCTGACCTTTTGTAAAATTAATATTAACTGGTTATTGGTCATACCAAATTTAAAAATAGTCTGGGTGGAGACCAAGTGCATGTAATTGACAGATTTAAGATTTTCATTATTAAAAATGTATGTTTGTTAAGACGTCTGCTTTGTCTGGTATAAAATAACAGGAGATGTCTTATTTTAACTCGTTTATTTAAAAACTAAGTGTTTATTATGTCATTGTTAGGTTTGCATTAATTATAAAAACAGTGGTATTATATTAAAGATTGTTTTCACTATTGTAAATATTAAAAAGATGCTAGTTGTAAAAAAGAAATTAATGCTACAGAAAACGAAAGACGTCTTTTCAAAGATATTAATTTCTTGATTGTTAACACTGAACAACAGCTCAAGATCAACCTTTGTGACAAATGTCTGCATCTGTTGACTAAAATTTGAAACCTAATAAGCTTATAACAAGGTCAACAGTTTTCGTCCACTTCTGGATAATTAAAATATTTAAGTGTCGGTGTGAATTCCCAGATTCTGTGTAATTGTTAATTTGTTTATCTCAATTGTGTTCGTGTCCGCGAAAATGATCTATACTTTGTTTTTCGCAATCACAACGTTACATGAACATGGATGACCTAAAATGCGAATACGTAAAGAAAAAAAGATGCTTTGCATTGAATCCAGTGGTACCAAATGAGAAAGCAAATGATGACAAAAACATAGAATGCCTGCAATCAGAGGTAGTCCGATTATTCGTTTGTAAAAAGTGTTGCAGTATCAAAAGTGAAAATGTGATGTGTCAAACTGATTGTTTACCTCACAACAGACAGGTGACGGTGAGAGTTTTATAGAAGTGGTTCGCCAGGGCGGCGGGAGGTGGGCGGAATGTCGGACCACTCGAGTCCACACAACGGTGGCTATGATTCTGCTGAGCCTACGAGATTGTCGGTCCGCAAGGACCTGTTCCCTGACGAGAGCTCCGCCAAGTCAGGAACTAGCTCCGATTCGGATGAGCAGGACCAGCTCGAAGACTTTTCCTGTGTTAAACTGGAAACAGACTTCGAACAGAGCATAGATGATATAGCACATCAAAAAATGCAGGTTGTGAATGGAACTATTCCGACAGCACCACGATCGCGACACAAGAAGCACAAGCAGCGATCAAGGCGTGAATCAAATCAGTCAACACTTAATGGTTATCTTCCTTCAGAAAGGAAGCGAAAAAAACATTCTCGTGAACGCAGTAGGACACATAAGAGTAACAGTGTAGTCTCAAAAGTAAAAGGTGGTAAAAACCTGAATTTAGTAAGTAGTAGTGAGTGTCAACAAGATGAGGATGCAGGTGACTCTGCTGGTGAAAATGAAAGTTCAGAAGATGAAGTGCTAGAAAGAAGTGTTAAGTTGAAATTGATGCCGCGGCTGAGTGGTAAACCATACAGTCATGAACTTAGTCAATTATCCTCTAAAAAGAATAAACGTAAAGACTCTTCTAAGGAGCAAAGGACTCACATAGTGACCCCGTGTAGTGGTAAACCTCGGTCAATGTTAGGACTTTGTAGTTCTCGTAGCAAAAAGAAATCCAAGAAGTCTGAATGTACACCCACTTATCGAAGTCAGATAGTGGATACCAGTACTAACCTAAAGATTAAAATAAGGAAAACAAGTGTTCAAGATGCAGTGAGTATAGTAAGTAAATCAAAGATATTGTGACACAATTTTTTTAAATATTATTTATAGAATCCTCAGTTTCACCATTTAATAGTGCTTATTCTTTAATCATTAAGTACTTATCATTTTTAAAATATGAGCTACTGGAGCAGCCTCAAGCATATGTTATTTATTCTGCAATAATATTAAAGCTTTGACAACACTGAAGAAGATAACACCTTACCAGTTAGTTATCTTAAACTATTACCAGTTACATCATTTATTTCTTAATTGTTTTTTTAAGTAGGATAGGTTTATATATAAATTAATTATACAGTTTTTTATATGAAAAAACTTTTCTTTGGTACAGTTTTAACATGTTTTTCAAGCATATTATAACAAGTAAAAGATTGTCTGTGATGCAACCAAATCACTTTCACTTTATGCCTCAGGTCAACTTCTGTTCAGCTTTTAATCTATATTTTTAAATGAACTTGTTCTTCTTATTTTTTACAGTTTAAATCAATTCAATCTTTTATAATACATATTTAAATATTTTGTTGTATTGGACAGTTTATGAGATTTTTACTATGCATGTATTCTTTGAGAAACCTTGGTGGGTGGAAAAATGCTAATAAAATATGAAAACCTATTAAATTTTCCTATTTAATACATAATATAATATAAATTGAAGTTTATATGATATGTGATTGAACTGAGAAGATACATATGTGAGAGTGAGAAAAATATAAGTGAAATCTAGAAGCATACTTGCTGATTTCTAAGTCTTTTATACATGGACCAAATATTTGTAACTTGCTATAAGTTACAACTAGTTAAAGTGTGTGGTCATGTTTATTTATTTGAAAACTGACATGATAAGGAGAGTGATAAGAACAAACAATCAGTATTTGAGTTTTGTTGTAAGTTTATATAGAAGTTTAGGGTGTAAAAAAGTTTGTTATATTAGAAACTAGTATTCCAGGAAAGCAGGCTGGTAATAACAAACATTTACACCAAGTTATCTATTTGTTTCTTTTATTTGTATGATGCTTTCAGCATTATAACAGGACTCCCAATTAATGCTATATACTTGGAAGCTATTTATACAACTTGCTGTTATTAATATACAAATAATATATGTGATAAGGAAAAATCACTGCAAATAATTATATGAAAGCGGACTTATATTTAAAGATTTTATTCCATGTTTTTCAAAAGCACTTTGTCTGGCTACCTATAGGAAAAGAAGCATATATATTTTGTAGTTTTGGATAGGAGAATCCAAAATTAGAAGAATACATACAAAATAATATATAAACAATATTTTTTAAGAACCATATTGGTATTAAATTAAATCATATTTAATACAGTACATAAATAATATTTTAGATCGAACCAGCACCAAAATCAATGTCCGATATTGGTCAAAGAAAGTCGAGAAAGAAACGTGCCGCATCGCCCGTCCCAAGCGAGAGTTCAGGCGAAGAGTATGACCCTGCACGTGGCGACACGGCAGCGGCTATGAGCGTCGCAGCGCCCAAACCACGTACGAGACAGAAAGCTCCACGAAAACCTACTAATTCAAAAAGTAAAGGTATAAACTTTGATTTCTCTATTGATTTGAATTATTTTAATATCTACTCTTTATCTAGACTAATATTATAAAGGTGTACAAATTTGACAATTGAGATAACACTCAGGAACTGGTTTGAATTGAAAAATTAATGGATTGACATCACAATAGCAGAACAACAACATATTTTGTCCAAATATTTTTAAGTTTTTTATTTGTTACATTCTGTGGGCCTAAAACTTAAAACATTTCTGATTAATTTATTCTTAAATAAGTATAGAAATTATTGAATTTTAATAAAGTAAATATTTATTACTGATATAAATATATAACACCTGTTGTATAATTATATAATACACAAAATTCAACTGCTGCAAACCTTGATCAGCTGTAGTGTGGTAAATTAAAATAATCAATGTGGGTCAATGATATTTAAAGGTAGATAATGAAGAATCAATTAATATATCACGTTTTTGTAAGTATTTATTTAAGCTTGTAATGCTGAATTACTATTTATTAGCATTTGCATTTATATTATGCTTCCTTGGTGCAGTATTTTATACAAATAAAGTAAGGGTCTGTTTCACAATGTATGGATATGTTCTACATAAGTTCCAAATTAGCTATTTATTACATATTGGTAGGGTAAACACTATTGTTGCGTTTCACGACTGTCAGATAGCGTTATTCGTCACAAAGTTCATCATAAGTTATGAGTCCGATGCAGTGACATGCGCAATTTATCTTCTAAATAATTTGTGTTGCATAGCAATTTGGTACTTTATACATGTATTGTCAACAAAATTTTCTCAAGATTTTATTATTTGTTTATTACAGCTCAAAAGACTGAAAAAAGTAGAGATAATCCAGCGGTCAGAGACATTGGGCCACAAAGTCCGTGGGGAACTTCCGTGCCTGTGGAAATTCTTTCCAAGATATTCGATAATGTAGTTGTACAACAGGGATCCCTACCGACTATTGTAAGGTATGCAAAATCACTTTATTTAATAGATTTGTTATTGGTAAAAAATTGTTTATGGTATTATGCTGATAAGTCATTAAATAAACATATACATATGTATAATTGTATTTGTGATTTTTCTTTGAAATCATGTTATCTGACGTACGTACGACGTTGTTATAAACTGCCAAAAACATGTTTTTATTATCTAGTATTATTATTCCTTTAAGTATGTTCTACTAAGAATCTACCTCCTTATAGTCTACTTATAACTAGTTAAAAGTTGCGTATTGCTTCATGAAGGCCTTATTTAAAAATTGCTTTTAGCTTATAAATTTTTCCAGGCATGGGTTGCCAAAAATTATAAGCGATAAGGCCGCGATTGCACTTAGCCTTTAGATTTATACCGTGTTATATTATGTTTGATGTTGATTTGTGTGAAAAGAAGAGGAAAAACAATCAAAATTGAAATTGTACAAAGAATATATACAAGCTGCTCTTCTATTAAGTGCCAAAAAGTGGGAAAAGGGATACTCTTTTTTAATAAAATCCCAGAGGCTCTTTTATTTCTGCCTTTTAATAAATTTAAGCTATGTATTAAAGAAAAGCTGTGTAAAAAGGCTTACTATAAAGTTAACGATTATCTAGTTGATAAAAGGGCCTGGGACTAGAGCTAGACAGGCTACTTCTAATTAATTTGCTATATTTGTTTTAAAATAAGTGTTGTTTGATGATTTGCTATTTTAAAAGAGTACCGAGAGTTTTTTACGCCGGCTTTTTCTCTCGGCGTACACCCTCTGTCTTCTTTGCCGATGAGTAGGGATGCCTACAAATTCAAATTTAATGACGTGGAATAAGTGATACCTGTATCGTATGTTCCATTATAATCATATTTTATTTATTTTAAAATTCAGTACTTATTTATTTTATAATTCCACAATTTTGTATAAATTTATTTTTATTTCAGATTGGGTAAAGTATGTAAATTATGGTATAGTGTAAGTTGTAAGGCTGACTTCTGGAGAAATGTGGATCTCGCACAACACACTGTAGAAAAATGGAAAACTGATTACAAACTGGTGTGGCTGCTAGAGAACAGATTGTCCCAGTGTCAGACTTTGAATCTTGGTATGTATAAAAATAAACATTGAATACATTTCTATATATTCCAAGAATAAGGCTCATATTAAAGTACTTTACATCTAGCTAATATGAATAAAACAAAACAAATATGATATATGTCAGTTTCACCTTATAGAGCTGAGTCTTCTCTTCAAATACAGTAAACTGAATATTTTTGAATGGATTCTAATAATTATTATGATTGAATTTCAGCTCAATGGAATGTAAATAACGTGACATGGGTGCTAGCGTGCTTGGCGGACTATTGTCCTGACCTAATAGAGCTGAGCGTGGCCGGCTGGAGCCGCATCACGCCTGAACAGCTCTACGACCTATTTCAAGGATTGCCTAAGATGCAGAGGATCGATTTGTCGTCGTTGGTATGTAATTCTTATCTATTCTCTTTTTCTATGGAATATCTGCAAAGCATCAATCAAATCATCTTTTTTTACTAGAATAATAAAACAATCCTAATTATACTATAGGTAAAGCTTGAGCTGTAAGAATATATTTTTCCGGGCTATATCGTCTTCTCTGACTATAGTTATAGTTTTAATTATATTTTTTACCTTTATAAACACAATTGATACAAAAAAAATTATAAGAACTAGGATCCCTAATAACTTCACTGTAAATTACAGTCAGAAACAGGCGGCCTAAGTACGTGCTTATCAGCGGCTTCAGTGGCGCGAGTGTTGGAGACTTTTGGAAGTAGGCTCACTCACCTTACGCTCGCCAACAACAAATTCTCGGCCTTACAGCAAATACTAACAGCAGTGGCGGTAAGTATTTAAATTACATCCGGCTCGAAGGACCATATTGACTAGCCAGGGTCAAGTTTGTAGTAATCCATACATAGGTACCATATAATGGTTCATAATTTTTTATGCATGGAAAAAAAGATAATTATGAATACTGCACAATTCAAGCATCAGAAATATCAAAATTTAGATAATAAATAAATAATTAGCCTAAAACGACGTTAATATTTGTATTTCAGAATAATTGTTCCAACTTGGAAGTGCTGGATATATCTGGTGCGCTGGCTACGTCGCATCCAGCCGCAGTACCACTTGAAGCGCTTCAACGTGGTTGCACGAAGCTGCGTGTTTTCCGCGCTGCTAACGCGCAGCTTGTACTCGCCAACGCTACCACCTCGCAACAGGTTAGTTATTCCGGATTGAAAGACCGTTTTGTTTGACAGTGAAGTCGAACTTCAGTGGCAGAAAGTACTATTTTAAAACTGTTTCATTGACAAGTGCATTTCTTGTCGTTGTATATATATCTGTGGTCATAGATCAGACAATGATTAGTACATTCATTCATATATCTAGTCTTTCATATTTTAATAGTGCCTTTAACATTTCTTAATAATTTAATTTCTTGTAATGTAAAGAAATGAAATTGCGTTTATTCTGACCTATGGCCACAGATGTATAGTATATGCATTTTCTTTTGCGAACTGTGGAATCGACTCCCGGTGGGGGTCTTCCCTGAAAGATACGACCTCCAACTGTTCAAAATTCGAGTGTACTTCTCCCTCAAAGGCCGGCAACGCACCCACTAAAAATGGGTGTCTATGGGCTGCGATTACTGGCCTTTTTGGTTGTCCCGCATGCTCGTTTTATATTAAAAAAAATACAATTTTGTATTTACACCGTAATTCTATTTCAATTGAGGCTTATAAGCAATTGAACTATATTTCCATGTTTGTCCACAAATTTTTCAGAAAATCATAGTCATTTTTATTTCAATCCAACTTAGAGCAGTAGTTTTTGAGATTTGGGTCCATTTCTTGCATGACATGCAATATCCTAGGTAAATACTACGACAGATTAGGACATATTACTTTTACAACGACAAGTCCCAAGGGAAATTAGAGAATTATCACTAAATAAATTCAAAGCCCTCGTTAAACGTAAATTAATCAATAAAGCTTTTTATAAATTTGACGAATATTTAAATGATCCTAATCAATCATTTCAAACAATTTGTATAACTCAAAACTTAATTAAAAAGAGTGGCGGAAAAATTAATTTAAATTGTTTTTTGACGTTCATAAGTGTACTTGTTTACTTATATGAATAAAGTTATTTTGAGTTTGAGGTTACTATATTATTCTACACTATTAATTAATGTATTTGCGAAAATACAGGTGGGTTTTTATTGCACTCGGGATATATAAATTCGGAATTATAGAAAATATGTTTGGGGTTGTGTTAGCGTAACTATTAAATTAAAAGTATATTGGAAATGTATTTAAAAAAAAATAATGCGTTATCAGGCGTATTGGAAATATCCAGAAGAGAAGATAAACTTTGATAAATTTGTGATTTTAGATGGAAGCCGGAGGTTGGAGTATGTTAGAAGAACTTTCAATAGCCGGTGGGGCAGCCGCCGAAAGGAGTTCGGTTGGTGAATACCGGTTTGGGGAGGAGGCTTTAGCGCGCCTTGTTCGTGGTGCTACGAGGCTTAAGCTTTTGGACCTGAGAGGACTTCAACGCTTGACCGATTCCGGATTAGTGCGAGTGCCTGCTTGGGATCTACAGCATCTTTTCCTTGGAGGTATATATTTTATGTGATGATGACTAAAAGTTAATGATTCAAATGTGTTTAAAGTCGACTAAATTTAACAATTAAATATATAATTATTATATTATATGATAATTGTATCATAATTGGTTTCGTTTTTAAATACGAAGTAAGCTCCTAACAGTTTTGGCCAAATTTATAAATTTCTTTAATGTCGTTTACAGTTCGTATAAAACTTACAGTTCAATACGATGTTGATTAATTGATAATAAACGCGCCTAACGCGCTAAATTTTTTTTTAAAGATAGAGTGGGAACTCTATTTTCTTCTACATCCTTACTTTATAATCATTATTTGTCTTTTGCCAATTAGACTAATTAAATTCTGCAAGTCCGATTTTACTATAGTATTTATGCAACGAAGTGTTCAATGAATCTATATAAAACGAAATCGGGCTAGTTACACCATTTATAAAGCGAGAGAGAGGGCCGTCGTTGATGATTTATTATTGCATGCGAATAACAGAACTATGAAAAAATCTGAAAAATTAAATTCAAAATCGGAAAAGTAAGCAGAAATATTGAGAACAAAATACAATAATTTGACATTTGCTTCATAGATTTTTTGAGTTAAGCTAAATTTTATTCGTGAATATAACAGAATGAACGCTATTTATTCAGAGCTTGGTATATTCGGTACTGGGCTGATCAATTTAAAGAGCTAAGAAGGTACCTAATACGCATTAGGCATAAGTATCTTTAAATAAATAGTTAAATTAAAGTTAAGTTTTCGTAGTTAATTAGAGTTGAGTAGTTCTTCTCTCTTTTTTTTTAAATTTAATGTTTACCTTAATTATGACACCGTATAATATATATCTTAAATTTTAGAATGTAATTTACACTATAGATCAGAGTTTCTTAAATGGGAATATGTATTTGAAAAATTATTAAAATTTGAAATTAAATTTCAGTTTTCCATTGTCTTAAAATTTTACTTTCTTAATCTTGAAACTTAAATGATAAGTTCTTCCAAAACCTATCATTCAAGTTTCTTAGAACAATTCAATTTTTTAATATTAAAAATTATGTATCTGGTCCCGGCCTTAGGGAGGCCTAGCCATTTTAGAAAAGCTAAGGTGGTGCACGTCACAAAAATGGTTGGGAAATACTGATGTAGATTGGCTTTCATAAATAAAAGATATAACTTAATTCATCAGTTTCGGCGGTACGAAGTTCGCCTGTGTAAGATAATTAAAATATAAAAACTGATAATTCTTAGGATGTAACGTGACACGTCAGAGCACGGCGTGTCTGGAGCTGATCTGCGAGAAGTGGTCCCACAGCCTCCTTGAATTAGATCTGTCGTGGGCTTCAGCCACCAGGCCACTGGACGATGCTGTGGCAGCACTTGCAGATGCCACGGATAGCAGATTACGGTTAGTTACAATGTTTATACTACCTGCTAGTGAACTTCTAATCTAGTTGTCATTTCAGTTTAATAAACAAAATGTTTCGTAATAGTTTTTGTTAATTATATTATTAAAAATGTATACCAGAAGGTGAGATTCTTGCCCTATCTGTCTTTATCGAAACAAAAAGTTTCAAAATTAATGGTATCTTCAAAACTTTTTGTTGAAAATAGCCAAATATCTTTTTCTGGAGTCGCTAATTTATCTTTTTAATTCTTTTTTTCAGTGTCTTGAACCTTTTCGGCTCGTCGGTATCACTAGAACCTGTCAAAAAAGTGTTGTTAAAATGCACCCAATTAGAATCAATAAATTTAAGCTTGTGTCGAGCTTTGCCCCGAGGCATGAAGCGTCTGTACACCGGCAAGGAGTTAGAAGATTTAAAAATCAGTTTTGATCCCGAGAGGGCGAAAAAATCCGAAGAGAAGGTGAAAGAAACTAAAAAATCTAGGAAATCAAAAGTAAATTCAGATAAAGAGGAAAAGAAAGCGACGGCCGATAGTGCTTCGGAGAGTTCTAGTACTTTGGATATAAAGTCTCCAGACAAGTCTTCCCCTAGCTTATTTCAAGAACCGCGTAAGGTCTCCGACGTAGCTGGAACTGAGAAAAATTCCGCTGTCGAGGCACAAATTAAATCCCCCCTCAACACTAAGCTAGTTCCGTCGCCCAAAGAGCCTTCAGAAGCTGTGACGTCACAAAATGAATCTAAATACTCTTCGTCCATTTCCAAACTATCGAGTCCACTCGCTCAGTTAAAACCGGACTCTTCCTCCACTCCGAGATCCGACCCCATGAAGGCGGACTTAGGAAGTCCACATTTTAGTCCCGTCCAGAAACCGGACAGCCAAGTCCCGAGCAGCCCCGATGTCCAATCGGAAATCGTGAAAAATAACGCCTCCTGGAACGTCGGCCCTTTCAAAAGAACACCGAATCACAAATCTGAAGCGAGTCCTTTAAATAGATTAGAGAGTCACAACAAAGTAAAACAGGCTAAAGTCATAGAACAATGCAGTCCTACCACCTCTCTAGAAAATAAACGTAGCCCGGAGACGATGGGTGTGAAACCAGATATAAAAAATCCAAACACCTGGAATTATGGCAGCTACAGTCCGATGCCCAGGCAGGATCAGTTCCCGTCGCAACACAGTCCTTACTCTGCTCAACCGAGTCCCGCCCAACCCAGTCCCTACTCGACTCAACCCAGCCCCTACTCCACCCAACCGAGTCCCTATTCTTCTCAGCCCAGTCCTTACTCCGCCCAACCCAGCCCTGACACGAGCCAAATGGTAAAGGCGGATCTTCAGAAGTCTAACGCTTGGAATACCGGAAACTACAGTCCTCTCGCAAAACATCACGCTCCCTTCTCTCCTCACCCCGCGACCCACACGAGTCCAGATCCTGGCTTGGGGGTCAAGAGCGACACTCTAAGAAATAATCCAAACAAAACTCCCGGTCAGTACAGCCCCATGTCTCGGCCGCAACACCATAGTCCCTACTCGCCTCGGCCAGGCATAGATAACAGTTACGGCAACAAAAAGAGCCCCGGCGTGGCCGGCAAATACAGTCCCATGATGCGCGCCGACTGTCACTTGCCCAGTCCGGAAGGAGGGCACGCCGCTCGACCGCACCTGAGCAGAAGTCAGGAGATGTACGGGCGGCCGAAGGCACCGGACGTGATGCAGAGTCTTCCGACGCCCGACATTCCAACTTCGTGGGGCCTCGACAGATACGGTCAGATGAGCACGAGTATCGAGTCGCTCGTGTGGAGCAGTGGGGGGCAGCAACAGCGAGTCGACAGCGCGTCGCTAGCGCAGCCCCAATGGCCGGACCTGTCCGGCTTCGACACCTCGCGGCGCTCCGAAGCCAGCGACCCCTGGAGCTTGGGGCAGTTCCGCATCGAGCCGCCCCATCAGGTACACAACACGTTCGTCGAGCAGAACGTGACGTTCGACTCTTTGGCGTCCCACCTCCCTTCGCACCAGTCGTTGCCCGCTTTCCTCGACGACAGCTTCACGGAGACGTCCCGCGTGGACTGACGCCCCCGGGCGGAGATGGCGGCCGCCCGGGCCTGACGGACGATTATCGTTAGACATTGTAAATAAGATTATCTAAATAAATTTTAAGAGTAATAAAGCTAGAAATGCATGAAATTATTTTGCGGCCGATTCGTGTTTATAAAATCGCAAATTATTTATTATAATTTAGTGGTGAAATCAAGTCAGAATTTGTAATTGTTGTTGTTTTGTTTACGTTTAAAATGTCGCAATTTTGATTGACCGACGATGAGAATTGCGATTTTTAATGGTGAACTTAATTCTGTTAGTATCTGTGTACGTCGGAGGGGCAACGCTCGCGTCACGAGGATATCGTTGTTCGTATTGATTGTTCGTTGTGATATATTGATAGAACGTAGTGAAGCAATAATAACTATAACGTAATCCTTGCGAATCTTCCGTTGTTACGATGATAACACAAATGTGAAACTGTTATTAATAGAAAACAAACGTATTGTTTTATAAACAAGGATACAATATATTTACAATTTTGACAATTGACATATTATTTAAATTTTAACAGGATCACGAACGCAATGAAGTTGTCATACTTGTTTTATATTTCAATAAACAGAAACTTGAGCATACATTCCGTACAATAGCAACTTAAAATATGGCTATAATGCTTATAAAATGTCGTATTTTTGAGAAAATATTGAGAAAGCAAAACCTGATGGAATAAACAAGACAAAAACAAACAATCTATTTATTTTATATCGGGAACTGTTAATTATTATTATGATTTTAAATATATGAACGCACGTCAAATGTGCGTGAAAATTTAACACATGACATTTTTTTCCTATGAAGCAGCTATTAAACTTAAGTAGATTTTTATCAAATAAATAATTTTAGTTGTGTTTGAAAAATTAAACGTTCAGATTTAGAACTAGTTAAACGTATAGAAGTATATTGAATGAGCTACTTCAAACTAATTAAAGCTTGTGCCGGAAGTTCAATTTAAGACAGCTTAGAATCACTTTGTATTAGAACAAAATATTAAATTCTAGAAAATATGACATTTTCGCTTTTGTCAATTGCCGAATTTTATTAATTAAATTAAATTGTAAAAAACACCAACCTCCACGATATATTTGCATTATAGCCTGATATTGGAATAAGATATATCATTTCTGTATTTAAGTAATGTTTTTTGTTAACCGATAGTAAATATGTAGAATTATTGGTAGTCAAATGATATCACATCGCATTATGCACTTATTTGACAGCATTTTATATTTTTTTACCTAATTTAATTTTTATACTTTTACAGAATCTACCAAATCGTGAAATTTTATAAATTTTTAGTTAGGTTTGTTTGTGAACGGATAACTCGGATTATTCAAATTCATTGAAAGCAAGTACAAAGTGCTCTGACAGCAAGTTTCGTTGTATTAAACCCGTGTTTTCACCAAATATTGTTTCCAATACCTGCATAATTAGCCTTAAAATGCCTAATCTTTAAACTGAAGAGAATATTATATAGTTTTATTAACTTATTACAAAATGAAGAATATTATCTACTATACATAGAATGTATAAAATATTGATTTAGGTAAATATAAATTAACGTTAAAATAATTGTGTACTATAGTTTGTATAAAAGTTGACTAATACCTATAAGTTCTGTTATGTAGAGATTTTTGTTTGTAATATTGTTAAAACTACCGCGGACTTCTCACGAGTGGTCCAATTTTTATAATCTAACCAATAAAATATCGATGTGGTTGTAATATTTGTTTTATTTTACTTGAGAGAAATTTATGAAATATCCGATTGCTAAACCCAAACGTAAAGTTTGACGCCATTCATCTGGCTGCAGATCATCAGAGATGAAAACAGCTGTGCTGTAATCTGCCACAATGAGGTCGGGAGCCTTATGACGTTTAGCAGTGAGCAAGCAATCGGAGAAGGAGGAAACTCAAACAAATATTCCACATAAACATTTGTTAAGATATAGAACAATATTCTTCTATTTTTTGTATGAAATTTGAGTAAAAAGCTTCACTTCTTAAAGCATGGTACTTTAAAAAAACTAGTGGTAGTGTCTGATATAATAAATCCAGATAGAAGACGATCTAAACATTATTTATTTAAATTTTAAACGATCGTTACGTAAACTAAGTCATGTTCGCGAATAAGTGATCTTGAGAAAAAATTGCTAAATAACTAAGCGTTATATTTTTCTACCATGTTAAACATTTTCATGTAAAATCTGGCACAATTAGTCCAAGGGTTCATTTTATTATTATATAGTCGTTATTTTACTTATACTTAATTGATTGTATACATTAGTAGTTAGTACTAGTATTATACAGAAAACAGATTGTGTACTAACTAAAAAAATTCTAACTACGACCGATTTAATCTTTACTCCGTTAGAATATAAAATATTCCTGAGTAACATATAGGTTATATTTACTTCCAAATTTCTTTTCACTAGTAAATAAACAACATTTAAATGAAAACGCAAATATCTCGTAAAAATAAAAACCGATAATACAGTATTATAAAAACTTTATTCAAATGCAACAAGCAATTACCAACAACAACCTAAATAATTCACTTTCACGTATACCAAATAACAATAGAATAATTTTATTAAAATTACATACAACAATAGACATTGCATTGCTATTACTAAATTATTCCGTTAACAGTCCAGACGAAACGATAAAATTTGAAAATTATGCAGACATAACTGCAAATCAGTCTTCATGGAGGTGTCGTTCATAATTCAGTGCCGCGACGTATGACTTTCATATGTCCATTACATAACACACAGGACCCCATATTCAAAAGACTATTAGTTATTACTACGAGTCGTACGTTTTAGTCTATATGAACGGCTGTCAAATGGGTTTGTATACGTATATAATGTACATTACGAAGCAATTCGAAACTCGAATAAAAACGAATTCCGGTAAACTCTACCAACCTAAAAATATCAAATGTATTTTGTATTAGCAGTGCAATATAGTTATTATTACAAATAGATTCAAACTGTGCTAAATATCAAGCAATGTGTTTAAATAAAGGCACAATGTAACTCCAATACTCGTCCGAAAACAAAAATGACTAGAAAAATTCAAAAATTTCATTACATCTCAATAAAGGTAATTCGTTAATATCTCCTGATTAAAAATAGAATGCCTATAAGTAAAAAATATTTAATCTCGTAATTTTTAAATAAAATAAACACATTAACAATGTTTATTTTGAATTGTTCCTCTAATCGAGCTGTTTTATAAAAGAGTATACATATATAATGTATTAAACAGACACTTTTTTCAGTTTCGGACATGAAAAAATGCCACACACATACTACACATACAAAACAATATTTGTGGAATGTAATTTCACTTAAAAATCATAAGCTCTTAGGGATGTGAAAAAATAATCGATTTTTTAAAAAGTAAAAATCGATTTTTTTACGCGATTTTTATATTTAAAATAATCAATTAATAATCGATTATTTTTATAATTGAAAATCAATCATAGTCGATTTTTTATCTGCCACCTCCCGACATTATGTCTGGTCTTTTATAACCCGGTTATAAAATATATACGATATACAACGATGTTTACAATGCGATACATTGAATCCGATTTCTTGAAGATGTATTGTTATACTCGATGCATTGATGTTAAGTTAATTTCGATTTTGATAATTCTTAAACGTTAATTTGTGTTTATAATTTTTATTGTTTATTTATAATTAAAAAAAAACATGAAAAATAAAATATTTAGGGTGATTATTTTGAAATTAATTCAAAAATTAGGAAAAAATCGATTAATAAAAAAATCGATTAATAAAAAAATCGATTAACAAATAATCGATTAATAAAAAATCGATTTTTTATGCAGAATGTCACATCCCTATAAGCTCTATATCTAAATAAGCTTTAACACACACACATCTCTCTTAAGGGTAAAGTGGCTAATGAATTACCTCATAACTTAAAGCATAATAAATTATGCTTTAATTAAAATTTAGTTTTATGAATAAGGAAGTAAGTGGTGTACAATTTAAAGGGCTTTTTACAATTAAAAATCCCTTTGCAATTTTTATGGAAGTCCAACTTTACTGATGCCATTTAAACATAATTAAATTAAGTAAATTTAATAATTATTATTATTAAGTATTCTCACCCCTCTTCATAAAAAATACATCATTCTCAGTACACAGTTTTAACTCAAGTACACAAAGAGTACAATTTGACAGAAAGAGGCGAAATAGTACTTTCGTTAAATGAGTGCAACTAGACAGATTCTTTACAATCATTATTTATTATGATTTTTATATGTTAATTCATACTATAATTAATTCCTAAACAAACATAATAATGCCAGAGATTAAAGGGGAATATAATATTTAAATGTACTGAGGTATGTTTACGCTAAATGCTATCGTATTCTTCATAATTAAATTCCGCCACAGTTGGGGCCAAAAGTCCTTGTTGGCTATTTCCATTTTTCTCTGTTCGTGACTTCTTTCGCTTGTGTTTCTTCTCTTTCTTTTCTGAGCGGTCGCTGTAGTCGCCTTTGTCTTTGTCCTTCGATTTCTTTTTTTTATGTTTCTTTTCCTACATTAAAAAAATACTTCTATTTAGTTATTATAACCTTAAAATAAAGATACTACAGATGATGTTAATTTTGCTGAACCCAGTTCATTTCACGCGAATCGACAATTTTGTTCCGAGTAATAGCTAACTTTACGTTTTTTTATATTTATTTATTTAAACTTCGTTACCTTATACAATAACATACATATAAAAAAGCAGGTTACATAACGGGTGGCCTAATGAAATATATATATATATATATATATATATATATATGTATGAAGGTATTTAATGAATATAAAATTTAATTAAGAAGAGCTTGGCGCACCTACAATGGGTTGAAATGCCACTGGGATGTATGTTACATACAACAACAAAAAAGTTTTTATGAATTCCTGTTTAGTATTAATAGTATTTATGACGTTTTTGGACGCTTCATACCATACATATATCTAATGTACTTAAAACTAATTACAGCGTATGTAACCCACTTCTATTGTAATATAGCGAAAGAGCACGATAATCTCTATTTTGGGTTAGAATATTGAAGAAAAGGAATTATTCGAAATTAAACAAAAAACCAACTAGAATTTATAACTAAAAAAACGCAGTTAGGTACAGAAGGCCAAGAATAATCTTTAAAACAAATTGTCTGGACCATGCATTTTACGAAAAAATAATATCAGAAAGTTCGCTACGCCTTAATATTCTATGGTGCGCTTAGCTTAGGCAATACTGTATTTTGCCATACATACTTTGATATTTAACAACCCTCTACTTTGACAAGTACCCAACTCAAATTGTTATTGTATTTAATGAACTTCAATATGGCTAAAAAATATAAAATTTTGAGTGGTGTATGATTGTATTTCGCAACTTACCTTTTGATCTGGTTCTTTAGGTGTAGGCTCTGGGTCTTCTCCCCCTGAAAGATTGAAATGTAATTTTAAAGGATTTCATTCCCACATATTTATTCCGAAAGCCTTTTGCCGCATACCTGTATATAGAACCAGCTACCTGTCGAAATATTTCCGAACCAATATGAAATTAGGGTCCTATTCAGGAGCGTATCTACCAAATCTTAAAAGCCCGGCACGTGATCGTTTATTTCGTAGATATTTTAAATAAAAGATATAAAAGAAAACTAGAATGTATTTAAAGAAGTATAGCCTGGTGCCTTTCAGCCCGAAACAGTTGCTTTGCTGGCACTTAAATTTTAAACTCTAGTAACCATCAGCGAAAACGTTATTAAGGAAATAATAATATTGACTAATATTTGGTTGCCCTACATATTTATTTTATGAAATATATAGGGCAAGTTTTAGTAACCGATTATTTTGCAATGACTAAATCATATATTTAAATCATAATTACCTTCAGGTGATCGCCTTGCACTGTAATCGCCAGCCCACAGTGGGTACTCACTTAACTCTGGCGCAATAACATTTTTCTCCTCTTCCACAGATAACTCTTCATTTTGATCCTCAATTTCCAAACTACCCTCACTTTTAAACATATTTCTTAAACTTTCCTCCCCTTTTTTACTTATTGTTGCTTGCTTAAACATGTTTGCAAGACTATCATCTGTATTATAGTCTGTGACCACAGGTTTAATTTCACTACTATCTATGTCAAGGTCGTCTTGGTCTATGATAACCCTTGGATTTATGGTGTTTTCTTCATCGCTAAAACAAAAACTTATAATTTAGTCTTAACATTGACTTATTCACTGAAATATACAAAATTTTTAAAATGCAAAACTTATCAAAACTTTGAAAAAAACCCCATAGTGATAATATTGCCTTTGGAACCTCATCTGTTCAAAAAAGTATATTATACACAAATTCGCTTACAAAATGTCTAACTTAATTAATATTCTTTTACTTTTTATTATAGTTTTTAATATTCATACTACTAAAATATGGACATTATTAACTATATTTATGACCTATGAGGTCAGCAGTAGAAATGGTAATTTCATGATATGCGCATTTAATTCTTCTTAGCTAAATTTTGAAATACTTAGTCTGGACATAAATACTGTTACAATTAAAAATAAACAAACATTTGCATTTGGAATCTGTCATTTTTACACGATTGTTCATTGTGTTTTCTCATTTTGGCGCCAATATATTGTACAATATTTTACGGTATTAAATTGAGTGGGGTGCTAAAGAGAACCGAATCACTGTGATTGCATTACGTAAAGTAGGTTGCCAAATGCAATTTTTAAAACTCTCCATACGCTTGGTATTAGTAAAATATTTGTATAATAGCCCGGGCTATTAATAGGTACAATGAGACCTCCTCTGTTTGTGACAGAAAAAGATCTGGCCGTCCACGTAGTGTTCGTACACAAAAAGGAGGTTAAAGCAGTAAGGGAAAGAATTCCAAGAAATCCTGTCCGAAAACAAAAGATTTTATCTCGGGAGATGAAGATAGCACGGTCTAGAATCATGTCGCGTATTTTAATAGATGACTTAGGACTTTTAAGCCTATAGGAGACGTACTGGTCATTTCTTAACTGATAATTTAAAAAGAATTGGATGGTAAAATCTAAACAACTACTGAAGAGGTAGGCAAAGGGAGGTCACAGAAAATTTTTGTTTACGGATGAGAAATTTTATAAAATTGAGCAACAATTTAACAAACAAAATGACCGTATTTACGCTCAAAGCTCTTAGGAAGCTTCTCAATTAGTCGACAGAGTGCAACGTCGTGCGCACTATCTGACTTCAGTGAAGGTTTGGTGAGGTATTAGCTATGAAGGAGTGACTGAGCGATAATTTTGTGAAAAAGGTATCGAAACATCGGCACAAGTGTATGAAGATACAATTCTTGACAAGGTAGTGAAGCCCCTTAACAACACCATGTTCAATAACCAAGAATGGTCCTTCCAGCAAGACTCGGCGCCGGGTCATAAAACTCGGTCTACGCAGTCTTGGTTGGAAACGAACGTTTCGGACTTTATCAGAGGTGAAGACTTGCCGTCGTCTAGTCCCGATCTTAATCCGCTGGATTATGATTTATGGTCAGTTTTAGAGAGTACGGCTTGCCCTAAACGCTATGATAATTTGAAGTCCCTAAAACAATCCATACGATTGGCAGTGAAGAATTTTCCCATGGAAAGAGTGCGTGATAACTGGCCTCAACGTTTAAAGGGCTGTATTGCAATTACAGCCCATGAGGACCACTTCGAATAATCTATATTTATATATACACAATATATTTTAAATTGTTTTATAGTTATATATTAAACTAACACATCGTAAAAGTAATAAATGTTATTTGCAATATAAAAAAAAATGGTGCGTGTACTTATGTACGCGCGTAAGAAGTTATACTTCTTTGGCTTTCTTTATATTTTTTAAATATTAAATAATTAATAATAAATATTTAGCGTCAATAATTTAACAATATTTAGTATATTATTCAATTATTAATTAATTATTATTATTTTATTAATTCAATTTAATAACTAGGTATGTTTCATAACCTTTTAACTAAGTAACAATAGGTCTTTGTGAAAAAGCATTGCTAAATTTTTTTGAAAAAATAATTAAAACTCTTTTATTTGTTTAAAAGGTACTACAAATGTCATTATGGTAATTCAAAATTCTTGGCATAGCTGCTAACGTCACGCATATTCTATTTCTTTTTACTTGTAGATTGTCTTATTCCCATCTCGCTCGCTCGGCGCCCATACTGATAATTTTGTGTCACGGTGCGCGCGCATCGTAAAATTTCACTCTCATAAATTTTTCATAACGCGCCTAAAGAAGTATAACTTCAAAAAATGTTTTTCTTTGTTTCAATATTTATGGCAAGACTAGGTACATACCTCTCGCTATCTTCCTGTACATCTTGTGAGTTATTAACAGGTGCCAGATCTTCCAGAAAGCTGGTGTCCAATGTACCTGCGTAAAACTCATCAAGGGCACCCGAAGATGATACCGACATGTTTGTTGCTGATGGAGTGCTTGGACCACTGGTAATACAAAAATTATGTTGTTAATAAATGTTTAATACAAATGTTAAAGCTTGGCAAGAATTGTAAGTATGTATCAAGAACTGTAATGCATGAGTAATCCGAATTAAAATAAATTCTAGTATAAATACAGATATATAGTGACCGCTACGAACACCGTTGAATTACTGTTATTATAAAGAATTTGTACTAGTTTTTTTAGATTTTCGAAAAGTAAAGATTGATTTTCTATAACCAAGCATCTATTGATGCACATTTTCAAGGAATTTTATAAAATAATATTAACTTTTAAGTATATTTGAACGATAGTCACAATTTCGTATTGAACGCTGTCAAATATCAAGCTTCATACAGAAGAAATGGTTTGACAGCTCTTGAAACTAGATTTAAATTTGATAGGCCTAAGACATTGGAAAATGATTTAGCAAAAGTTCGCTAGAACAAGATGGAAGACGATCTATTGCTAAGGACAAGTTACAAAAAACAGTTCTTTGTTAATAATAACAAAACTTTTATTTTAGAAACAAAATTTTTAGAAATATAGCACTGACATTTGTTTTTTTAAGTTTTTTCTCGTTAATTGTCAGTGAATTAACAAAAATATTATATTCGTGAGCAACAATTTATTGTATAAGATACATATACGTATATAATATATACATACAGATACATAATATCACATTATACTGTGTAAACTGTATACGTCTTAACGACATACCCCATAAAGCGTCGAAATCACTCGGCTGTGGTTGGTTTAGCTTGTCTTCCATACAATGATAACCTCTACATAGCATTACACCCACCCTCAATAACGACAACAATTAAATACGAAAAAGTATTTTTTAAATTGCCGAAATTTGCTGAGCTTTGTATGTTGTTTTGTCACTTTATTGTCTTCAATCGTTCGCTAAGAAGCGAGAAATAAACTCAACTACAAAACTTTCCAAAAAATCCGTTCTTTTTTTTTACAAATTGCGCATGCTTGCATGTGCTTTATCACGAAGATCAATATCGAACGATTTTAATTAAATAAGTAAAAAAATATAAACTAGCTACTGATACAGTACAAAAATAACAGACAATAGCGTTCAAATACGAATTGTTTTTATGGAATTACTAACAACACTAGTCTGAACATCAAAATAGACACAGTCCCCAGTGTATATTGTACAAATGTTTAAAATTTTACTTTGGTTGTACTTAAGCGCTATAAAAAGACAATAAAAGTATACATTACCTCTCCTGTGGTATTCGCGAGGGCGTGGTGTCCATGCTGACTTGATTATTTTTAGGATTCGTTAACTCTTGGCTCACATATGATGTCTGTTTTGGTTTCTCTTCAGAAGATGGTGGCTTTGGAGGCGCGTTTAGCGATTGGGCTATCTGCGAAGCAATACAAGAATAATGTTGCACCTTGCATTATCCGATAATTTAATTAAATATAATTTTTACGTTTATATCTAATCACCAAAAAATGTATATGAAAAGGACTTAAATTTGTATTCTTAAACGTATTGTGCACATACTTTAATTAGTTAAAATAAATTTTTTGTAAACGTAACTTTTAAGATAATCTCTTCTGTTTAAATTCGGAAATTATGTATTTCATTTATATGTGTGGAAATTTGGTTAAACTTATCAATAGGCTATAAAAGTTATTTCAAAAACTGTTAATATTATATACCTAGGTAGTATACATCTCCCTTCCAGAAATACGTGGACATATATCAAAAACTACTGAAGCGATTTTGATTAAACTGTTCTCCGTTGTCTGATTTAAATCTCTGATAAGATTTCGCATACGAAATTTAGGACACACTTGGTTATATAGATCAACATTTTATACTCATTGGCCAAATGCTGCGTTACACGTATCTTTGTTTAACGAATTTCAACACGTAGAGATGGTCTTAAATAAACTTCGAATAGAATTAGAATTGTGTCATGCCACAGGCATTTTTATCTCGCTAAATTCGAGAACGGCTAGACCGATTTGGCTAATTTTGATCTTGAAATGTTTGTGGAAGTTGAGGGAAGGTTTTTTATCATATATTACATATACATAATATATGTAGTATCACTGTTTCACGCATACGTCGCATGTTCGCGAGTCGGAACACCTTTATATTTATATATTTATCGCACACCGCCAAATAAGACGGAGAAAAATTAGTATATCAGAAAGCTTTATATTGATCGTGTGTATTGCATTAATTAATGATGTAGATAAAAATATATACAAAGAATCAACCACATTTTACAGATATATATGTGGGTGATACGAAGTTCACTGGGTCATCTAGTACTGGACAGAAATAAATAATTAAATTAACTCACGAGTGGGTTAACACTAGGCGGTACTATGGGCTTCCCGGCGCCTAGTACAATACTCGGCGACCTGTCGTTAATCCGCGGCTCGGTTTCAGTACTTTGACGGCGTTTGTTTGCAAGTCGCTCCACAAACGTATTGTAGTGGCATTCATCAGATTTCTATAAATATTAATATTTTCAAAACTATTATTCTCCTCTTCGGAAATTAATAGTTAAACAGTTTTTGGCTCATATATATTTAGGAATAATTATAAATCTTTCCCATTAATAACATAAAAATTAACAAAAAAATAATACTTTTCATTACATACAATGTTTTTTTATCACAATAGACTTTTACACAATGAATTGCTTGAAACTGTTTTTTTTTTAAACTACATATTTTACCTGAAAATCATTGAGTTCTTGTTCCACCTCTTCTATATCTTTCTGATTTCTTTGTAATTGTTCCAGTAAACTTGTCTTCTGCAGTCTTAAAAATGGTACACTGAGGAACTTATGCAGAAATCGTAAACCAAAACCATTTCTCATTGATGACTCTGCATACCGAATAGGTGCAGTCCTATATGTGTAAATAAAAAATAAATTACTTATTTTGGAAAGGTTGAGTATGTATATAAAATATAAATTAAAGTTAAAACAATCAAGTAAATTGAATTGAAATGGTTTTAGTATTATTATAACCTAGATTAGTGATTTCATTTTGAGTAAGCTAAAACAATATTGACGCCTACCTTGTCATTTTAGCATTATGTAATGCTTGTTCAATGTGATGGGAGTGGACTTGACGGTGATGTTGCATATCACAATGATTGCCTAGTAACATTACTGGCATATCAGCTGGAATCCTGCCGAGCTCTTTGACAACATAATCAAAAGTCCTTAAAAACATTTATATTTGTTTTTAATTTGTATAGCTATTAGCTCAATAATTTCATTAAATTGCCAAGCCAGTGGTTAATAGTAGATAACAGTTGTTTCATTCTAACATATGGAAATAATAAGTTCAAAGTTATCATTTAAAATACAAGACCAACCAGGGTTTAGTAATATCCAACATCAATATAACACCAGTAGCATTTTTGTACACATCAAGAAAAGTAGCATCTAATACTGGTGTCTCAAGACCTTCATCTGGTATGGGAACAGTCTGGTTTTCCAATTTCAAGCCCAAAGGAGCTTTTTTCTTAGTGCGCCCTTTATCAACAACTTCCCACACTTCTACCTAAAACAAGAGAGAAAAATAAATGTGAAGTTCTTGATTTTAGATTGACATAAAACTTTTTTATTGGTTGTGATAATTAAAATACCAAATTCAAAGGTCATATAGAACAGAGTAACAACACAATTTTACAGGAACATAATGAATCTTAGTATTTAAAAATTAAACTGTATAAACCAACCTTAACTATAAAATCTGTATTCTTGTAAGTCCAGTGAATAGGGGCAACTTGAATTTGGTCTGTTGGTGTATATTCTTCTTTAAAAGAACCTCCTTGGAGGCGTTGTAAGAGGCAAGATTTTCCAACATTTCTGTCTCCTTTTATTAGTATTTTCACTAAAAAAACAACAACTTAATAATGGTTCTTTGTATTAAGATTCATTTAGCAAAATATAAAGTAATAATACATACTGTTATAATGAACTCCTCTAGAAAATTTTTTTTGTAAAGAAGAAGACATGGGTAGAGGAGCCGGGCAGCGTTCATCATTGCTACGTGTTAACTTTTTCAGTGCAGAAAACATACTAACCGAATGCTTTATTAGATACTTCTAATAAGTGATAATATAGTGTGATATAACTTTAATTATACACAGATTGATTGATAGAGTTATTATTAAATTTGCGCAAACCGTTGAAGTGAAGCAAATAATAATATATTATAAGTGTCTAATTTGTTTGGCAAATATCTTTAATCTGTTTTTCAGACTTCAGACATTTGAATTTTGACATATTATGAAATATCAAATGTTAATTGTCAATCTCCAAGTGACAATTAATAAATAGACTGTCAATTTTTTGTCGTTCATTGTCATGAGAAAAAACCCGCCTTTTGGCTTATTTTGTTTATTTATAAACAATGCTAGTACTTCGCGTCATCGCTAGCTTTTTTGTTATAATTTATTAGGCGCATAACTGGTTACTTTAATTTTTCGTAGGTTAGGTTAATTTACTTTTTTTACTCCATACATTTTCATGCCAACAGAATTATTTATTGGGATGGCAACATAATATACATAAATATGTACTATATAGTTATTAGGTACAAATTTTTCGAACACACAAAGTACAAGTTGTAAATCAAGCCGACTGCAGAGTCCATAAAAAGGTTGATTGAAGTTAATATACAATGCCACAGAGGCATGAAATTTAAAATATATGTGTTGTGTTAAATTGTTATTTAATCGGATTGTAAATACCTGTTACCTATTTGGTATTATCTATAACATAACAAACAGAGTTTTACATTCTAAAACTATAATTTATTCCTTAAAATAATTACAACACAAGTAGTTACAATTTGTCAATCCCACTTAGACTTCTTTTTTTCAAATATCTCTTTTCCATCGGCATCTATAGCTGAATAGTAACCCATTGATTCATATTTCTGCCTCATATATGCTATGTAACCTAGGGCAAGACCAAAACATGCTGCGCCTATACTCATTACCACAATGTTCTAAAAAAATGAAATATTATAGTATATTTGTTCTTAATTCAAACATATTATATATCATATATTTTTTAATATTAGAAAGAAGAATTGATGTTTAACCCAATTTAACTAACAAAATAGTTAATTTTTTATATCCTAGTGTAGTTTTTTTTATGTTTAGACATTATCAATTTTATGAACATATTAATATTGTAGAATAAATCATTATATTATGATGGTTGTGGAATCAAGAATCTATGATGCAAAAAAATCTCAAATAAATATTAAGAGAATAATTTAAGTTAAGAATATCAATATTGAATATATTAGCTTGCTTGCTTACCGGCTTAGCATAGAGTTCAAAATTTACAACACGAAATGCTGTTGTTGACTTCATAGATCTAATACCATCTCCAGGTTTCTCATGACTGTTTTTTGTATTATCACTCATTATAAAAATTTTATTCATCTGAAAGAAGCCATGAAATATTTCTTCTTATTTTTAAACACTGAATTGCATTGAAACACACATGCTTAGAAAATCGGTAATGTTTAATTAATACATTAGTTTCTTGAAAAGAAATAAAAAATTATTTTATTGATTTTATCATAATAAATTTGATTGTTAATGACTAATTAGTAATTACCAGTATAAAATTAAAATCACAGACGAATTTGATCACAGATAAGGAACTATGAAGAAAATTAGGGATGTACGATACCGACTTTGAAAATCCGTGGGCATACGCGATGTTGTTTTCTAGAAGTAATAGTGTTCTGTGGTTGTGACACAACGTAATTTATTTTTGGTTGGATCGAACCTATATATTGTGATGCAAGGGTTTACCCTCAAATTTAGGAAATCAAGAGGTCCAAATACAGCGAAGAAAGGAATAAAAAAAAAAAAAAAAAAAAGGGGGGGGGGGGGGGGGGAAGAAAAAAAAGGGGGGGGGAGGGAAGAAGGAAAAAAAAAAAAAAAAAAAAAAAAAAAAAAAAAAAAAAAAAAAAAAAAAAAAAAAAAAAAAAAAAAAAAAAAAAAAAAAAAAAAAAATATTTTTTTTAAAAAAAAAAAAAAAAAAAAAAATATAATTTAAAAAAAAAAAAAAAAAAAAAAAAAAAAAAAAAAAAAAAAAAAAAAAAAAAAAAAAAAAAAAAAAAAAAAAAAATAAAAAAAAAATATTATAACATTTGGGGGGGGGAAAAATTTTTTAAAAAAAAAAAAAAAAAAAATATATTTAAAAAAAACCATTGTAATTTTTGAAAAAAACAATGAAAAAAAAAAATTTGGTTCACAGATGTATATTAAAAAAAAATTTTTTTTGAGGGGTTTCCCCTCAAATTTAGGAAATCAAGAGGTCCTAGGGGGTTTCTGAGCTACATTTATTAAGAGGGATACTAAGATAATTTTGAATTTATAAATATATTTTTTCTTAGAGATAGCACGATTCTATACAATTTTCATTAAACCGAACCAACAAACTAAACGGAGTATACAAAAACATTAGGGTTTTTAATAGATATTTAGGGGTATTTGAAGATAGTCTGGCCTGATCGACGGACGAGTAAGACCGCGGTTTTATGGCTCGTCGGTAAAGCTCACCGGTGTATCATTGCAACGCCCTAAAGTTTGGTCGCAGCTCGTCGTTAAAAGTTGTTGATTGAAAAGCTAGGCCAATCAGGCTTAAATTTGTCACATTGGGGGTGTACCCATTTAATTCAAGTTGTTCAACGACGAGCCGCGAGCCAGGTTTGTCGGTATTTAAAACCACGGTCTTACTCACCCGTCGATCATAGGCTTAAGGGGAAGATTATGTCCGAGTTGGCATCACTGCCCATATAATCTGAGCGGTAGATCCATTCAACCACAGTCCGTCAGCTTTCGTATCTGCCCATGCCAACAATGGCACTATCTGCGAAAATGAGAAAGCGCTCTACAAAAGAAGCAATCTACCATACGAATATGAAAAAATATATCTACCATATTGTTAGTTAAAATTATTAAACGTTAGATAGCAAACTTTTATTGGTTTTTTTTCTTGTTATTAATGTTAATAACATCAGTATCTATAGACATATTATTTTTTTAAAATAATGGTTACCTATTAAATTTATTAGAATATAAAGCTATAATTGGTACATAACTAATGTACAAAAAACTTTTTTTACAATTTTTTTCAAGGGACTTCAGGTTTTTTTTCAATAGTAACACTGTGTAGAAAATAATGAAGTTGTGTAGCCTAAAGGTTTAGATACCAGGCCATAAACTCCAAAAAAAATGAAGTTTTGAAGTGAAAATCTCAAAATCGTGAGCGGTAGAAAAGAAAAACTTTTCAACTGCTCGATTCATTTACAAAAGTTTATTTGAATTAACGTAAATAGTTTTTGCTTGTGGTGTATAATCATTAATTACGAAGAGACTCCAGTGCAAAAATTACGCTTTTGTGTTGTGATATCAACTTAATTATTGTAATTTAATAATTTTAAATTTATCCGACGTTGTACACATGTTACTCTTGTTTTAATTATCTAGATGAAATTTATTCCTTAAAATTGCATACTATTTTAAAATTGCATACTATTTTAAATTGTCGCGCCATACGATAGTACCGATGGCATTAACTGGAGCGCTGGTGTAAGCATTTTTTTTTACTATGAAGTTGTTGTTCTTCTTCGCTAGAAGTAATAGTGTTCTGTCTTTTGTGCATTCACTCTTTAACTATCTGCTCAGGGCCTTAGTCAAGATACGCCAAATTTCTATGTAGTGTAGAAAGCCACGTAACTACAAAACCAAAAGTTGTATGAAAACTTTTACCTTGACACGAACTGTCATTTCCATACAAAATTTAGCCACCGTTTCCGCGTGTCGTTATAAGACTTTTCCAATACATACACTACTGCGTTAAGCGCATCTTGGTCAACTAGACATCCAACTACAACGCTTCGCACGATGGCACTCTAAAACTCGGCGGCTCCTCGCAATACATTGTAATACTGCCAGAAATTCTCATGTTACTTCTTAAGAGGGCATAGAAAGAAATGAGTAAAACTTGTTGAACAATTACGTAAGGCTGATACGTGTAGATGTATACAAGCATTAGTAAAAAAATACAAACCAAAAGCTTACATGTTGGATACATTATTACATTGTACATATTATATGATGGTTAAGACATTACTTTACAGATAAACTCATAAATCTTGACCACCGTGTTCGCAGTGTCGTTATAAGAATAATTATATAAATACTACGTAGAGATGTAGACATAATATGTAATAATGTACTGTTATGTAGGCGTGAAAGCCGTATATTCTTTAAAGCGTTTTCTCTTATTTCAGTAAAAAAATTAATGAAAAAGAAAAAAGTAAATTATAAAAAAATATTTTTAAAAAAAATTTTTAAAAAAGGGGGGCCAATTTTAAAACAAATTTGGGCGCCTGGGAAAAAAAAATCCCAAAAAAGGCAGCAAAAAAGGGGGGGGTGGGGGGGTGGGGTAAAAAAGGAACTAATTTGGTCAAAACACGTAAATTCTCAATGTTTGGAATACGTAAGAGTAAGACCTATTTTAGTTCTAGTGTATTAAAAAGGATTAAAGGAACCAAAATTAATAACGTATTCATAAGTTTGCAACCACCAAGCAAAAACATGTCATGTTACATTAATCAACAAATTACATTGGTTAACAGTCCCTATTTGAGTGATGACAGACAGTCTACTATTTGTTAGGGCCCATTATATTTGCTTTCGTATTGTAAATAATCTTTAGCATGTTTTTATTGTTACTTTTTATTCTGTATGTGTATTAAATATTGGATATGCATTCTTGTTGATTTAGGGTCACTTGTTAAGATTAGATTGTTTTTTGTAAATAAATAAATAAATTTTAAAGTGAATTTATTGTATTAGGTTATTTGTAAACTATTAATATGCTTCAGCAACAGGTATATAATAAAATACTGTCTGATATTGAGATATATCATCTCTATTGTTATCATCATTCCTCTCCATACAGATTACTAAGTATCTGTAATAATTAACAAATCATCATGTTTATTGTGATAGTTTTGTTCGGTTTGTCTTATAAGACAAATAAGTATTCCAGAATAAAGCAATACCTTGTACAAGAAGCACTTGATACTGAAGTGGTACATAATAAAAATTAACTATCTGAACCCAAGGCCAAACATAATAATTTGTTTTAAGGATATCAATGTAATTGGTGTTAATATCATTCTCTATTAAATCCCATGACTTCCCTTGTAATGCACCTAATCCAACTAACAGGAAAAAAAGGAAGGTTGGAGCAAATACGGCTTGGTCTATAAAAACTTTTTTGAGTGCAACAGTTTTACCAGTAGATCCAACATGTCTATTTAACAATCCATACCATACCCTTAGCGCAGGGCCCTGTAAGAATACCATACAAAATTTAATTAGTTTATGATTATAGAACAGTTTATTAATTGATGATTACATAAATATCTAACTTACTCCAAAACAGAAGCCTATGGAAGAAAATTTTATAGTTCTAGCATAATCAGCATCTCTGAATGATTTCTTTTCAATAAAAGTCTGTGATATAAGATCTCCAGCTCCCATTAATGTTCCTGTTTGTATAGCTTGTACTAAATAAGGTCTTCTGTTCAGAAGCCTTTGATATATTTGAAATATTTCACGTGCTTTCATGATGGTAACGGGCATAATTGTGTTTATCTTATGTCGTTGTTTACTTTTCTCCTAAAAAATCCTATGACTCAAATGTAAAAGTATATCTTCGTAAACTGTTTACATTTTTTTTTCATTTGCACCGACAATATATTTTAAACTCATTTGTGATTTCTGTAATAAGTTATATCCATTTACCACAGGAACAGGAATCAGGATTATAATATTCAGTTGACAACTTGAGTGAGACTATGGTAAATAAATAATAATCTGTCATCTGCCACTAGCGGCCAATTTGCCAAATGCTGTCAAGTGTCAACCGCCAATTAGTTTAAGTTGATTTAGTTTGAAAGATCCTAGAATATGACAAAATACAAAATCAAAGGATCAAGAAATTGTGAAATGAAACGGTGGATGTGAAAACGGTGAAAAGTGAATCGCTAATGATTGTAGCTATTGTGTGTTAATAATCCATTGATTACACGTTTTTTCATACTTATTCAGACCTAATAATGGATGCAAGAAAACTATCCACTGCGGGCGATAGTCTCTATCTAATATTACAAGTCCCTAAAACCGCAACGGCAGATGATGTCAAGAAAAGCTATCGGAAATTAGCACTTAAATATCACCCGGACAAAAATCCTAACAACCCTGAAGCATCTGAAAAGTTTAAAGAAGTAAATAGGGCCAATACGATCTTAAGTGACGCTACCAAAAGAAATATATATGATAACTATGGCTCTCTCGGTCTCTACATTGCCGAGCAATTTGGGGAAGAAAATGTCAACGCCTATTTCGTCGTCACAAGTACATGGTGCAAAGCATTATGTGTCGTGTGTGGTATATTGACTGGTTGTTACTTTTGCTGCTGTTTGTGTTGCTGCTGTAACTGCTGCTGTGGCAAGTGCAAACCTCGTCCACCAGAAGAGTCTGGAGACTACCACACGCTGGAGCGAGATGACTCAGATGGAGTGCAGCCAGTAACTTCACAACCGGGACCTGAACGCCGTCCCACGGGTGACCAGGCACCACCTATAGTGCTGCCTGCGCCATCGGCTCCTGGGGTCTCGGAAAATACTGGCCTCAATACAGGTGGGGTAAATTACGGCATTTCACACTAATGTTTAATTGTTTATATGTCATACATTACTAATTTTTGAGTCATTCTTAAATTGTTCTAAGTATATTAGCAATTTGCTGCTTCACCACATGCTTTATTAATGTTGGTAGAATATTATTTAATGCACACTTCCAAGAAATCCTATATACAGCTTTTGCTAATCTTATCAAATATCCAGTAGGTATCATAAAAATGTGTGTAAATGTGAAATTTTTGTAGGGTATCTTATCTTTCGAGTTTAAACTTAGAACAATAGGATGCCTTCAGACATTTGTGAGTAGGTATCACATAAAAAAAAGCTCTTTTAAATATAGAATTTTTATCTTTATTAGTGGTGGTATCTTATCGTACTAAGGATATAGTTTGTTATAAACTTTGTAACAAGTATTCCTTCATACTATTTTGTGCTAATATTTTTACATGTCCAAAAAAAAAAAAAAAGGGGGCTTTTATGAAGGGCTTCCTATCTTTCAAAGGCTTCCTATTTTTAATAAAACAAAATTTGTGTTAGATATCATCAACAATTTTTATTGGTTTGAAAGGCCTCATGCCATAAAATAAAATGCTCTTTTAAATATTAATTAGACATTGTTTATGCTTGTTATTAGAGGCCGATTGGATGGTTGCCTTAATTTGGTACTAAGGGTATATTCGCAATTGTGTATGTGAAAAGTTCTTGTAAGCGACGCAAAATCGTGTATTTCTGCATGCTCTCACGGACAGCGGCGATGTTTTCGGTAGTATCTTGCGTTTCGTCACTACGGGTATTGTTGTTTTAATGACCATTCATTTATCCACACATTGATAGCCATATAAAATCATATATTTTAAAACAAACATTCCATTATCCTGGTATTTGGCAAAACCTGGTAAAGTCAATTTGAATGTCAAAGATGAAATCAACTGTAAAAGTTGGGTCCATTACCCAAGAATTTAATTATTAAACATTTAAAGTCTCGAAAGTGAAATCAAGGTATTCCCATTTTTTACAAATATATTTTCAAATACTGTCATTGTATCTGATAATATTGATTACTTTAATACTGGCAACTTACTTAAAATGACATTTCTTCCAAGACCTTTTTATTTGGCATTGATGCATGACTATATGATAGTGATAACCACTCTGATTCTTTTACAGAGTAAACCTTTGTTTTATGTTCATTTGAGTATTGATTTATAATAAATTGTAACATTTTTAGTGATAATACCTTTTAGCTGTACTGTTACTGTAGATCAAAGTATGATTTGAAAATAATTTTCTTCTGTTCTATTTTTAATATTGTATGTATATGCAAACATTGCTACCGACAGGCTTATGAAAAATACTTAATTTATAGCGGTCAATTTTTATGCATAAATAATAGGTAGAAATATAACATGCAGTGCATTTGTTGTTTATTCTGTGACTACTGACTTCAATGTCAACGAAAAACTTATGATATACTGTTAAGATTGTAAAAAGGAATAATTGTATAGCTATATACAATATCAGCTATACAAGTAAACTATGTTGCATGTTTAATTTGATATATGTTGGTATTTTGTGTTTCACTCAAGCTAGCTAATTATTTGATGGTAGATAGTTATAGCTGTAATATGACCTTTATTTGTCAGATTTGCTCAATAGAAAAGGGTGAATTGTAGAATAATGTTTCTACTTATCCTTAGCCATAATAATTGGAGTTGCTGATTTAATTAAAGAAACCATTTTATGTGAGCATTGCTTTAATATAAAACAATGTTTTGACTGTATATAACTATCCATAAATAAGTGTAGTTCACAAAATACACATTAGTCTTTAAGGGATATAAACTGGTATAGAACTTTGAATTTGTTTAAATGAATCATTAATAATCCTAGCTAGGAAAATATTACCTAACAGTTATTTATTTTGCTAGCATAAATGATATTTCTCCTAAATATGTTTTGTAACATCATCTTAGATGATGTTAAACATATAAGTATGATATTAAACATAGAAGGAACATGACATTTTATGTAAATATTAGCAGCCAATTGTCTACTAGGATTTCATTATCATATTTTTTTAAATTAATCCTGCTATTTAATTAATCCTGCTATTTAATTACTGGATACTGCCTATCAGTACTTTGAATTACATTATATTTCTTAGAGATTTATTAAATATCTTACATATAATACCTATTATTAATAAAATGTCCTTATTATTCAATTGGCAGCTGATGTCAAGCTAGTCAACAAGAATGTATTGTGGAAAGCGTCATGATATAATTATTGTTATTCTGTAACTACACTGGTAACTTTCGATTTAATAAATATCTGCATAATAAAATCCTCTATTATTTAATTTTGTCTTCAAGTAACCTCAAATTTTATAATGTATAATGCAAGTAATAAATTATGTATTGGTTACAGGCAGCAGTATTCCAAAATACACTTGAAGTGTCACCTAGCCTAAACTATAATGTAAGAGAAAAGAGGAACTGACTACTTTTTATCACCACCATGCAAATTATGTAAGCCTTAAGTTTTTTATGTTACTATTTTTTAATAGAGTTTTTTTGTAACTTTTATTTAATTCATTTGTATATGGTTATTTTGATTGCAATTCTGTGATAACCTATTTATTTTTACTGGACTACCTATATTATATTTACTTGAATTGCAGTATTAGCTGAAATGCATTAAAGACAGGCTGTATATTTTATCATTTCTTTAGCTGACTGCACTGTTTTTTAGCTGGCCAGTAAAATACCTAATAGAACTGAGTGGATCTAAGAATTACAAATAAATAATTAAAGTCTTTAATTGTGTCATAACATTGTAGTAAAAGACAGTTACTTATGCCGATTTATAAGTAAAAATAACTGTTAATTTCCAGATTGTTTATATTTTCTTATAATATAAACACCACATCACGGAAAGAAATAAATTCAATAAAAAGCTTCGCCTTTATATGGAATTTTTTATTTCAATTACTATTATGCTTATGGTTAATCAATATAAAAGTTATCAGGTAGGATTATTTTGAATAATATGTAATATGTATGTTAAGAAAATTTGTCTTGAAGTATTTATCTAGCTGCAACTAATTACTATTATGGCTGAGATGTCCACAATTTTCCTTAATATATTAAAAAAAACTTTTACACTAAACTAAACTTAAACTTTTACGGGAAATTTCAAAGAGTAATACTACTACTCAATAGCTGTAGTTTAATGTGTTTAGAAGTTTAAGGCATCTATACATTGTTAATAATTTTATAGGTAGGTACAGTATAGCCTATTCAAAGCAATTTGCAAACCTGTTTTCGAACAGGTATTTGTCACCTGCCTCTACTTTCCGTAGCTAAAAATGTATCGTCGAAATGTTATTTGTAATAAATGTGTTTAATTGAATGTGGTTCTTTTTATTATTTTAAAAATTTTAGACGGTTACTTTTACGGTTTTCAACGTAAAACTGGCATACAGCACATGGTGGACCTTTGTAGGCTGAAAATAGTATATAATAGTATATTACACATTTAATTGTTATGTTTTCGTTACGAGAATATATTATAGTGATATATTTAGCATCATAATAATTACAAATTCTTCGACTATATTCTTAAACAAAATTATTATTATTTGTTTTGCGTGTCTGACAAAACTTTGGAAATACATAGTTTTATTGTGATTACTTAACGCTCCGCTTAAACCTGTATTTAATTTAAATGTATGTTAAAGTAGGACGTAGTTCATGTGGATAAAAATATGGTGAAAAAGATACATCCTATCATATCAAAAAATAATTAAAAAATAATAATAAGAATCTTTACTTGGATAACAAAATATAGTTGTTAAAAATTGTTTTAGAGCTAGGGTTGTGGGTGACTTCTCTTGCACGGTACATGATATACATTTATGGTTCGTAAATAATTTCTTACAAGTATAAGAGTTTCGTTAAGAGGGAAATAATTTCTAAAATGGACATGCACATGCCTTAAGATAAAATAAGTATATTCATATCGTTACGAATGACTGACTCGAAAACAATGTCTGAAATAAAATTATTAAATACTTCAAATAAATAAGTCGCTAGTCACGCACAACCCCGATAAAGAAGAAACTTATCGATATGGAATATTGATTATAAGTGATTCGCATTTAATTTATACGTAATAGTATTCTATGTGTCAGTGTTAGCCTAGCGGTTAAGAGTGATTCTCGACCGCCCTTCGTGCGTTCCGGCTCTGGATTTTTTTGGAAATCTCACCTTTAATCACAAAATATACCCTTGAGCACTTCCCTAAAAAGTTGAATGGATTATTAAAAGCCACACTTACAAACCTCAATAGGTACCTACATAGTATTTTTAAATCGTTAAAGAATATAGTACCTGTATAATAGCGCTTGTAACTATTGTATATATGGTGTAATTCTTTTTTTGGATTTACTTTGAAAACTTATCCACAATTACGAAGGGTTCTAGCTTTGTTTCATTTTGGCTTGGTTAAAATAGAGCACGCGCTTTAGACATTCAAGGCCAACGGTTGGCTATTTCTTTGCTTTATAAAAGAGTCACTTCTAAAATGCTGGAAGATTTAAGATTTTGGCAAGTTATCAGCTAGCTAAGTTGTAGTTCACGTGTTGACAGTTTATGTCCGTCTACAACTCTCAATAATAATAATCCTTAATTTTAATTATTTTTAGTTCTATCTTGTCTATTTCTTTTTGGTATAGGCAAGATAAATATTTTACCAATGGTATGTGTTTGGCAAACGCTTTAACAATTAATTTTAAGATTAGGTCTTCACTTTGAATACCCTGGCGCCAATAACTTAGTTTCACATTACTGCCAAGACAGGGACATTAATTATCTGGAAATTAACCTATTTGGCGCATCACGCAAGCCCAACGTAATATTGAATGTGTGTTCTGCGGTATTGTGTTGAATTAGGGATCTAATAAAAGCCGCTTTAATGCAATAATTTAATATATGTCAAAAAAAGAATATTGTTTTAATTAAGAAAATGCGAATAAATACAAACTCGATGGCATGCTTATATTATTAAATATATAGCGTAGACAGAATTAAGAAACTGCATGCTTAAGTTGATAAAATTATTATTGAAATAGTATAAACCGTGTGTTTGCTACATCTTTTATTAGCGGTTTTTGAATCTCTTCGCATATATAAGTATTTCTTACATATAGATCAGTTTAAATAAATAAATTAAGAACAAGTTATCTTTTCCCTTAATTGTACGAAACTTAGTCATCAAGAGTAATAAAATCAAGTATCAGGTAGTATCGATGTATCCCATTCCGAGGTCCTAGGAGGTTCATTACTAAAGGTCGTGTTGGTGTTGCATATCTCTCTACGGAACACGATATTGGAACGTTAGTATACCCGTTTCAAATAAAGAACAAAAATTATAAAAGCGAAAAAAATCCGTCCAGAAGAGAATTACCGACGATACATATTGAGGTACTTTATCCAGTATACTCGTAGCAATCATAATTACAAAAAACTATATATGGCTTGCAGTTTCCGTTGCGTTTATTCATTTTTATTTTTAGCGTACGTTTCCTAGATATATTTACCATCAACAGAAAAGTTATTTCGATCTTCGATCGATCTAGTAGTTCCTATCAACGAAGCAGAGCTTGAGAGCTGTGCAGTGTTGGCTTAGACTAGAGGCTACGACTCTCGTCCTTACTAGTAGGTACACTACACCAATGGACTTTTCTTTATATGTGTGCATAAAACACTCCGTCGTACAGTGAAGTGAAACCAGCATGCCTTAGACAAAAAATGCGTAGCGGCCAAAAAGCCATTAGAAAACAAATGATCACAAAATAGAAACAGAAATCTGAGGCAAAGCCCAAGGATTGTCACCTCTTAAGCTTTACATTATTAATATCTGAGCACGTATAACAACATAAAGACCGTTTGTTTGTGTATATGTAAGGGACATTTAAAAGTTTTATGTTGTAGAGATATCGTTAAACAAACAGATCAATACGCGCAAGGTTCGTGAGAGGAGGCGCATACCCCATTAGTATTTTTTCACCTTGACACAATTCAACAAATATTTGTGTAATGTATAATGTTTACGGGAAGTGGCTTTGGCATTTATACTTCTATGATTTGAAGTTAGGCAAGGTTAATAGTTTTAGTTTGAACAACTATGACCATAGTAAAACATTAACCGTTAACAAAAATGACTTTTTTGGGCATGAAATCAATTTTTCTATTTGCCTTTAACTTCGTTTAATTTTGATTTATAATAAATATAGGCTAACCTATGAAAATTATTGTCAAATTAAATAAAGGACGTTTATTAATAATTGTATTTTCTTTATCAAAGTGATTTCACGGGCAGCGCTTTTGATATGTTGTGTATTAAAAATGTACATATATATAAGAATATACAATGTACGTAATTTGTGTATTCTTATCACAGTACAAAATTGCCATTTAATATTGTGACATTATGCCATCGCACGTAAAATAAATATGGCCGATTGAAAATGATTCTCTGCTCTGGAGTTTCATCCCACTCTATTCCTGTAAATAAATTTCAAACAAATTATTAGTCGATTGATTTATTTTCCGAATATAAAGTTTCGCTAACATAATGTAAGATGCAATATGTGTTTTGCAGGAAAGTGCAAAATAACGCAGCCTTCTTCTGTTACGTATTCAACGTCAAAAAAGTAAATGAATTTTATGTTCTGATAATTATTATTAACTCTTACCGTGTGACCATGTTGTATAAAAAGTACCTACCATACAATGTTGGAAAGTGGCATAAAAAGATGGCGTATTTATTTTATATATTAATTTGCAGGGGCTAGCCACTGCCTGCTCTATTACCCGACTTCGGCTGGTCGTTGATTTATGGGCTGTATAATTAATGTGGCTTAGTAGGAGTAGCAGCACAGTATAATGTCAGGGTCTTAATTTTGTCTCCCGGCACAAGTTGCGGGTTGGAAAAATAATAAATAAACACATAGAAATCTTGGGCTGTACTATGGTCATGCCTCATTACTAAACATATTTATATACACAAAAAAACCGAATTGAATTGCATCAAACATTCTTCTTAATTTCAGGACAGTGTTATAGTTAAAAATAAATAATTATAAATGTGTAATATTAGTTTACGTACGTAAAACGCTTTCAAGTATCGCGAGCCCTCTGGCATTGAGAGTGTCCATGGGCGGCGGTATCACTAAACATTAGGTGAGCCTCCTGCCCGTTTGCCCCCTGTTCTATAAAAAACAATTTGAAAAGGTGTATTTTTTGAGTAATGATAAAAAGAACAAGAACTTTGAAATTATTACCGTCATCTTTAAATGCATATCGTCCAGCTTCAGACCAAAACATGATCCTCTGAATGGCATGAGACAATTTTAAACCGTCACACCGTTTGTCCACCAGCCGCGTTATTCCCATCTAGAATGTGTACATAAAAGTAGTACTAAAAAGGACCCGGCTTTTCACCAATTAGTTTTTCTATGTGCCATGCGAAACTAATACTTTTACGAGCCAATAATTGATGGCATGTGTTGCGCACAGATGGCTGATCACCTACTCGCCTATAAGCAATAATAAATAAAGAAATAGATGCAATCTGAGGTTATAACCATGAGTTGTAGCGCTCCTGGTTTTCCTTAAAGACATATTATTCCAAATGATTTATTTGTGAGCATGTTGACCTAGCTTAAACGTGCGAATCTTAATGCTGATTGTTTATGCGTTCAATTATGTGTTTTTTAATGTAATAGGAGAAAAACGGGCAGGAGGCTCACCCGATGTTAAGTGATACCGTCGCCCATGGACACTCACATTGCCAGAAGGCTCGCAAGTGCGTTGCCAGCCTTTTAAGAATTGGTACGCTCTTGAAAAACCCTAAGTTGAATTGGATCGGAAATACTTCAATGGGCAGCTTCCGACTGATACAAATTTTTCCTCCTATGTGAACAATTAACAGATGCTTATACGAATTTTAATTAAATACGTAAAGGTGCTATTGACCTATCACAAAGACAAAACGCGTTAACATTTCGTTTTACATTTTCTATATTACCTTTAAAATTAAGAGATCTACAAAAAATATACCAACTGTTTGCATTTTAGCGGGTAGAAGCAAAGTCATTCGTAAAGTAAAAAGCGGTAAGGTAGCTGCTATACGCTTGCTCTGCATTACATCAACAATGCTTTGAAGACTTGTGGTTGACATGTGAGCCGCCAGGTTTCGGAGGCTTCGCCCCTTAGGCACTACCAGAACAAGAGTCAACCCAGTTGTTGCATATTTTATCTCAAGGGCCTGTAAAAAGGTGTCAATTAATCAACCTATTATATTTATTACTGTCATTATTTTTTTACACAATGTAAAATTATCGAACAAACTTGTGAACTTTATATACCTAAATATTATTTTATTTATGCAGATACACAAATACATTTACTTTTTATCACAGATTGCATATATTACATTTCCAAATGGGTGGTTTCATGATGTATTATCGCAAGGGGCGGATATAGGATCAAATATCAAGCAATAGAAATTGTGAAGTTTTCTAGTTTTACATTCATTTCATTAGTAACAATGGCTCTATACAGAGCCATATTTGTGTTAACGTTAGTGGCGTATGTGCCGCGTGCAATTATAGCCGACTGTTCTGACGAACGCGAGGACCAGGTACCACATCAAGAAGCTAAGTTGCATACTGATCTGTTACATTCTTACAATACTGAATATCGCCCTGTGAAAGACCACAAAACACCCGTAACCGTCAAGATCCGCTTCGCATTGAAGTATATCAGCTTCGATAGCCTTGAAGAAACCTTCAATGTTCACAGTTGGGTTGCGATGACATGGAAGGACGAGTATTTAAACTGGGATCCATCCTGCTATGGTAACATAAAGGAGCTTCAAGTCGAAAGTCAGTCAATATGGACTCCGCGTATGGCGCTATTTAATGCTGACGCATCGGTTTATCAATCAGATGCGATTTATACAACATGTTTGGTGGAAAGCGATGGCTCGGTGACATGTGTTCCGCATTTAACACACTCAGGTATATGTCGTACTTCGCTGCGTAGCTGGCCTTACGATGTTCAGAATTGCACTTTCTATTTCGGCTCTTGGATGCATACTGGTGAGCAGGTGAACTTCACATTTTACAAAACTAGACCAATTGTGATGGACGACTATCAAGATGGTCCAGGATGGAAACTTCTTAATGTTACAAATGAACGCCTCCCGGGAGGTTATTCTTGCTGTCCAAACAGTTCATATCCGATGTTGAAATATACTTTCATGTTAAAAAGAGAAGCGGGTGGACCAGCAGCGATTATTGTCATTCCCTGTATAGTGATAGTTCTTCTTACATTAATATCTTTAATTCTAGACGTAAAGGATTGTACCAGATTATTCTTATTATGCTTCAGTCTTTTCAGTCATTTTACTTTCCTAACGGAAATTGGTTACGACATTCCTAAACATAGTTCGGATACTCCTATAATATTGTTATTTGTCCGAGATTCTATATTAATAACGTTATCGGCAATATTGTTGACGTTGTTTCTGATGTCTCTGAGAAAACGTATTGTACCGGCTCCAAGATGGCTGGTTTCCATAAATCGAATAATTAGTAGCGGTCCTGGAAAATATGTAGTTTTTACAGAATTTGATCCGAGCGAATCCACTGATGTCAAAGTTTTAACGGATGATAATGTAGGCGGTAGCTCTGGGACGGATGAGAAATTACGGATTACTGCTGACTGGATACATTTCGCCAATATTCTTAACAGTTTTGTATTTATCATAGTGTCCATTGTCTACTTTATATTGATTTGTGTTTACATTCCCTACGACGATTAACATTTGTTGCTTAATAAAATGAATATCTTGCAGAACATATAAATGAAATTACTATTAACAGTGTGTTTAACTATTAACTAAACTCACTTCAGCATCCCATTCTGGAAGATCAGCATACCCCATGATATCATTGATGCGAATCATCCGAGCGTTTCTTTCGGGGGCTCTTTCGTCATCGTAAAATGGAAACGTGCCATTTAAAAGAGTGGGCGGTGATCTCCAGCGAGCTCGCAAGTAAACCGTTGACATCAAAACAGCACAAACGCCTTTAGACAATTCATCTTCCTCAAATGTATTACGCAAAGCCCCACCTGAATCAATTTCAACCTGTTCGAAGGGGTCAAATGCGTTAAAAATAAAATACGTTAGGGCTAAATGAAAAAAAAAACAATAAAGAGAAGGCAAAATGTTTAATAAGTATGTATTTATCTATTATTTAACTAAAATTGAATTTTATTATTAAATTTATGGAGAAATTGATTTTTTGTCTACACTACACTATGTCTATTTATAACTTTAATAAATTCAAATCAAAACAAACATACTAATTGAAGCTCTTAATCCAGACCTGACATTATTTATAATGTCTTCCATTGTTTGCTGTATTTCTGAGCTACCATTGGTCTATATTTAATATTAGAATAATACTTACCATGTGATTAAGAGTGGCTGTTAGTTTTTCAGGAGTTTGTGTATCATTTAAATCTTCTACTTTGATACGCCCTGCTGCTGCAGCACCTCGGAGGAATTTTTCACTTACATAAATACCTTGTTTGACTACTAATCTTGTTTTGTAACGAAATTTAAGACGATCACTTGATGTAGGTAGCCATGATATTATATTTTTCAGTACTTCTATTTTAGCCTAGCACAACAAATTAGACATATATTGACCACACTAAAGTTAACCAATATAGTTACGAATATCTTAATTGAACGTGGTTTCATACGTGGTTCTTATCTGATGATTAACTAAATAATGTGTAAGAAGTCATTATTATTATTAAATGACGAATTCTAAGAGAACAATGGCGAGTGAATTTGAAGTTTTATTAAACAATGTAATTAAATACCTGTTCTGGTACATAAAAGCCAGTGCACTCATCTAATTCTCTTCTAGTTTCATGATCCACTTCTGTCGAAAGAGCAACTAGTGCCATTTGTAAAAATAATCCAGAAAGTGTAAAACTGATCCCGTTTACATACTCGGAAGGGCTTATTGCTTGCAAAGTTGCGTAAGTTGTCTACAATGTGTTAAAGAAGTTTAAATATTGTTTTTTTACCTCCTTCCTTATAGGTTCGATACCTAACGAAATAATCATTGTTGATTTGGAAGGTACAAAAAAGTGTCCCGTGCCAAGAAAAATCAACGTAACACTGAGGTATTAATTTGCCATATATAGACATATTAAGCCCTAGTTTCTTAAAATTACTTATTAAGTGGCAAAGCGGTTCATAAAAGACAATTATAATAAATTATTAATGTATGCGTGAATGAATAAATGCACACTTTCTATTTTCGCTATTATAAAGTCAAAGACTGTTTAAATTGGCAACTTTCACTGGTCTCTCAAAGTAATTAATAGTCTTCGACTGTTTAGTTACTGCTGTTTAATAATAAAATAATACTTACGGCGTAGAATTTCTTTTCAAGTTGATCCAATGAATCTATAAATTCATTTATTAGGTCTTCCTTTGGGTCAGTTCCTAGCCGACTGAAACTTGAACTCAACTCATTTTCGTTGTTCCTGGACGATAACAGTTCAGTTCCTTTACGATAATTGAGTATTGGCAGCGGAATCTCATCACTATATAATTCTATTGGAGTGTTCTTTAATAGCCAGTTCCAATATCTAAATAAGCCACCTATTGATTTAGGAACACTTGGGGGAATTGACAAGAATAAATTATACAACTCTTGATCTTTAAATTCTTTGTCCATAAAACGGTGACTGTAAAGTATTCGATCTTCTAAATTATATGATTTCGTCACTGGCGTTACATCGTTACTGGATGTTCTGTATTTCGGGCACGGCTTCCATTTATAATCCGTAGAGAAACAATACTTCTCGTAATTATTAGGGACCAGGGTAATTAGTTCATTCGGCACAGTGCTACTTATATAATACTGTGTAAATCCAAAAGTCTGGACGCTATATTTCACTAAAAAACACGTGAACATAATCACATATGTTTTACATATGAGTGTCATGCCTGCTTACGAGCAATCAATTATTTGTTCCAATACATTTGGCTCGCTTATCGTAAGTATATTACTGAAAATATATATTAGTTCATTACGAATCTATTCCCAGACTGGCAGATCTTGAATTCGTTTGGCAAGCAAGGTTTTAGTATCAATAATTCTGTTATATCGTGCACCACAAAACCGATCAAATGTTCTTATCAAACTGTTCGTTTGCCCATGCATATCTGTAGAAAATACACTTGGTTCCGCACTTGTTAGTGACTACTTAATGTTAATTATTATCGTAACACTAATTAATGTCTAAATTGCATTTGAGACTATCAACCCTTTACAAATGCTTTAATTGCTGCTAATCTAATGAATAGTCTTATTTCGTTTAATTCTAGTTTTAACTGCCAGCACCATCAAAATTTAAATATGTTATAATATGTAAATAAGAAACCAAATGTATTAAATCGTATATTATTAAGTTATAAAAGACCACAATTCGACTTATTATTCGTTCGATTAGAACGTATAAAAGTATCATCGGTAAATGTTGTAAAAGTGTTCCAGAAAAAGGTTATCCTTTTGAGTGTTATGATTGTTAGAAATGGGTGGTCCGCAGTAAAATCTTCTGAAAAGTCCTCACATAACCGTTCAACTCCACCCACTGGAAAATTGGCTAATTTAAAATTTTAATTATACCAAATTATCGAACGTTTTTCCGAAAATGATTGATATGAGATGTTATCAATATTTAATAAGCAATGGCAATGCTCACGAGTTTATCTACTAAGCCTTAAGCGGGCCATAGACGGACCGCATGTTGCAGCCAAGACCGACTGCAACATGCGGTCGCCGCACGGCGATCTGCAGTTTCCATACTAAATTCATATTCGCAATACACGGACCGCTCGAGCAGTTCCTGAGCAAACCGCATGTTGCAGTCGGTCTTGACTGCAAACATGCGGTCCGTCTATGGCCCGCTTTACACGCTTTTTAATAATATATTAAATTGAGTTAAAATCCTATTGATAATTTTTGTTTTGCTGGAGTCACATAGCATTAAAGTTCTATGAGCATCCATGTTTTTTTGTAGGTTAACTAAGTTTACTATTAATTAAAACCAAATCAGCCTAATTGCACTTAACTAAAGTACCATTTCGTCTCCTTCTGTCTTATTTTGTTTACCCTGTGAGGAATAGATATGTACTTTAATTAAAACGGGGTTAATTAATAAGGAAATAAGGGATTGACTTTAGTGCTATTATGTAAAGATAGTGTTGCCTTAGTTGATTGCACACACATTTACAGACTAACAAAATGAAATACTTCTACATACTTTACGAAATATTTTACTCTACATATATTTTAATAAGTCTATGTTCCAGATTATATACGTTACTAATATAACATCGTGAGGAAGATAAGAGCCGAAAGAAAAATGATCAGTAAGAGAGGACAATATTTTCCTCTGCTTGTTAAATAACAAATATCCTTTAAAAAGTCTTGTCGATATCACCGGTACGAAATAAAACAACATTATAAATTATTAAAATATATTAAAAATAAATATACATTTACTATAAGCGTGTAAAAATAATACTTATTGTAAGTGCACTTTGTACCGTTATTAAAATCTTTCCCATGTTTGACATGGTACATGCTCATATAAACGCAATATATTCATCAAAATTCAGAGAGGAATAGGAACTTTATATTATTTTACTGTTGTAAAGTTTCTTAGTGTTAATAAAACAGTGTGACTTATTAAACGCTGTCTACGTCATATATTTGTATGACGCATTTTTGTTCTGCGCGTTACCACCAGAGGCGCTGTTTTCAAATATTTGACGTAGACGAACGTTCGCAAACAACAGAGATTAATTTTAATTACATTAATGCAGATTTTTAACACGATATACATAAAAATTCACGATAAAAACATTGTGCTTACTAATTGACATTTTAAGAAACGTATAAACAATTACAAATGCATTAAAAACAATTTGTGCGTGCGTTAACAATTATTGCTTTCCACGGTAAATAGCTTCGAAGTACACTTCATTACCGACAAGAATTACAGCCAAGAATGGACGGTCCGCTGTGAACTCTGGCGTCGGTGGCTCGATTATAGCACTACACATCATCACACCCATCGCTGTAAAGTAAATCCATCACCGATTTTTAAAAAAAATATTTATACAACACAAAAAATCAAAAGCTTCGATATATCACACAAACAAAGCTAAGCAGAAATCATAAAAAAATATATATATGAGACATATGTTATATTTAAGAATTTCTTATTAATATTGTTGCATGATTTTTATTTCTTTAAGTTCTTACAGATTTCATGACATAGACATAAATTGATTCATGAACGCAAAATTTTGTTATTAAAATACATACCAGCTAGCTATGGAAAATACTATACACTAACAATTAACTTAAAACAAATACAATAAAACTATAAAAAAACAATTATCTTAAGTCATATAATTCACAATTATATTTTATAGTACATTAATATACTTACATATTTTTATAAAGTTTTACAATTTGTGATAATTTAAGAATTATCGTACATTTATTATTAATTTTGTTAAAAAAGGACAGATTACTTTAAATTCGAATTGGTGCAAAATATATTTTAAATATATCTTTTTTTTTCAGGAACTACTTAGAAATTATTTACCCAAAATATGCCGTACTCTTTCATAAAAGACAATCATAAATACTCTTTATTATAATATTATCGAAATTAGACAGTTTTTAATTACAGTAATTAAGTCTGCAGTGGATTTCGGCAATGGATTTATAGCAGAAAACTTCACTATTCCAAAGGTCAAACCGATATTTATTATTTAATCCTTTTTTTTTCTTCAGGGAGTCTTAACAGAGTCAATAGTAACATTGACGCACTCAAAGCTGCCAAAATATTATTTCAATAACATAAATTTTTCGTTCATAGGAATTGGGTCCAGATGTTTTTGGAGTTTATTCGTTACAAATATAATTCTATAATAAACATATTTACGGTTTTATAAAATGTCTTATTCCTATTTAATCGATAAAAAGTGCACGATACAATAACACAATTTACGTATAGAATAATGTTTCGCGAGTTTATAATTTCGCATAATGTTTTAGTGAGACTAAACTTAATATTATTTTACCATTATACAAATCAATTCCGGCCACTTATGTTATCAGCTTTATTATAAAACGCAGACAAAAATGTTACTTTTTCATGTAAAAAATTATCACTAGGTAACCAATCACAGTATTATTAGACGTTTTTGAATAAAGATTAATATAAAAGTCGAGATAAGGCGGTTAAAAGTTTAACATGGAATTGTCTTAATGGGCGCGAAAGGCGCCAACGAAGTATGTTGTGAGCTGTTTGTCCAGGATGGCGTAGAGGAAAGGTCGGTCAGCTTGGAATATGGGTACTGGCGGAGGCATACACCGCATCATCATCACCATGCCTGCGGAGCACGTGACTTGCTTGGGATTTACGCTAGTACAGCACTTTGCTAACGCTAAGAGCCGTAGTCAGAGTCATTTAATTATCTCGAATCGCGATTTCATAAGTTTTTTTCTACGATTTTTCAGTGAAGCTAATCTTGACTAATGGGATAACCGTTATTACTAAACGACTCTGAGCATGGCTGTTAGTGTTACGCTATCAACGAGTTAACATGCTTGGACACTATTTAACTTGTCAAACTTCAAAAGGAATGTTAATGATAACTGTTTTATCGCGAGAGATTAAAAAGCACTTAGTAAAGCGCTGTTAAGAAACCATAGACAAGTATTTTGGAAACACGAGCTTGGTCACGTGACATTACAAACTCCATAGACAAGAAGAGAAACAAATAACTCTCGTCTCTTTGTTATCTCTACCCGACATGTTAGCTAGTTGATAACGCTTTTAGCAATATCCATCGGGCAACATGACGCGCGATTTACCTGACGCTGGTAATATTAACGTTGTCTTAGAGTTCGGTACGAAGCTGTCTGTCTGGTTTATAGCGGGCCACAAACGCCATCTGGCCTTTGATAAAGACGCACCATAGGGCTTCTCTTGTCGCCGCGAAGATTAGCGGTGGCGGATTCAAGGAGCACCCAGTTCTGAGCATACCCACTGTCACGGCACACCCACATTTATTACAACCACCAAAATAAATGAAAATAAACCCACACCCTAAGCTATGCGTCTCTAGAAGGTGGCCGGGTATCCCGTATGGGTCATAATTCTAGGCGGGACGGGTAAGATACGGGGGCCCAGCCCTCCTGATAGACACGCTAAGTAAGCCAATAGTAAAGCACACGAATCTTCCATTTAACTACTATAGAATTGACCCCGTTTTAAATTACGAGAATTAGTTTTTCAATAATTAAATCATTACAAGTTTGCCATTTCACCACAAGTATATATTAAGTATGGTTTTGAATTCTAATTCTTAATTCTACTTGTTTAATATTTGTATACTATAATAAAATAAGAACAATTACTACCCAATCAGAAATTTTAAATAATATATATTCTAATTTAATACAACGCTGTACTGAAAAAGTTTAACTTTATCAAACAACAACCAAACAAGTATAAATTTGACACGCGTTTGTACATTTAAGAAAACCCCTTCTAGTTCTACTATATACTGACCAACTTCTTTGCCGCACTATAAAATAATGAATTTTAAATTGCTTACTACATGCGTGATTCTAAGCTGTGCAGTACGTGAACCAAACAAAAATATTCTTAGGGGGCGTCCATAAATTACGTGAGTTTTTAAGAGGGGAGGGGTCCAGTCAAATCTCATTCAATCTTACTGAGGAAGGGGGTCTCCCAAAAATCACGCAATTTATTTTCTGATTGAAAAAAATATAGGAAAACGGTTGACCCTAAAGGCCATCTCTGAACTTCCCGTTAACTCCATACCTAAACGCTCAACATTTCACTTATTTTTTTTTAACTATTCGACTCTAAAGTAGAATTCTTTTATATAATT